TTTTAATTCCTACCCACCGCTCATGACGACATTCGCTCTCCGTGAGCCGTGAAGACCGAGCCCCGTGGAGGGAGTCCGCCCGCGCTGCTGCACCAATCCCCGGACAATGGAGCGGGGAGCGACCGCCGCGTCGACCAATCGGCTGCGGGTGTCTGTGTGAGTGGCGTTCGCCGGAGCCAATGGCGGCGCGGCGTTTTCGCACGTCACTCGATGGATGACGGCTCGACCAATCGGGTGTCGAGATTGTGCTCGGGAGGGGCGTTTCCGAAGGATGGACCTCGAACGTGTTAGGGGCCTATTGCAGCGGGACGAGGGTTTCACTGACGTCCCTATCGACCAATGTGGGTATTCAGGGGCAGTCCGGGTAAAACTAGAACGACAACCCTGTTGATCAATGGGCTTTGAGTTAGTGGTGAGTGACCTGTTTAAACTGCCCCATGTTTCATTAGAAGGAGTCCGTTATGTGGGCTGACACAGACTGCTCTAAGTAAACGCACCACTATATATCCATTGTTTTAATGACAGTGTGGTTAAAGATACACTCACCTGGCTGTTCTTATAAAAGGATCTTTTCATACCAGTGACACCTGGCTCAAACATGCACGGTATGCAAGCTGTTGAATCCTGTTGTTATTCAATGCAACCTGCACAATAGGCTGCAGCTTGACCCTGAGAGGCTCTCTGACCCACTGTTTGTTCTCTGTGCTTGTGTAACAGCTAATCCAGTGGTGGATATAGAAGTTTAGTCATTAGTTTAGTGAAAGCAACAATATCTGTGGCTCACCTGGTGGCTCACCTGGTGGCTCACCCGGTGGCTGGGTCCTTCATCCCCCATATTTACTGTCTGTGTTCAGCTGCTTCTGTCTAATAAAGGCCGTAAAAGCCCCCAAAACACATTTAAAACATTCATCTAATGCTGAATTATTAGCTTTTATTTGTTTCTTATTATACTGTATAAATATATTGATATGAAAAGGTGATGCTAGTAGATATGTGACGATAAGGTCCACGATATTATTTTATCACGATTTTTTTAAACAAAATTATTTCTCAGGCAAAAATCTTTAAAATCTATTTTCTTTATTGGATTATAGAAGATATAATTTCTGTATAAACTGTGCAAAAACAATGCGTATTTCCTTTTCTTTGTAAAAGTGAAGCCGACGTCTTTGCGCCTCGATACAGCGACTGACTCCAGTGACGTAGAACAAGCACAGTCAGACGTACGTAGCGCCCTCTGCTGTTTTAAAATAGTATCGTGGTTTAACTTTCTTTTACGCAGCGTTACCGGAATAAAATGAGTTTAAACATTGTTGGAAACAAACATTTGGGATAATGTAAGAACACAACACAGGTCTGGTGTTCAAGACATTTTAATGTGGAAATGTTTCAGAATTTAATCTTTAATGAACAAAATAAAGTCAAAAAACTTCAGGTTCTTAGAAATGTGGGTTTGGATCAGCTAGATGTTGTTGGTTGGTGGAGAACAAACCAGGGCTGAAAGGGTGAATATTGGACTTAAATTCAGGTGGTGGAGACACAAACACAACTCCAATGGGATGACCACAGTGTTCCAGGTCTACTGGATGAGTAATGGGAGTAATGGGAGTAATGGTTTGTGTAATATCAGGACCGTTTATAATGTAAAGAGACTACAGACCTACCTGATACAGAGACAACACCGACTGGATGATAAGACTCATTTTTGGTCACAACCAGGCTTGGAGAGTAACAGATTACATGTTACTTAATCAGAATACCCCAAAAAGGTAACTGTAATCTATTACTTTATTTACATTTACATTAAAATATACCAGTTTTTTCTTTAAAAAACACATTGTTGGTGCTTCTGTTGTCTTAAAGAATACACAAACTTTCATCAATACTTCTTATTCATATTTATTTTCCTCTTGTTTTTATTTACATATTTGGTGCTGAGGTAATCCAGAAGTAATTAATACCTTAATATTGTAACAGGTAATTAGTGTAATTGTATCGGATTACCAACCCTGATCGCAACATAATCCAAAGAACAAACCTTAAAAATGTCAATATTAACTGAAAACCGTCTGTTTAGTCAATCTGGTGTCTTGGACTCGGACCAGACTTGAACACTGAAGACTCGGCACTCGTCTGGTTTTGGCGTTTGGCCACAACCCAACGAGAAAACGACCAGCTCTGCCACTGCAGGCCTTTCACCCTGTAGAGGAAATGTTCCAGTCGTGGCTGTCAGTCCCATCTGCCGTCAACATCCGCTGAACTGGCCCGCAGCACTTTCAGCCAACATGTAGGCTACGATGAGCCGTCCCTCCTTCTCATTGGCTCACTCCCTCTGACTCCTTTCACATCCACAATGCATGCGGCCCTTTTCATATAGGCTTTTTTCCCAAAGAGTGCACTTGACCTTATTCACAGTCGTCTCTGTTTCTCTCCATCCTCTCCCTGCATCACTGCGAGGGCTTTTTTTTTAATTTAAAGTGCTTAGGAAACCAGAGTCCTGCTTTTAGCTCGAGCACTTTCTCCCTCTCCACCTCAAGTGTGCTGCAGTTGGCGGTGGAGGATGCAGATACTGTCTATCACCTTCTCCCCAGGCACCTCTGTGGAGAGCCTCAGAGAGAAAAGAGCTGCATAATTTAACTAAGATATCTCACTTTTTTTCCACTTAACAGGCTTCATGAGTGAGCCAAAGCATTATCTGGAGAGTTTTCAGCCTTAAACATTTCCAACTGAATGGCTGCTGATAAAAAATTAAACACTTTCTGTGCCGTGAAACCTAAACCAGAAACTGTGAAGCGTCTTTACAGTGTTAAATATCTGCATTCGTAATGTCGCACATCCATCTCCATGTCGGCTGCTAATGGGTGTTCACTTGCCTGTAAAGTAAACATGAAACATACAAGATCTGAAATGATTATTCAGTTAATTGATCGAGTCCATTGGCAGAAAATTAATTGGCCAACACTCTGATAATCAGTTAATTGTTTTTTTAAGTTATTTTTTATGGGAAAATGCCACAAAAAAATTGTTGTTTTCAGCTTCTTAAAGGTCCAGTGTGAAACATTTAGGCAGAAAGTGAATATAATATTCATAACTATGTTTTTATAAGTGTATAATCAACTAAAAATAAGAATCGATTAGTTTTTTTTACCTTCAGAATAAGACGTTTATCTACAGTCATCTAAAGTCTTCTACGGCAGCGGTTCCCAACCCGGAACAAGCAAGACCTTCATGTAACTAACTGAACAGTTAACACAACACTTATTATTATTATTATTATTATTATTATTATTATTATTAAAATATAACAAAGATTTTTTTCAACAAATGATGCCACACACACCACAAGTTTATTTTTTCTTCTTTTTTTTACTGAAAACGCTGAGCCAGTCGCCAGCTTCAGGGTTCTGAGAAATAGAATGAGCAAAACACACCTGGGCATTTCAACAAAACTGACAGGTAGAGACGAGTCGTGGCAGATATACACACTTTGACAGGGCATTGTGGGTAAAAAAAAAGAACAAAGAAGAGACATCTGGGCTCATAAACTCCCAGCACAGTAACGAATAACAAATTCATTATGCTAATGCGAATAAACTCCACGTTAGTTTTCTCTCTTCTGTTGTTTTTTATTGTCTAAGACGTCAGTGCTTTAAACATGTGGTCATCTTAAAGGGACAGTTCACCACAAAATCTAAAACATACCTGTTATTTATCCATCTAGATCACTGGGTCCCGAGCTTTTTCCTTCAGGGACGGTTCATTTAGTAAACTGACATATTTGATAGATATTTCATGTTATATTCAAACTGTACAATGAACCCAAACTATATATATATATATATATATATATATATATATGTATCTTTTTTAAGAATCATACAGACTTACTAAGCTTCTTTTTAGACAAATTTTGTGTTTTCTTGTCCCAGGCACTTGGCCATTGTTCTATTAAAGAATTTACATTCACATTTCTTCACAGAAGTAACCTAAATGCTGAGCTATAGGCCTGCTGTGTATATTTTTAATTCGTTTTCTTACACTTTTTGAATTCAAAAAGGCGTCACAACACCCCAAAAAGTTTTGGCGTCCCCTAGTGGGGGTCCCGAGCCACTGATCTAGATCAGGGGTGTTTTTCGGAGATACTGGCCGTAGAGATGTTTGCCTTCTCTCCAATATAATGGAACCAGATGGCACTCAGCTTGTGGTGCTCAAAGCGCCAGAAAAAATACATTTGAAAGACTCAACAGCGATGTCTCTTTCCAGAAATCATGACCCAGTTACTCAAGTTCATCCACAGACCTTGTTGTGAGCAGTTTCATGTAGGAAGCAAAAAATCGTTCCTACATGAAACTGTTCTCATAGTGGAGAAAAGGCCGACATTTATATCTCCAAAACTCTACAACTCAACCCAAAACAATCCAGGTGGATAAACAGCACTACAGGTAAGAGGAAGAATATGTTTTTTTTATTTTGAACTGTCCCTTTAACATTAAAGAGAGGCTCCCTTTGTGCATTGTTCTTTAATTCCAGTGAGCTATCTGGAATAAAACTCTGTAACTCTGTTAAAATCAGCGGTTCGTATTGTAAATTGCATTTCTGATAGATATTTTTTTATCTTTGGTTTTTACTCCATGTTCCTGTGAATACCTGTTCAAATGTAAACAGGTGAAATCTTGTCATGTCAGAGCAACAGATATCAAATTATATACCAACAGGAGCCTCAGTAGGCGAAGAATGCAATGCAGCTCCAGGACATGTTGTGCTATAAGTGTCGGACACAACTCCGGCCCGATCGGTACTGCACATGTGCAACTCTCAGCAGAGATGAAAAGGAAACAAGATGACTCACTCGTCAGCTACTTCCAACATTAGCTCGTGTTTAATTCAGAATGACTTGATTAAGACTTTTTAAAACGTCTTCTTGACGCAGTCTGATGATATGGTGGCTTTAACCACTTGTTCACACTGCGGTCCAAACGATACGGGAGGCAGTTATCATAGCCACACAATCATAGGTCAGACGATTCATCAGGACAATTACCTGTACTGTAACTCTCATGCATCCTGCTGTAAACATACGCCTGAATTACCTTTAGAATAGAATAAAATTATACATGAGTTTTCTTTGTTTTGATATCAGCATTATATATCAGCCATCGGCAGCCGTGCTCTCTAAATATCGAGTTTAAAGCACGTATACCTCCGGCCTTCTATGTACATCTCATCTGTACACATGTAGCAACAACAAGCACATTTTTTAGATAACTAAGATAAGGTTATAAAAAGTGGTGCCAAATTCTCTGTTAAGTTATTAATATTAGCTCCAGAGCTGCAGGGGCGGATCTACCGCAGTTTGGTGTCAAATGACACAGAAATTCTGATACATTTTTCACAATAACGCTTTAAAAGACAGAAATGAACACACATAGTTTAATGATGTTATGGCCACATTTTACACCAAGGTCTGAAGATTTAGGAATGCCAACTTTAGATGTTTCTGGTCAGTGCTTCACTGCCATAATAATATAACGTTCAATGAGTTCAAATATCTTCATTTGGGTTTTTTGTTACAAGCGAATATTGTTATGTGATTGTTTGCAGTTAAATCAGCATATATTTCTGCCACCACGTGATTCCGTGAATCCGCCCTTACAGAGCTGATAATTGAAGTAGCTAACGAGTGAGACATCCTGTTTCCTTTGTATCTCAGTTGAGTTGCACATGCTCAGTACAGATCTGACAGGAGACACCATCAAACCTTTATCTAAAGGTTGTCAAGAGGCATTCTGGGATAGGAAATCAGTAATATCTCCTGCAATGCAGACTGTTTGAATGGTCGGACGCCCTGCCTCTGTGTGTATATCTGTCCTGAGGGCAACTTTAAATCCAAAAAACCCTCATTTTAACAGACTGGAAGGAAAAACAAGGAAACGGCAGCAAACAACAGTTGTACAAATTGACCAGTGCATTGTGTTTTTAAACGTCCGGTTCAGCACGTTCAAATCAAGTTCATTATTCACGTTTTCCTTTTGTTTCAAACCAACATCTCTGCAGTCCCTCAGAAGACGAGGCTGAGTCCTCTGCGTCTGAACTTCTCATTGACAGTTTTCCCACTGGTCCCTCTTTTTGTTAGTCCAAATCAAGAGAGAGGCGGGTCCATCCAAGTCCATCTGGACACAGAGATTTCCAGGGACTCTGACTGGCTGATGCTGGCAGACCAGAACAGATCAGTCCTCCATACAGAAAACCTAGGCAGAGATACAGGTTGTAAGTTAGAATAAAGCTGCATTCACATGTTATCAGATATATTAGATAATACACCCGGACTCTTTTTCACCTCCTCAACACGTGTTAAAGGTTATGCAAGTGGACATTCATGTTGTTAATAATAGTACAGCCCTTAAAACGTTTAATAAGAAACGTGATGTGTGCTTCAAATTCAGAAAATATTGTAAAGCACTGTAAAAAAAAACAACAATGAATATTTGAACCAACTCTCTTGAAATTCAACTTACTGAGCATCTAATTTTAAAGTCGAGGCTTCAGAGTTCAGTACACTACAGTCCATGTTTTAGTTCATTTTTAGATAAATATTGGATGTTTTGTGGAGCCTATGTAATAATTTATCTATTTATGTGTTGTTTTTTTTACTATAGATGGAGTTTCTTGGCTGTCCTAAGGATCCTTTAAGGTTTTTACGAGTAACAAATGGATCAAAACTGTAAACAATTATTATCTATATAAAGATTTAGTGGAGTCGTGGTGTCTCACTCCCTCTGCCTGTGTTGTACCGATGTTTTTATCATCTACGTCTGTGAATCATTTATGTCGATGTTGGAAAGACTAACAGAGAGAACTAACCCTAACCCTTTTATTTTGTTTCTGTCCACTTTGAATTAAGTTACGGTAAAATGAGTGTTTTTGTCTCTGGAGTCTGGTGGAGAGTGATAGTGATATTACGGCTGTTTGTGGTTGAACTAAAGGTCTATCTCTGTAGGGATCCTTTCCATTATGCTGTCAGACACTGACAATAACAACCTGAGTCTGTCAGTGGCAGAAAGAACGTCTTTGCAGCCCTTTTCTGGAATATTTTCACTTACTCATTGAATTAAGGATTTATTTCAACCAGCCTAGCTTTGGTGATTTTTATTTAATTTCTGTCCCATTATTTGGGTCTGAGATGCTGGTGCTCTAGTGTGACATCAAGTGGCAAGTGAATTTCATATATATAAAATCTCTTTAAGGCGCCAGTTTACTCCCTCATAACTTGGATGTTGGATGGTCTAATAGCTTCAGAAACCCCCCTACCTTCACACCTTTTCCACGTTGGATTTGGGAGGGGCTGCGTAGCTAAATGCAACCTTCACCCCCACTTCATGCCATGTTTGAACTTCTCTCTATAGCTCTGTGTTTGCGTGTGAACAACCAAGTTCAACACTGTGAATGTCTCCCAGGAGAAACTGTCTAAAAATATTCCCTACTCACTTGAGCTGAGAAGATCTCTGCTGCTACGTCTGCGACTCAGCCTCCTGCTCTGCTCCCACCACCCTCCGGATGCTCTTGATTGACAGGTACATCTCCTCCTCGGGGTCGTAGTAATAAAACTTACTCAGGTAGGATATTAGTGGTCTGAGAGAGAAAAAACATTGGTCAGCCAAGCGTGTGCCTGTGTTCGTTGTATTAGTACATGCACACAGTTGACAGTTGAATCTGCATCACTCAGCATACGTTAAAGTATTAGCATGGGGCTAATTATGAATAGCTGCACCACGATATCATTAAAATCACGGAGGTCTGGACAACACACTGTGAAATCCTCAGGCAGCTTCCTGACAGGCTTTGAAAAATGTCACAAGAACTGGCTGTTTTATTTTCTTGGTTAGGTACAAACAAATTCTCCTGAGGGTCATTTTGAGCACAACAACAAGCCCACAGTTGTGTGTCTCCATCCTTCTCTAACCGATTCATGTGCTTGAATTTGTCCAGATCTGTGTGCAAGGAGCCTAATGTTTAATCTCACAATCAAACAAGCAAGAGCACAGTGGATTTAAACAGCAAAGAAGTCTCTGTTTCAGCAGGTGGATGTTTAAATGATCACATGACTCTATAGGAGCGGAGTACCTGGGCAGTGGAAGCTCCTGGATGTGGTCGATGCGGACTATTTGTCGGATGCAGAAGCGACAGAGATGTTGTAGTGACTTCACGTTGCTGAAGCGAGATACAGGATACAGCAGCTGAACCGGGGTGGGAGGAAGCCCTGCAACACACACACACACACACACACACACACACACATTTAACATCATCTTTATATACTTTATTGTATATTTTTGTTGTTGTCAACAAATCCAATGAAAAGAGCAAACCAACAATGTGTTAGTTCCTCAGTGAATCTTTTTTTAAATGTCTCTGCTCGCTGCAGTTTTTTATGAAACGTTGCACAAACAGGAGGAAATGGTGCATTTGTTGGGGACTATTTTCAGCTGTGGATTAATCCACATTTGGTGCTCTAGTGAGTATTTGGGCCAGTGGGACGGTGTATGTAAGACTGAGTCAAAATAATTGACAGTGTGTGTGTTCATTGTAATCAGGGGGTCTCGCACCCTGGGGGCCATTTCCAGCCCTCCGTCCACCTCGTTGTTTTTCTAGTTGTATCATATCAATTTAAACTCCCCTTCATGTACAATTAAAATAAAAACACAATTGTAATTCTAAGATAAGTATGTATGTTAGTAATGGAAATATTTTCAGAATATTGCACTTTCTTGTTGTACTTGACCCTCCTGTGAGGAGACCAGCGGTGACTGTAAGAGCCCTGATTGTAAAGTGTGGCTCATTGATGTGTTTATAACTAAATAAACGTTGCTGTTTTATGCTGTGTCATGTGTATTGTCATTGTCCTGTTAAAATGTAATTAAATTAAAAAGGAGATACACTTGGTAGGGTTGGTATATTCTCCCTAAAACTCCTAACTGAGCTCAGCTGAGTTTCGAAACCATTCAATCAGTGGGCGGGAGGACAATCTTACCACGTGTGTTAGAAGAGACTGTTTGCTCATAAACAATGATTGCGGCTGCTAAAGAGGTTAGTGTAGATGCTGCTGGCATCGGTTATATCAGAACTGGATTATTTCACCATTGCAAGAAGAGCAAAGAACAACACTGAAAAGATGTTTTTGTTTTTGTCTGATTGGTTGAAATCAGTGGTGTCTGAAGAAGAGGGGGGCCTCTTAATGTATGCTGCAATATTATTTTTTCTTTTGCACATTGTCACTTAACTTGTGCTGCTTGACTTTAGGGAGTTAAGGATCATTACGTAATCAACATTAGCCACAGAAGAGGTGCAGATTTTGCCATCAGTACTGGCCCACAGACAAGCGAGACAACTACATAAAACCACTAGTGATAGATGGTGATAGACAGCTGGTTCATCCAATCACCTGCAGAGTTTAAGTGCTTGCCCTTTTCCAAACAGTTTCCAACAACTTGTTCCTCCACCTCCCAAATGTATCCTCAGCTCACTCACTGATTCTGTTGCATCAGGTGTTATAACAAAATCAGGGGGCTTATCTTTTACGCAATGAGGATTAAAGTGATATAAAAGCATCATTAAAGTAGTTTGTTCTTACGGCCTTTAGCAAAATATTACACTGCGTTTCATTTTAATCCTCAGTTTAAATCTAATTTAACCTAATTGTCATTCAAATCTGAAACCAAAGCACCAAGCCAATTAAAAGGCTTTTATTCTGCGGGGAAGGTTTTTGTTTTGTTCGCTGTAAATACAAGAACACACACATCATGCACTGACTGCAGACATACATACAGTCTATACATTCCTCTGCTCTTCTCACTAAGTGGCAGCTCACATCCATTTTTGATCGTCTCGGGCTGCGTGTGGATATATGACCTATATTTTACCTGGGACTCTGGAGCGGAGGAAGTAGAGGAATTTGCCATTCTTGGAGTGCATGATGGCTCGCTCGATGAACTCCACCACCGAGTGGCAACGGTCCTCAAACTTCGGGTGGCACCACAAGCTGAACGTCCCTGGAGGTGGAGGGAAATGTTTTTTCTTTATATATATCACATCTAGCATTTTATCATCTATAAATCATAACCAACATTAATTATGAAACATTTGTATAATTACAGTAAACATGTGAGACTAAGTTAGCTGCCTCCTTCAGCCTCCACATTTCACATTGAGACCCTCTTTGGTGTTTTTTTTGCAGAGCCTCTTTAACTACTCTTGCTCACATGACCTGATGAAGAACCAGTGTGTCGGGTTTAGTGGCATCTACCAGTGAAGTTTCAGATTGCAACTAACTGAACCGACTCTATGGAAGACGCCACAGTGCCTGTAGATAAAAACGGTTCATTCTCAGGTCACAAAAACACAATAATTGCTCATTTGAGGTTATTTCACACAAATTAAATGAGTATCTGGTAGAGAGTACAAGTACTAAATGAGTAAAATGTGTCAATAACCGTACTGGTATAGCAAGTTTTATAAAGAAAACTTCTGTTAATCATTCTCTTGTGATTAAAAACATTGCTCTGAAACTAAATTCTGTACATATTTTTCTTATAAATATAGCAACATCAGTATCAACCGATATCAATTTCAGACTTAGATTAACAACTTTAATTTAGCTTCACTCAGAGTACGGATATGAATACAGATAATTTTGTTGGTTTAACAGATACAGATAGTGTATAGTACTATTATATAGTAGTGTACTCACTCATCCCTAATAGCTGTTAATATTATAATCAATTTCTGCCAATAGAAGCTCCTAAATGTCACACATGGACCTTTAATTCTGATTGGCCGGGCAGTGAAAACAGATCTACCCCCACATTCATCCTGTAGGGACTTGAATAATCACATTAAAGTTCATGGCAATCCATCCCATAGACACCAACTGTAGAGCCACAATGCCTAATGTGGCTAAAAACTGCCCAATAATGAAAGTTTAATACAAGACTTCAAAATAAAAGCCTGTAATTTGCACAGAAACCCTTAGGGATGCTCAATAATTATAAGGGGAGATACATTATCATATACAATATTATCACAGATCATGAATTTCTGCTGAATTTCTATTATTGTGATAAATGTGAATATTCCTACATGCAGTTCAGTCCTTTATTGATTTTCGGATTTATTTTGAACAAGGGGACAAGAAGGAGCCCAAATCTTTCCAATCATTCAAAACCTGTCCGTTGTCTCCCCCCCACAAAAAAATAAAAAATCAGGCTGGATGTGTGGAAATAGTATAGATTCCAAACTAAAGAACAGGGAGATAAATATATGTGTTTCTTATAATATAAGTAGTTCCAGTATGTTTTTAGTGCCAAGTATAAAGAATATTTAGATTATCACAATAATTCTGTCCAAGATAATCGTGACCTGAAAGTTTCATATCGCCCCAGGCCAATCAGGCAATGATGTGACATTGATATTATTATTAATTACCCCAATAATTAAGTTATATCCGATAAATTAATCAGTCCATAATAATAATAATATTCTAATAAAGTCTTTATGTTCTATGAAAGCTAAAGTATGTGTGTGAGTATTTGTATTTTACTGGAAAAAATACACGAAAATGTAAAGAGTTAGAACTGTTGTTGTTGTTGTTGTTGTTGTTGTTGTTGTTGTTGTTGTTGTTGTTGTAAACAATAGTGATGTCAGTTAGATTTGGTTTGAATATTAAATCCTCCATCTTTGCTCACCACACATTCAGCCCCTCTCACCCTCAGGTGTGAATAAACTACACAACCACAATATCTTGTGAGTAGCAGGTAATTATCGGCTGGAAAAGAAGCACCGCCTCCTCTACAACCATCCAATCTGTGACTGCACACATGCAGAGTGAATAGACACATCTGCATAAGTTGGTGTGTGTGTGTGTGTGTGTGTGTGTGTGTGTGTGTGTGTGTGATTTCCTGTTGACTGCTCAGTGCTTGTTTACATCTGAGAGCCTTTCTGCCCTCGATTCATGCCAGGCCACGATGCGTTCATGCACACACGATTGTGCTGATGTGAATGTGTTGTGTCAGTCGGGGTCTGAACGTCTGAATAATGAATGTGTTTCCAGGCATGACTCCATAGCTTCATAATGGTGACTCATTAATGTAGAGCCCCCCATTTATGTATGCATGTCTGTGTGTGTGTCTGCCTGCATGTATCTTCCATGAGTCACCTTGTTAGTTTGTCCCACATGTGGCGTGTGTGCAAATATGCATGTGGTGTTATGTGAGTTATTCATGCTTCAGCACTGTGGTGTGATCTTATTGGATCTCTATTAGGACGTGTTTGGATTTATTCCAGATTTATTTGTGCTCTGTTTCTTTATGTTTTTGTTTAATATGGCTCGTGCAGCTGTTTATTGTTGTCCGATTGTTATGTTATATGTTATTGTTAACGAGTGAATGATTTATAAAATGTAACAGTATTTAGCTATTGCCATAAAATAATATAAATGCTTATAAGTTCACTGTTTTAACTGTTGTAGGAGCGATGTTGTGTCTTTAAAAGCTTCTTTATGTAATCAAAAGTATTAATTCAAGATAATAACAAAAACATTGTCTTCCGGTAAGTTCAGATTGAACACAAAGTGAATCTTTTGCCACTTTATTAGCACGTATGTGGCTGTTTTGTTGTGTTTCATTCATCACAAACCGACAGTACAGACGGCCGTAGCTGTTAGTAACATACCGGCTGTGTGAGTGCGTGTTTGTCTTCATCTCAAGCTCTCAGATCTCAGACAGTTAACTCAGTTTCTTTGTCTTGTCTTTGTACATTAAAGGAGGGTTTCACCGTTTTTCAAGTTTGTCTTTAAACAGCAGTCAAACATTTTCACTTCATGTTGACCTGCCTTGACATTAGTCATTAGTTGACTAAAAAATTAATTTGTAGAGGTTTAGTATGTAGGATTTAGTGACATCTAGCAGTGTAGTTACTGATTGCAACGCCCTCGCCTTGCGTATGAAAACATACCTGTGAATAATATATTTAATTTCTGCCAATAGATCCTCCTAAATGTTACACACTGGAGCTTTAAGATGTACTAGAAAGAATGACAGTGAACTCCATCCACTGAGGAAGACCGTGAGAAGCGCCTGAAAGCTCTGGAAGAAGACAGTCAATGTTATTTATATTTTAAGATGTTTCTCTACACGCCTGCGTCCTCTGCCAAAGGACAAAATCACCATGAAACTATGGATTCTTCAGTCAAATGCTCGTGTGCCATCATACATGTGGTTTGTGTTGAATGACCAGTGTATGGATGCTGTTTCTGTAGGCGTGTGTGTGTGTTGTGTGTGTGTGTGTGTGTGTGTGTGTGTGTTGTTGTTCCTTCACACATAGCTTATTGCTTGTTGGTGTGTGTGTGTGTGTGTGTGTGTGTGTGTGTGTGTGTGTGTGTGTGTGTGTGTGTGTGTGTGTGAGAAAGCACACTTGTACTTCTATCCTTGTGAGGACATTGAGGACAATGAGGACATTGCGTCCGGTCCTCGGTTTCAGGGTTACGTTTTATAATTGGGTTTAGGTCAGGGTAAGGTTAAGGTATATAGCTATAATGGTTTGGGTTAAGCTATAATTACACCTTCCTTATAACCAGAAGAGTTAGGGTGATGTAATATTTGTCATCTGCACATGTCTGCGAGCGTCTGCAGCCCAAGATTTATGACTCTGCACTCGCAGCTGTAATTGATGACGGCACGTGTGCACATTCATCTCATAGCAGCGTTACATAAACACAAGTCTTGGGTTATTATTTTCAAACACTAAATATGATCTTCATACCTGAAGATTTAAACATTCTTTAGTCAATATTTTGCACATTTCATCCTCTTTATTTTAGTCACTGGAGAACTGTTTTAAAACAGATATATTTAACATTTATTATATTATGATATATTTATGATTGATGACTTTTGTAGTACTTAAATACCAACTCGAATTCTCTTTTTTATACATATTTGGTTTTTGTACGCACGTTTTTACCCAAATTCTCTGTATGTGAAAGCCTACTTTGTCTCATCACAGCTTCAGTTTTTAAAGGGAATATGTTTGTTTCATTCACAAGTGCATTGTTAGAGTTAGTGTACAAATGTTTGTGCGTGTTTGAGTGTGTGTCTCACCTCGGTAGTGCTCCATGCGTGTGTGGTGTGTGACTCCCTGCGACCTGAAGCTGAGGCTCAGGATGTATCGGGGGTCCGAGCTGTCTCGGACCAGGAAGGATCCGTCCGGTTTCCCCTTCAGCTTCATCTCTGCGTCCTCCCAGTTCATGGGACCCCAGTACCAGCCACACTGAAGAGAAACCAACAAAACCTTCAGTAACCTCGTGAGAACCAGCTTCACTGCCGCTCTCAGTTTCTCTTTTAACTGTTTTTTTAACTGTCACGATGCTTGGATGCAAGGATGGAGACCCACAACACACTGATCTCAGAGGATACACTCATCAGAATCCATTTCCTTTTTCTCTGATCATCTTTTCTCTCCAATGTGAGTGTTACCTTCTCGAGCTCTCTCAGACTGGCGGTGAAGTTGCTGGCCTCAGACCGCCGCAGGGCGCACAGCATGGGGGGCGGGGCCTGTCTGGAAGGGGGTTGAGCATCAGCCGGCGATGGGGACGAATGAGGAAGTGCCCGGAGGAAGGCGTCTAAACCAGGAAAAGAATGTCAAGAGAAATTAAAGGTGCTACGTGAAGCATTTTCAAAGCTGAACTGAAACTTTAAGTGAATGCTAATATAAAAAAAATCTGCAAATTTTTCTATATTTGTTTTTATTAATTTTTATTACTTTTTAAGTATTTGGGAAGCATCTAAGACTGGAGCCTCTGAGTAAGCTGATGAGTGACAACTAGTGCTAGAAGACCGATCACTGATGGAGATCAAAAGTTTGTTACAAGTACAATTTTTTTTCCAGCCATTAAATATTTAGGCTGTCTGCCCCTGGAAGGATCCATCATGCTGGTGAGTTTATATTCTACTCAGAAAGTGGAGGCGAGTTAGCCTAGCTTGCTTGCTAAGAGAAACCCCAGCGGGTTCACTTGTTTGTGAAGCAAGGACTGGATATAGCGTTGGAGGCGGGGCTCCGTTTATTCCTATTGAAGCTGCTCAGCGGCGCAAAAAAAGACACATTTCTGGATCTGATTCTGATCATTTCTTCCACATGGTGCAGCCCATAGAACCAGCGCACCAGAGGCTTCCACCTGCAACTTCCAGTTTAGCCCTCCACTAACTTATTTATAACCATATTACAGCCGCTGCTTTCACAATGTAAGGTCATGATGGAAACCATTGCTGTAAAAACACAGTTTGGCCACTATGTCAAATCATAAATTAAATGATATTACAATTTATTTTGAGTGCAAGCCCACACACATACAGTACTGCAATGACATGTAGAGGGCGCTATCATGGCTGACAACATACAGAAAATGTCAAATTTGTATTTTTCCCTTAAATAAAAACTTAACAAACTTGATTTCTTAACAAAAAAAGATTTAAAATTTCAGTTGACAGCAGCTTATAAAACTATAAATAATGAATGTATGAGAACTAAAGCTTCACTAAATTAGGACCACTTTTCCCATCAGCCCATTGCTTATTAATTAATTATTAATTCTATTACGATGTAGACCTGATTTATTCAAAAAAGTGTCCTGAAATAACTTCTGTTATTATTTGGTGCAATACAAATAAAACCGAATTAATTAATTCATGTTTTTTTGCTTCGTTCGCTCCTCGGCAGCTCTCACTTCCTGTTTAGTGCCAGGAGGCAAAGCGAGTAGATTCACCGACACCGTCTTACCATTGAGGCTGAGACTGTGCTGGATGGTGGCGTGGGAGGGAGGAGGAGGAGGAGGGAGAGGCAGGGGGAGGGACTGCAGGGAGGCGCCCATAACACTCACTAGGAAAGGCCCAGGCTGAGGCCCGGCTATGTCATCTGGAGGAAGGACAGGAAGGAAAAGGAGAGAGCGAGGAGGGAAGGAAGGAAGGAAGGAAGGAAGGAAGGAAAGGAAACAAGGGCAGGAGAGGAGGGCAAAGTCAGTGAGGGAGGAAAGGGAGAAAGAAAGAAATAAAGTGTCACGACAAGAAGAGGAGGAAGAGAGAGAGGGTGAGGGAAAAAGAAAGGTAAGACAAAGGGAGGATAGCGTTCAGCACCATCAGTCAGAAAGCCTCAGTCCACCAAATTAAAAGACTTCCCCTTTTCTTTTAATATTTTGTGGATTTACTTGGTATCTCTGTCCAACAAATCCCCCCAAAAAGACTCAAACTAACAATGAATGTATCCACTAACAAGTATTGTGTATCAAAGCCGGATTTATCTTCTTCCTCTGAGCCACAGAGCTCCGTCATTGTCCAAAAACTATTAAAAACACATCAGTGAGTCACACTGGGTGACATGTTCCTTCATTACCATGAACACACACACTGTAGTTTATTTTGACTCAATCCCACACACACACACACACACACACACACACACACCGTCTCGCTGCACCAAACACTCACTAAAGCACCAAATGTAGATTAATTCGCCGCTGAAAATAGTCCCAAACAAATGCACTACTTCCTCCTGTTACAATTGTTTAAAAACTACAGTGAGCAGCTGTTTGAGCATGAAGTGAGGGACTAACACGTCGTCTGTAATACTGTCAACCTTATCTTTTAAAGGATGCTTCAAGGACCAGTGTGTAGGATTTAGTGGCAGCTCATTGCAACTCCCTCGCCTCACTCTCGTGTTCAAAGCCTGCAGGGGAAACTACAGTGGCCACACCACCCGTGAAAATGCAATAAGGCCCTAATAAATGTACCTAATATTTATATTTACCTATAAATATTAGTTTCCATTTCTGCCCATAGATCCTCTTAAATGTGAAACACTGGACCTTTAAGTCTGCTGCATATGTGGGTCAGAAAAGGCTCGGAGCAAAAATATTCATTTGAAAGGTCAAAGAATGGCCATGATTTTAGAAATAGGGGGACAAAAGTCAGATTTAGGAATGTAATCTTTACATTTCACATAGTTTACAACTGATTTCTTGTTAAAAACTCAGGATCAGTCTCTTATTGGTCTGATTGGGCGGTTTTAGTGCATTTGGCGACCAAAAAAGAATCAGATTTAATCTTAACTGCTTTGAAACGACCTTAATAAATAAAATAAAATCACTGCAACAAAACAAAAACAAAACTATGCCCCTTAAAAAGCAACAAGAACATAAAAGTTGTTGTTTTTTAAACTCTGGTACAGATTGTTTTCCTTGTGCGAAGGAAGAAAACTGTTTTTCCATCGATTGAGTCATTGCACTCAGATTTCAAATTAAATCTGTAGTTTGCAGCTGACCTTTCAAAGCTTCTCCAATCAGATTACAGCAGATTACAAAAATGCGTCTGTGTCTATTTCCAGAAAATGTACGACAGAAAACAAAATTTATCAGGAAGTATTTGACGGAGACAGAAATATCAAGAGAAACTGCCATTGCTTCCTCTTCATTTAAAGGTATAAAGAGTAAAGTAAAGCACTCTGTAAAGCTTAGAACTGCTTCCTCGCTACCATATTCACCATCTTCCATTTGTGTGTGTGTGTGTGTGTGTGTGTCTGTTTGATTGAATGAGATGAGGAGAGAAACAGAAGTAGACGGGAAGAAGAGAAAAGTACCTAACAAACTGAGACTTCGACGTGGAGGAGGGGGAGGCGTGGGAGGGTGTGGCGTGTTCGCCCCTCGCCGTGAAATATCCACATCCACCAGGGAAACAGTCTCACCTGAGGTCAGACGAGAAGCAGAAGGAGAAAAGAGAAAGGAAGGAAGTGAAAGAAGGTGAAACAAACAGGCTCTCTCGGTTTGTGTGTCTGTAATTTGCGTGTTGTGTTTTTTGTCTGTGCTGCAGAGTGCCAGGAAAGCTGCAACCAGGCAGGATGTTTATGGAAAATTACACCGAGCTAATCAGCCTAAATCACTGCAATAAAGAAGAACATCCCATCCCCGCTAATTGAGACGCTGCAGATTCACTGTTTACCAAAGTGAAATTCTGCAGTTGGGGACGGTTACTGGCAGGGAAAGAAACAAATTCAAACGCAGCAGCCAAATCCCCCACCGCCTCCTAAACAGCAGAGAAAGCCGAACTCACCCACTTTAGATCTCCTCTTCTATCATCTTTTTTTTGGTTGTGAAACATCACAGAACCGGCTGGGTTTGGTAAACACGAGCGGACTTCCTTCCTTTTTTAATTTTATTATATTTATTTTAAGTCCCCAAGATTTCAAACAACCCATCTTCGCTCCTGTGGGGCCACCGATGTGAAATGTTGCCTGCATGGTGCAGCTTTAATGTTTCTGTCTAATTGGTAGTTAGCCCTGTGCAGAAGCATGTGTTCATTAACTACAAAAATCATCATATTCAAGAAAGTGGATTTAGCCAAACTGAAAACCCACGAGCAATGTGGGACAGCAGAATCTACTTCTGAGCCCCTGCGGTGGGTGTGGGCAGATTCTTATAAAGTCAGCTGAATCATTTTTTGCCAGCCGAGCTACAGTCCTCCTCACCCTTCTTACCTAAAGGCCTTTTGTGCTAAATCCTGTCTTATCTTATCTGCTGCACCAGTTACAGACTCTGACTGGTACAAACAGTTAAAGGTTGCAGATTCAGAAATGTGAAGTTTTTTTTTTTTTTTTAATTAATTGTCTTATTTTTTAATATAAGAACTTTAAAATTAGTAGTTCAACATTTTGGGGGAAATGCTTATTAGCTTCCGTGTCTGTGAAGTGAAGCCAACACAGAAGTGATCTTAAACCTGCATTCTTTCTAATGGACAGCAGGGGGCAGCTCCACTGGCTGTGAAGAAAGAAGTCTCATAGTATTGAGTCTTATGGAGAAATGAGTCGACTTCTCAGTTGATTTATGAGCTCAGTAAACAGTTTCCTGATGAGTTTCTGGTCTCAGTCTCTAGTTTCAGTCTTCTTCCATACAGCATGATGTTCATTTAGTAACTGATGGTCCTATTTAGAGTAAAAAGGTAATAAAACTTAAAAGTTATATTCACTCTCTGATAAACAGCCTCATCCTGCATTACAAAAGTTTGCAGTTAAAACCAAAGCAAAGAGCTAGAAACAGTTTTTATGATTGGTTAACATCTTTAAATACGTGTTATGTATTTTGAAATGTTGATAATTATATAAAAAGTTATAATATAATATATCAAGAAAACTCATCTCTGATTCAAAAATGAGCTCAAAATTTATCCAAATCACTTGTTTTACTGAACCGTCCAATACAACATGTTACATAAGCTAAGCAAACAATCCCCCGGCTCCAGCTTCATATTTAACAGACATGAGAGTGGCATCAATCTTCTAACTGATAATCAATCATCTAACTCTCAGCAGGAGAGCAAATAAGTCTATTTCCCAAAAGGCTGCACTGTTTCTTTAATATCAAATGTAACATGTAGGTGCATAATAGTGAAACACTATAAATGTGGTTGAATGGTTGATGGTTGAAGATTATACAAATTACTTATTCACACTTTAATACTTCATACAGACCGAAATGTGTCTACAAACACTGTCACAAACTGGAATAATTGGTGTCTTCATTATCTATTCTTTGATTTTAAAGTAAACTCATTTTAGACTTTAACAAACCGTCAAAATTAAATTTGACTTAACCCAAAAAATAACAGGATTTTTGAGAGATTTGTTTGACCTGCCTGAAGTCACTTTACTTTAATTCAGTAGTTCCCAACCTTTTCCCTTAAGGGACCCATTTTTTATCATTCAATAAACTGACGACATATTTTATGGATATTTCATATTATATTAAAAACTGTACAATGAATTCAAACTGTGAACGCATCAAGTTTGTGTAAAATGAGTGATTTTGATGAATTTTGAGCGGATTATTTCCTGTTTAGGGAACTTTTTATACATTTCTCTGTTTGTTTCATGTATTTTTTTTTACACTTAACAGGCTTCTTTTTGGACAAATTCAGTGTTTTCTTTTCCCTGACACTTTGTTCTATTAGAAATATACTGAGTTAAAGGCTTGCTATGTATATTTGATAAATCAAGAAGGCTTCACAACCCCTCATGAAGCTTTATCAACCCCTAGTGGGGGTCACAGCCCCCAGGTTGGGAACCACTGCCTTAATTGACCATAAACCTGATTAAAATACAATTTCATAAGTTGAGCGATAGAAAATGTATTTTTAATTTTACCTTGGCTTTAAGGAATAATCAGTTTTCACTATTTTCTGTCATTTTTTATATTAAATTAATCAACAGCACATTAATGGATACTGAAAATAATCTTCAGTTGCAGAGTTTGGACTGGAGTCCTGCGTGCTGAGTGAAGTGTCGGGGGGGCTTTTTCCCCCAGAAAATAAAGCCTTTCTGAGGAGTTGCAACCTAAAGCGTCGGAACAGCCCTTACCAGTGAAAGCAGAGAGGGAGGCAGAGAGGGAGGCGGGAGAGAAGGCACTGTGGGCCCTGGTCAGTCTGGGCTGGCTGTGGCTGCAGGACACACATCAAGACAGGCAGAAGAAGGAGAAGAACATGAGAGGAGAGTTAAAGAAGTGCAGAAAACGAAAGCATTAGAAGCTGCAGAGGTTCAGAAAATTAACTTTTCAGTGTGAGTGTGAGTGTGTCTGCAGTTTTGGGTCCTGCAGCTTTTTTTTTTTATAAAGTTTTTCTGTTTGATGCTCTTAGCTCTGGCAGTCAAGACTTCTGAAGCTATGTTTTTTTAATCACAGCCTTCCTTCAGTGTGCTGCTGTGAATAATGACTAAGCAGTGAGTTGGATAGAGGGTGACAGGCCACAAAGGTTTGAAAAAGAAATCTCTTTGCTTTCTAATGACATGCAGCAGTGAAAAGTTCCTGAATGTCTGAGAGAAGGAACCAGCCAGCTGAAGGAGGGAAGTCAAACCATGAGAGAACAATGACTGCCCAGCTTATTAAGCAGCAGAATGGGAGAAAACTTGGAGAGGAATCAACATGTCTGGACTCTGAATGAATCTCCATCAGGACACAAAACAGTGACTCTGAATGTGTTCCTTCTTTTTAACATATTGATCCAATTTTTGTCCTGAAACTTCCTGAAAACAGATTATTTCATTTTATGTGCAACTTGTTGTTAAAAGTCTAAACCCAACAGAGGAAACTGAATGAATCTCCTGATTGTCCATGTGCCATCCATGAAGATTGCTTTGATCTTATGAATGACTGTTGGACCATTCAGGGCCCCGTAGAGCTGCTCACCTGTCCGCATCCTGCTCCGGACCTGCGCTGCTCGCCATGTCCACCAGACTCCCGGCAGAAGATACTGAGTAGGTCACTGAGGGCCTCTTGTCCAGCAGGTGATTGGAGCCGCTGCAGCTTTTAGTCCGGAACAGTTTACTCAGGCGGATCTTTAACGAGCCCTTTTTGGACTTCCCCGGAACTTTGAGGGTCTTTTCCGCACCCGCGGCCCATCCTGTGGGAGTCCGCGGCGCACTGGCGCACCGCTCCGGCCGCCTTCTGGGTGTCGACGCCTGGCTCGGGTTTGGGCTTGTGGTCCAAGGGGAGTTCTGGACCGGTGTAGGTGACGGTGACATGGTTGCAACCTGGGCGACAGCCTCTGAATCCCCGGAGCTTACCTGCGAGAGGCGGCTGGCTAAGTTCCCGTGGAGGCTGCACACCTGCGCGCCAAGGTGCGCTGCTGCCGCCGCCTCGGTCGCCGCCGGGGCCATCCCCTCCACCTGCCTCCTCAGCTCCGCTTGGAAGCTGCTGATGGAGAAAGTCCCGGACATTTTCTGAACTATTTCCCTTTTCCTGTTGAGCAAATACTCGCGGCGTCCGTTCTCATCATCCGTCTCACCCTCCGGGCACTCGTCCATGCCCAGGCCGGCAACATCCCCGCTCCCCAGCCCCTCCAGGACCAACAATGCATCGCTGGTCTCTGTCGGGTCATCCCCGGGCTCTACTCCCCCTCCTGCCGGCCCGTGTGCGCCCTGACACGAACACTGCGGGAGCTCCCCTGCTTTGAACAGCATCTTGGGTACCGCACCGACCCCCAGCTCCCCGAACCGTCGGGCCAGCTCAAACACGGCTCCCTCTCGGTCCCTGGTGGCGCATCCCCATTTAGAGTCAATCACGGTGAGAGGGTTGGATCTCTCCGACAACAAGGGCCACTCGGGCGGGGTAGTGATGAGTCGATGTCGGCGGCACAGCTCCGCAGCTCCCTGCATGTCCGCGGTTACCGGCGGATGCGCTCCCCATGTCCGGTCCAGCAGGTTCTGCTGCTGCTGGACGTCTCCCGGACTCAGGGTGTTGTTATTGACAGTCGGGCCGGAGCAGCCAGACCCCGGGCTCTGGTCCAAACCCAGAGCATCCCTCGGCTGATTCCGTCGGTCTAATTCTAAAATCCCCTCTCCGTTCCGCATTATATTGGAGAAGACCAGCAGCTGAGGCCGTAGGCCGGGGCTGGGAGCGAAGTCGAAGCCCTGGGCCTCCATGGGGCTCTGCGGCGGAGGAGGCGCGGACAGCGGGGCTCGGCTCTCCGTCCCCCCGGTGTCAGGTGCAGCCGTGCCCTCGCCGCTCGGCTGCGCTTTGTTCAGACGGTTGCTGGGATGCTCGAGGCCCGCCGTCGGATCTCGGCTGATATCCAACCCCGCTTTGACGCCGCTGTGAGCCAGGACCTCCTTCCCCAGCCCTGCCACCACTCCTCCCGGCGGCAGATTCCCGTTTTCTGCGTCCAAGCGGTCATCCTCGGCCGCGGAAACCAGGCGCATCAACACGAAATCGGGCGACATATCTTGCGCGTTGTTCATAATTATTCCTCAGGATCGCGAAACGAGAATTATTAGGCGATCTGCTCTTCACATAGCTAACCGCGGAGATCTCGTTCCTATAATAAAGAAAGGGCCAAGCCGCCGCTGCCTCCCATAAATAGGCTATGAGCGAAAATGCCAAAAAATATATCAGCCGATTTTTTCATCCTCCTCCCCTCACGACAGCTCAGCATCCATCTGTCAAATATCGGGGGACCGAGTGCAGTTCGCTCCGGGCAGCAGGCGGACCCCTGGGTCAGACATGCGGTCTGATTTGAGTGGAATAAAAGCCAGTAGAGTCTCCGGTCAGTGACCACAGTCTGCCTCTGTGTTCCCAGCCCAGGCCCCACCCGCTCCTCCTCCGCTCAGCCCATAACACCACTTTATGAGCACCGATGATGACAACTATAAATTAGTCTGTGGCATTTTAATATCAGAGGGGCTATACCTGGATCAGCCTCCAACATCCCAAAACAGCTGATTTCTGTTTTCATTCCTTATAAGGAGACAAAAGTAATAAAAACACTGTGTTCTTATAATATTTCTGTAAATGGGTTTATTCATTCATGTGTTTCTGCTCGACTGCAGGTTCACATTTTATTGGTTTACTTTGAGTTTAATCTGCAATTTAATAATATTTCTGAATAATAATATTTTTTTAATCAAATATTTATATCATTGACCACAAATGTCAGTGGAAACTTCATATTTTTCTAAACTAAATTCAAAGATACAGAATATGTTTCTGTATGTTTTCATAGAAACTGTGTTACAGTTGATCCAAAGTGGTCAGATATTAAAGGTGCAATCCACTGAGGAGGGACAATGACCCTGATGACTTCATAGTGATGTCATCGGGGTTATTTTGGAGTGTGAACTGATCCTGACGTCGCCCATCGGTACCGCTTTGAAGCCTTGGGTTTTGGTGTTGTGGTTGTAGCCGTGGCGGTTTGTCGGAGCCAGCGGAGGCGACGTACTGTGGTCACACACGAGCTCTCGTATTCCAGATAAACAGTTAAAATCTGTTTGTGAACGCAGTAACAGAATCTGGATCCATATCTGATCAGCACTGTGTAGTTTGACAGTTTGATCTGAGTTTGGTGTGTTGAGCTGGACGGACTCACTGAGAATGAGCTGTCAATCACAAGGTAGCCCCACCCCTAAAGCATACCCTGCTTTATGGTCTGTTTTACTCTAAATGGGACCATCAGTTACTAAATGAACATCATGCTGTATGGAAGATGACTGAAACTAGAGACTGAGACCATAAACTCATCAGGAAACTGTTTACTGAGCTCATAAATCAACTGAGAAGTCAACTCATTTCTCCATAAGACTGAATGGTAATGGAGCTGCCCCCTGCTGGTCGTTACAGAGAATGCAGGTTTAAGACTTCACAGACCCGAAAGCTCTGTCCGTTATAAATACTGTCAGTGTTTTGGATTTTACAGTGGGAACAACCCTCTCACAATAAAACACCCACTGTAATATAAATTAGATATGTTATATTCTAACAGCTTTAACAGGTATAACATCTATAAATCCTGCACATGTACCTACAGATATATATAAATCTACTGCAGGTAGATTCCCCACCTTTTTTTACTTAATGGACTTTTTTCTATCAGTCAGACATATTTTATGGATATTTCAGTTCAATTCACAACTAAAGTTATCTCAGGACTATTTTCCAGTATAGTTAGTTGATAAAAAAAATCATGTAATTTAGTACAACATTAGTCACTTTACAATTACTTTTTTTGCACACAAAGAGCTCATAAAACATGATGTTTTGTTATAAAAACCATATTTTAAACCTTCCAACAGTTCAAACACGTACAGATGATGATATAAATTATATTTTAAGAACTCTTACAAACCAAACGATTGATGGATTGATGGATAAAATAATCAGCAGATGAGTTAATTAGTTGCAGTCTGATACCAAATTGTTCAAAATGAGCTTTTACATTAATGCATGAGTCATAATAATCTAATAATATCATATCTAACAGAACAACAATCACAGGAGGGAACATTTTTACACCTTTAATACTTTCAGTATATTTTCCTAATTGGTATCAGTACTTCTGGATACTTCCTCCACCACCTGCTTTAATTTGCTCAGAACTATTTTATAGCTCACATTTAATGAGGTGTTGGGAGTGGAAGCGGTTCTCGCTGGCTTTCTCCCAGACAGCTTTGTGAGTTAAGAACAAGTTTATTAAGTCCTCCGTCAGACGACTGTCGCTCCTTCAACCTTAAAGTTCTCAAAGGCTCCGTCCTCGCTTCAAATTCAGACAGATTCCTCATCACGTCTGTGGTAATAATCGAAGCTGGTGACCAAGAAAATTCAACTAAAACAAGAGAAAACACACTCTGGAAACAAACTGAAACAAAACTGAATTAAAAACAAAAATAAAAACTAGTGAAAAATCCAAACCTGTAATAACTCTGGTGTGTGTGTGTGTGTGTGTGTGTGTGTGTGTGAGAGAGAGAGAGAGAGAGAGAGAGAGAGAGAGAGAGAGAGAGAGAGAGAGAGAGAGAGGCATTGTAAAGCACTCTGGATAAAAGCATCATATAAATGCTGTCCATTAACAAATCATCCTGAGGGGAACATGAGTGTGTGTTTGATTCCATCTATCAGCAGCTGTAGAGAGAAAAATGTGCACACGTGTTTAAAAGGGAACTCTTGTTTTTGTTTGTACTTGTGTTTGACATTTGTTTTTGCATTATTGGTTGTTTTTTGGACCCTGTGGTTCGTTTGTGTGGTGACATTTTAATTTCCCCACGAGGATAAATCACATGTATTTATCTATCCAGAGACATTTCTACAAATACACAAAATGCCAAACTAATAGAGGAAATCTCCATTCATCCTCTAAAGCAGTGGCTCCTTTTTCCTTCAGGGACCCATTTTCTATCATTTATTAAACTGACTCAGTGACATATATATATATATATATATATATGATTATTTCATATTATATTAAAACTGTACAATGAACCCAAACAATGAACTCAGTAACAGCACAAAGTTTGTGTAAAACGAGTGATTTGGATGAATTTTGAGCAGATTATTTCCTGTTAATGGAGCTTTATATACAATATATTTGTCTGTATTGTGATTTTTAAAAATGTTTAACAATCATACAGACCTAATAGGCTCATAGGCTTCAGTGTTTTCTGCTCCCTGACACTTGGCTATTGTTCTATTAAACAATTTACTTTACTTTAATTTTCTGCACAAAAATGCTAAGATATGGGCCTACCGTGTGTATTTTTTAAGTTTTCTAGCACGCCTTAAAATCAAGAAGGCCTTGTGACCCCACCATGAAGCCTTTGGCGACCCTTAATGAAGGTCCCGACCCCCAGGTTGGGAACCGCCACTCTAGAGACCATGAAGTGGTTGACTGACCAATAGAAAATAACCCAGGGTAAAACATTTGCTCAGCAGTCTTTTTTTCTTAATAAAATGCAGCACAAACAGAATGAGATTAACATTTCTTGTAATACGAGCAGTGCGGAACATATTTGGTTTATTTTACTGGTGCAAGACAAACATCTACTAAATATACGATTAGCAGCCAGCAAGAAAGCTGTAACATGAAAATGGGAACAGATCAAACCTCAAAGGCCGACTGGATAGATATTGTGACTACTGTTTAAAATATGGAGACAATTACTTTTAAGATACAGGTTGATTAATTCCTTCAATACTTGGAAACATGGATTATGTTTGTGAAGATGATTATTGAGCCTTTACGTCATGGACTCATGTGTATTTTCGTCAATATAATGTCTGAATGGACTCACACAGCTGACCAACCGACACACTATGTATCTTTGTATCTTAATGTTGCTTAGAAATTAAGTATATATACATGCATACATATATATATAAAGATTCATATTTCTTACAGGCTATTTACAAATAAGAGGACTCTGGGTTTCTTTGTTTGAGGGCCCCCTGGTGGCTCAGCACAGAAAGCAACCAGTACGCCCCCAACGCTGACCAGGAGGGTTGCATTAATGTCGGGTGGCAGGCAGATGGCGCTGCAGGCCATCCGGCAGTGATGGATGATACTGCTGGTGAATACAGATAATGATGGGAGAGTGGATGAAGGGCCATTAATCCTTACAGTCCCTGTGTATGTGTGTGTGTGTGTGTGTGTGTGTGTGTGTGTGTGTGTGTGTGTGTGTGTGTGTGTGTGTGTGTGTTTACATGTAAGCCACAGAGAGGGAGGCAGTGTGTGTTCATATCTGAGGTTTATGTGGAGTAATCAAACTAACAACGTTCCCTGCACAGCTGAATATTGATGAGATGCAGCCTGGAGGTCAGAGGTCAGCAGCATTAACATTACACTACTGTTGTTTATTTATTTATTTATTCATTGTTTTGTTTGTTTTTTTCTTGCATCATCTTTTCATCTCTCTTCTTATCTCATATTGTCTTTGTCTCATTTTAATTAGGAGTGAATTTGTGAAGCAAATGCAGTTCAAAGTGTTTTACGGGTACATTTTAAGAAGCAATGCATAGACCAGTGGTTCCCAAGCTGGGGGTCGGGACCCCCACTAGGGTTCGCCAAAAGTTCACGGGAGGTCGGTAGGCCTTCTTGATTCTAAAGGGTGAAAGAAAACCTTAAAAATATACAGAGTAGGTCTATATCTCAGCATTCTGTTCATTTCTGTGAAGAAAACGTCTCCTGGTAGCTCACCTGGTGCTCCTGTCTCTGCTGTATCGCCCACTTCCTGTCACTCTTCAGCTGTCACTATCAATGTAAGGCAAAAGGAGAAAACACTGAATCTGTAGGTATGGTATAAAAAGTTCCTAAAAATATCAAGAAACTGATCAAATAAACAGGAAATAATCTGCTCAGAATTCATCCAAATCACTCATTTTATACAAACTTCCTGCAGTTATTGTGTTCACTGTTTGGGTTCATTGTGCAGTTTATCAGCTGTTCTCTACTGTTATTGTTATGCACTGTTTACTCGATTGAAAAGGCGTCAGTGAAAGAAAAAGGTTGGGAACTGCCGGTATAAAGAAACAGCAGCGAAAGAAAAGAAATGAGCTGAAGCACTGAAAGAAGTTTAAATAATCAGATATTCTTGACTCCTCTTATTTTAGTTTCTCACCTCACTTTTTGTGTCCTATTATTGTCTCCTTGCATCTCGTCTTCCTCTCATCTGGTCTCATTTTGTGAGACAACAGAGATTTCATGTGATTCAAACCATTGTGCGTGTTCCTCTCGACGCGGTAAAGTTTGCAGTAAAAGACAAACGGTGACCTCGCTGCGACCACAAGACTTCATCGAGCTCCACGGAGTCACAGCTGCAGTTCCAGCGTCTAGCTCCTGCACTCTTTGAGGAAGGCGTACATACTTAAAAAACAAAAACAATAATGATTTGTGGTTCCCCCTGCAGGTTTCGGAGCTTCTTCAGATCGCTGATAGCCAAACGAGTGCGTGGGAGGCACTCGGTGACCTGCGATCAGTTCTAAGCTACGATGCTTTAGGGAGACACCGCTTTATGACAGATGTTTGTAAAATAATTTTAATGATTCTCAGCCTGAAGATGCTTTTGGGAGACAGAGCTCTACAGTTCCAGATTAAATATGAAGAAGCTGGCATGTGTGGTGTGTTGAAGTGATGAGAGAGTGGGTGGAAGAGGGGGATCGGAGGGGGGGGCTGCAGCTCAGATTCGCCCCCGGGTTCCTCTGTTCGGTTGTTCAGGCCATGAAAAGGGACATAGTTGGATACGTCCTGCAGTCCTGTAGAAAGTAGAAGGACAGTAGAAAGTTAAAGAGCTCAAAGGGTAAAGTAGCAGTTTTTCTTGACAAGAACGTATAGTTTTATAGTTTATATGATCATTTAAGGGCTATGCTATTAAACTTTGTTTCTGATTGTTTATTCTGTGTGCGTAGATTAAAAAAAGTGAGTTTTAGGAGGAAAGTCGTGTTAAAATTCTCTGTTTATATTATAATTATATGTACAAGGTTAAGTGTTAAGTGATCCACCACCGCAACAACAAACTACATCTGGTGTCTTATGGGTCGTGGGGGGTTTGGCACTTGTATGCACACGAGTCACGACACGGTAAATATCAGAAGTGCTGAGTAGAGACGCACAGCGAGACTCTGAGAGAGGAGAGAGAGCGGAATGTGACTCATGTTGTGTTTAACCGACGGCGTCTTTTCATCCCCGTGCACTTGTTGTTTGTATGTCTTCCTTTGAGGGGCTACACGAAGAACAGACAGGAACACGACGGCACTGCAGCACGACATGGATGCACAGGTGACACACACACACACACACTGTCTTATTGTCTTCCTCAGGCTCGACTGCAGCACCTTCGCTCTGCAGTGAAGTCCCAGGGTGGGAGGTGGGAGTGTGTGTGTGTGTGTGTGTGTGTGTGTAGGGGGAGTTCGGGGGTGGGGGGTGGGGTTCTCAGAATCTGGTTGCCATGGCCACCAAAACAAGGATTCTTGCCTGCATCACTCCTCCCAGCACCCCCCTACTCTTCTCTCTCTCTCTCTCTCTCTCTCTCTCTCTCTCTTCCTTTTTTCTTCCTCATGCTTCTCATGCAGCATCTCACTCATCTGGACTGCACACACAGACACACACACACACACACACACACACACACACACACAGACACACACACACACAAGCAGGGAATTCCCTGACACTGCAAAAAACCTACAAACGATATAAATCAAATCTCTTATTGTTGTTTTTATATCTGCAATCTACGGATGTCAACATGCTGCATCTATGATCTCCTCCTGTGTGTGTGTGTGTGTGTGTGTGTGTGTGTGTGTGTGTGTGTGTGTGTGTGTGTGTGTGTGCGTGCGTGTGTGTGTGTGTGTGTGTGCATTAAAAGAGCATCCTCTTCCTCATATACTCTCTCTGTATAGGAGGGGTTAATCCATCCATCCATCCAGCAGGGGGATTCTTGATGGATGCCCAAATGCAGCAGAGCTTAACCCTCATCTCTGACTGACTGCATCATCCTCTCCTCTGTGAACACACACACACACACACACACACACACACACACACACACACACACACACCAGATGTACCACTCTCATCACCTTTCAGCGCCTCTCTGGATACGTAGGAGGGAGGCCCAGGGTGAATAAAGGGGAGGGAGGGGAAGAGGGAATGATGGAAGAGAGGGGATGGTGGTGCGATGGGGGGGTGGGGAGGGAGGGAGGGAGGGAGGGAGGATGGACGAGCATCACAAGCCTCCGTCAGATGGGCTGGAAGCTCTTTGGAGCAACAGATAGCAGAGCGGCAGACAGAAGAGAGGAGAGGAGAGAAAAGGAGGAAATTGGCTCTCTCCATCCCTCCATCTCTACAACGCACGACTCTCCTCTCTCTTCCTCCCGCCTGACACGGGGATCCCCCAACTTTGAGGCTTTTCCCTCTTCTTCCTCCTCCTCCTCCTCCTCCCTCCCCGCCTCCTCCTCCTCTATCTTGCGCACGCTGCGTTTGCTTTGCTCCGGAGCTTGGCGCACGGCTGCACGACAGTAAACCGCGGCACACGGAGACTGAGCGGCACCGCAGGCAGGGGGGATACCGGACGGACTGCGGAGATGCAGGGATTGCTCCCTGCGTCCTGCGCCTCCCACCACCAGCACCAGCACCGCCGGGGACACGCAGGTTTAATGGTATCTAAGTGTGTGCGCGAGTGCAGTGGCGCGCGTGCGTGTGTCAGTGCGGCGCACAGATGGAGCCGTGCGCTCCGAGTGTGACTGTGAGCAAACCGAGCTCCTCCCGGACACCTGCTGCTGCTGCAGCGCCTCTCTGATGTGAAGATGAAGAACTCCCTGCGGAAACTCCAAACCTGCGCAAACATGTGACTTTTTTTTCTTCTGCTCAAAGGAATTACAGAGGGGTCGCGCGGCAAAAAGAACCCCCCCCCCCCCCCCTCCCATCCTCTCCTCCTCTTTCTCTCCTTCTTCAGAGTGACTTCAGGATGGGTCCTGTTTGGCTTGTTCTTCTGCTCCCATCCCTCCTCAGAGCGCAGGTAACTCCAGACACATCAGGAGTCACGGTGGAGGCAGACAACAGCACAGACTCTTTATCAAACAGGACGGGAAGCTCAAACATCTCCACCAGTCCCTCCACTTCCTTCAGTCCCCCAGAGCCTACAGAAGCTCCCACAGAGGAGGAAGATGACTGGTCACCAGCAGAGACCTTCCTGTACACTGGAGAAGCCTCCACTCTGGAAGTGGCCCGCTGCTCACGGGCGTACAGCACACCGGGGCAGTCCAGATCCCTGCCCACCACCTTTAGCGCCCCCCTCCGGCCAGCTCTGGACGCGCTGGCCAACACGGCCAACTTCCTCAACATGATCTTCCAGGCCAGTGACCTGCGGGAGAGCACCGTACAGGAGGATATGGAGTGGTACCACGCCCTGGTCCGTGCCCTCCTGGAGGCCGACGTGCTCATCCAGCGAGCCCTGCTCACCTTCGACGCCGACCCGACTGCCCAGGTGCCGCAGCTGGTTCTCCGTGCCTCCCGCAACCCAGCGGCCAAGGTGCAGAACATCATCCTCCAGGACTTATCCAAGGCCTGGGAGAGCCTGCACCCGCCTGCCCCAGCCCCCGACGACAGCTGGTTCAGAGGTTTTAAATTCCCAGAGTCCCCCCAGGTGATGGCCGCCCTGTCCAAGCGGGTGCTCCTCAATGACCTCAGCACCTTGGACACGCCCAAGTGGAGGCAGGGCGACAGCTACGTGACCAATCGTAGCGGGGTGCGATGGGCCAGCGCCCCCTTCCTCGACTGTGAGGATGGTTGCTTCGTGCCCGGCTGGATGCTCACCCTGTCCACGTCCTACTACGGCCTCAAGCCTGACCTGACGCCAGAGTTCAGGTTAGGGCCAGTACACACACACACACACACACACACACACACACAGATAAAACATGACAAATATTATGTTATTAATACAGAAAATACTGGAACAGTTTTTGGTCGTCTGTGTTGGTTTCGGATGTCACACAATCTGAATTTCCACCCAAAAGTACCTGGAACCTTTAACGGGACTGAGGCTCCTTTAACTCAGCATGATGCTTTCAAGCTCTCAGTTGTTTCAGGGGAGGATCTGATCGAGCTCGTGGTGATGATATTGTTGCAAGTAGACTGTTGGAGAAACTTCTCTTTTTCCTGTTTTTCACTGAACCTTAGTACATTTTCTTGTCTTTACTGCCAGAAAAACGTGTTAAAAACCAGGATAACATTTCAGAAATACTCAGTTGTGAGTCTAAGTATTCACCCTGAAAGTCCCTGAAACGGGTAAAAGCTTTCGAAGCTGACAGCAGCAGTATTTGTATTTCACCTGCCTTTCTAGTTCTGTGTTGGCCCCCGTGACCTTCTCTCCAGCACCTCGGAGATGAGTTTGAATCGACAGAGTATATTTGAAAAGGGAAACCCACTTAAAGGGCTTATTGTAATGAGTTTGATTATTTAATTATCCTCTGTGTGTGTGTTTCTGTGTCAGAGGTGTGATCCGTGTGGATGTCAACATTCAAGACATCGACTTGGACCAGTGTTCGACAGGAGACGGGTGGTTTGCTGATAGTCACGAGTGCAACCGCACCAGCATGGAGGTAAACAAAATGATACAAGGGCCGGGAGAGACCAACTGCTGCTTGTTGTCTTTGAGCTGAACCAGAATAAAAACTCTTTTTTTGTATTTAGTCTGCTGGAGCATGAAACTGCTTAATTACAGGGGAACCGATGATTGATTAATTAAAGTCGCAAATAGCTGGTTTATTACTTCTGCCTGCACGGCTGTGTGCTCGGTTAGAGATCCTCGTTTAGTTTGTTAGATATCTCAAAACATTTCAACAGATTTAAATGAAATTTAATGGAAAGTTAGGCAACAGAAAGAAACAGAGTGGTTGTTCTGGTGCACATATGGATCCAACATCACTACCACACAGACATATTCACAGTTAACGACGCAGCTTTATGATGGCAATGTCCGTCCATTCACCACTGTGGTCCACACTGAAATACCTCAACAACTACTGGGTAGACTGGTATGAAATTTGGTAAAAAATGTTAAAGGTACCCAGACGATGAATCCTAGTGATCTTGACCTTTCATCTAGTGCCAGAAGCAGGTAAATGTATTCACTTATCCAGTGAAATATCTCAACATCTACTGGATACATTGGCACATCATTCGGTTCAGACATTCATGGTTCCCAGATGATGAATCCCAGTGATGTTGGTGATCCTCTGGATTTCCATCTAGCGCCACCAGCAGAACCACTGGTCTATACATTGCTTCTTAAAATGTACCCTTAAAACACTTTGAACTGCATTTGCTTCACAAATTCACTCCAAATTAAAATGAGACAAAGACAATATGAGAAAAGAAGAGAGATGAAAAGATGATGGAAGAAAAAAAGAAACAAAACATCAGATGTGGTTGATTCATGTTCCCCAGAGGTTGAACTGTAATAACTTATGGTGACAAACTCACTGCGATACCTGCAAAACTACTTTGTTTTTAGGTACTAATTAGCGATTGCTAGACTTTGAACTAAGATGGTGACTATGGTAAACATTCGTAGAGCCACTTTTTTCTACAAATTTCATTAAATCCATGTGAAACCTGGTTCTTACATTACTTATAATTAAGTCAGAGAAATAGTTATTCAAATAGTCAAATGGTTGTTGGATGCCATGACTCTTGAATGCACTTTGCAGCTGCAACCACATTTAGCATTTAACCTTAGATATACCAAAACAATCCTTCAAAATCTGATGGCATTTCATCAACAGGTTGGTTTGAGAATTCATCCTCCTCCAGTGTGAAGCCCCCTCCTCTAACCTTTAAACTGCCTCCCAAAAGGGCACTCAACAAACAACACCATCCAACAAACAGCATTAACTGTGACGCAACAAAGCTTGTGAACTTTTAGAGAGACAAAATGGATGGTTTGAAAAGCCGGAGGGAAAGTTCACACGAGGATGTTCAGTATTGTTAATTAGACTGTTGAACAAAGCATCAGTGTTGTGAGACGCTTTATCGGGTAGTTTACATGCTTTTACATATTCATTATCAGGCATGTTGTGTCTAATTTTCTATATTTCCTCTTTAGGTTTCAAGTGTACAATATATACTAGACAGTTCAAAGAGAGAAATAAGGGGAATGACATGTGATAACGCTGGGTATTGGCTGCACCCAGTACAGTGACTCTATAGTACAAACTGTACTGTACCTTTCAGGATGTGCCCTTTTTGTGAAACACCAAATCACTTTTAGCCTGTCAACCTCATCCGTTAATGATGCAGATGAAACAATGTGCTGCCTGTGATGGGGGGGTGGGGTGGGTTGGATTTTGGAGGTAAAAAGGTTAAGAACTCCAAAATTCTGGATGAAAATGAATTCAAACACGTCTGTTATTGCTCAAAACAATCAACCAGTCAGAGATTTGTAGTGTCACAGCACAAGTTGGGAATTAACACTATGCCTAATATAATTTGCCAATGGTTGTCGATGCTGAAGAAGTGATGCAAGCCAACCTTCTGCATACTCTGGGCTGGGTGGCTGGAGCTCGGCACTGGTTTCAGTTCCTTCAGGTAAATTCAGACAGAAAATAAACCAAATAATTTACGGTATCCACAAAGGAGCTCCTCGCTATTCTTCAGCATACTAACGTTATATTTTTGGCGTCTACCTCTGACAGGCTAGATAAGCAACCAGTCAGTAGGACAATGACATAGAGAGAATGGTGACTTCTTTTAAAGCTACCAAGCAAAATCCAACATAAATAGCAAAAGAACAATGGCTAAAAATATAGACAAATAGATAGATCAATACAGCGGTACTGGTTGTCAACATACAGAAATAGTAGCTCTTAAATCAACATATTATAACATATTTCTTCAATATTTGTGAAAAATGTTAAGGGCTCCTAGCGACTAGTACAGAAACTTCTATGTCAACTAAAAGGTGCAGGAGGTGGTTTATACAGTCCACTATGGACCTGGACTTGCAGAGAACCTGCTGATCAAAGGTAGCCATCATGTGTGGGACACCTGTCACCTTCCCAGCAAGCTTAACAATGTGGATCAGGTGGTTTTTATCCTTTTTATGTTTAAGTTACTGTACCGAGGAATCACAACAGATTCAAAAAAAGACTTTAAAACAAGGACATCATCTTCCCGTCCAATAAAAACATTTAACTTTCTAAGGAAGCACAGACGTTGCTGTCCCCTTCTTACAGACTGCATCAGAAGTTACAACAAATTTCAAGTTATTATCCGCGAGATATTTATACTATTGGACAAATTAGAGCCAGTGTTTGGTTTGTCCGTTCTGGGCTGCTGTAGAAACATGGCGGTTCAACATGGCTGACTCCGTAGAAGAGGACCCGCTCCCTCTGATAGATAAACACATCTAATTTTAAGGAAACGCACACATCCAGGTGATTATACACTAATATAAATGTATATAATATTATGAATGTTTCACACTGAACCTTCAACATCACAGGACGTGTTTAAGACACCAATCACCGTCGGCTCACCACAACTCAGACTCTTTCATGTAACAAGCTGTTTAAATCGTCCAACTCATGTTTGTGGTTGTTTTTTTTTAGTTACATCACACAAATACACTCTAAACTGTTTGCGACCTCTGAAAATGGTTTAAGCCCCTTTCTGTCTGTTCTCATTACTTCAGGTTTTTTTTTTTTTTGGTTGCCTTTTATCCTTTGCTCATGCTTTCACCCAGTTACACTTTAACTTTAACTCTGTCTGCTCCCCCCCATCCGCTCCACCACCAAACAGTTTCCCTTTTCCCTGCTGGCCCCGTCTGCCCAGACCCAATCCTCTACCTCTCATCTCAGCCGTCTATTTAAAGATGGTTGCGCTGGGTGGCGGGCTGCAGGATGATCTGATGGATTATGGCGATAATCCAGTCCGCTGACATACTTCCCCTTTATGCACCGCACTCACAGAGGTCTGAAAACACAAGAGAAGAACAGTCCTAAAAATCCCCAAATCCACATGGTACCTTTTGTCCCGTCCTGTCCTACCTGGCTTAGAGGATTCAAACCCTTTTCCTGAGCAGGGCACGTTCTGGGTCACCCACTTTCTTCTGTCCTGTTTGGGTTTGTCCCCTCTCTCGTCTTGTCCTGTCTTTTCTTATCCTGTCTCGTCATCTCATCTCGCCTCGTGCTGCCTCATCTCCTTGTCCTGTCTTGTCCCTTCAGGCTTTGTTTCCATGTCTCATCTCCTCATGTGGACGTGGTCTTGCCTTGTCCATTTATATCTCTTCTGGTTCTGTCCTGTCACTTCTTAACCCCCTTAAGATAAAACAGCACAGAAACTGTCTGAATCTGTAGACTCTCTGCTTCCAAGTCTATATTCTCTAATATAGTCTATATTAAGAGTTTACGGACTAGGAGAAAGAGAAGAGGGCGTCGTCTGACTTTCAGTGTACGTAACTCGTGGGTTTGTGTGTCCATCCACATTTTGTGTGAGAAACTAATTTATTACACATTTATATAGTATTTTATTCACATATTCCACTATTTTCATGAACTTTGATGAACCCATTTCAAGCCCCAAAAAACAATTGGTCCGCACGAGTAAAGAAATTTTCTCTTTATACAGTGCTCTGGGACAAACAGTGTCTCATTATACAGAAAGCTGAGGTCTTTCTGCACATTGTGATATAAAACACGTGGATGTATCATGTTACGCTAGTCCCTGAGTTTGAGAAGATATGTAAAAACTCTTCCTTTCTCATCTCATGTACCGTTGTTCCGTCTTGTCCTTACATGCCTTGTTTCCATCATCTAGTCTTGCCTCATCTAATCTCATGTTGCCGTCTCATCTCATGTAGTTTTCCCCTTTATAAGTCCCTCATGTAGACTCGTCCTGTCATGCCTTGTTTCATCTTAAATCTCATACAGTCTTGATGTGCCTCGTCATTTCATGCCGTACCTCTTCTTGCCCCACCCCGTCCTTCCTTGTCTTGCCTCATCATCTCGTCTCACTAGTCCTTTCTCATCTCTCCTCATCTTATTCCTTGTCCTGCTGTTTCCTTTCACGGCTTGTCTCATCTTCTTGTTTGCCGTTGCCTCTCATTCTTTAAGTGGGATATGCTGACTTGCCTCGTCTCTCTCCTTGTCACATATCTCATCCTCTCTCATTTCATCTCGTCTCACCTCGTTCTTTCTCATCTCACGTGTTCTCTCATCTTTTCTCATTTAGTGAGTTTCTCATCTTATTTTCTCTCATCTCATCTTATATCATGTAGTCTTGTCCTGCCTCGTCCTTGTCGTGTCTTAAAGTATGACATTGTGACTTCTCATATCTTTTCTTGTCACATATCATCTCATCTTCTCTCATCTCATCCTTTCGTGTCTTGTCTCATGTCCTTGTTGTCCCCCGTCCGTCATATCTTAAAGTATCATCTCTTTTCGTCATCTCTTTTTTATCTTGTATCATCTCATGTAGTCTTGTTATGACCTTGACCTGTCACATCTTGAAGATTTTTTTCATATTGTCCTGCCTCATCTCATCTCATGCAAGTGCCGTGTTGCATTACTGTCTCACGTTTCCACTACAAAGCGGTTCGAAAGCGTTCAAAGTGGCCGGCGTGGTTTCAATTTAAACATGACAGATGACTGAATCCACTCATTCACTGCGACTATCTGTTGAACTGAGATGCAAACATGAAGAGAATTAAGTTGACCGCTCTGTATAATCCATATCACATTAATGTTCAGCTCGTGGCATTAGGTCTTTGAGCTTCTGATAAAGGGGGTTGTGGGTTTGTATATACATATGTGAGGCCAGTGTGTGTGTGTGTGTGTGTGTGTGTGTGTGTGTGTGTGTGTGTGCTTGGGAACAGGATTTCTCTAGAAAAGGATAATGCTCTCAGTCGAGGCATTATGTATCCATTTAGCTTTTAACTTAGATTAACACACAGACCATCCAAATGTGTGTGTGTGTGTGTGTGTGTGTGTGTGTGTGTGTGTGTGTGTGTGTGTGTGTGTGTGTGTGTGTGTGTGTGTGTGTGTGTGTGTGTGTGTGTGTGTGTGTGTGTGTGTGTGTGTGTGTGTGTGTGTGTGTGTGTCCCGACTGGCTAAATATTGAAGCTAGCATCCGAGGGAAATAGAGTGAGAGAGAGTAATGTGACCCCTTTTTCAACCTTTATTCATTGAGGCAGCGTGTATTTTTATTGTTTATCGGGATCCCCATTGGTTGTTGCCCTGGCAACTGCTACGTTACTTAAAGTTAATGAACTACATCCAAACCTCAGATCAGATCTGTGTGCACTGTATCTATATTTGCTGATCGTGAACCTGAAAGCTGCATGAACAATAAAGTCTGGTTCAAAAAATCCTTTAATTTACCATTTTACATTCAGTGATTGATGCCTGATATGTCAGTTAGTAAATATATACTTTAATATGATAATATAATAATATAATTAATTTAATAATCATTATATACAATTAACTATAAAATACAGATAGTGGACATATTAATAACGTTACAGTTAACATACATTGCAAGTGGGGTTTAGGGTAATTTCATTTGGTACAAATTATGCTGAAAATAGAGACAGTGTTTATATAATTTATTCCAATGAATTACTAACTCAGAGAGTTTTCATTCATATAAAGCAGGTTGGCTGAACATGAAAAAAATTATTTAACTATGAAAAATATAATCTTTCGTGGAAATTATTCTATTTTCTACAAGCAGTACCAAAATACATAAAATAAAATGTTAGTAAATTATTATAAAATGACACTTTATTATCGTATTTAAAGGGTTATTTTATTCGCCTCCTGTAATAACAGAACAAAGGGCACAGGTAGATTTTGAGTTACTGTTGACGAACCTCCACGATTGTCGTGTTTTAATGTTAAATAAGTCAGTGAAGGTAAGACAAGTAGAATGTAAGTAATATAAAAACCAATTAAAACCTATAAAAACTAATAAAATAACCACTTAATTACAAACTACTACGTCTCTTTCTTTCTTCTTCATGTTATTATAACTCAAAAGAAAAGGACGGACAGATCTAGAAAGAATAATCTGAACAATCTCTCTGTTTCTTTCAGTGCGTACCAATTCCAGGCCGGGGTTTTCGACTGGGTCAGTACTGCTGCCGCTGTAAAGAGGGTTTCTACAACCCTGAGATAGTCCCTCAAGACTCAGGTAAGTCAATAACCAACCTCTGCCCACAGCAGGTTAAATAACAGAGAGGATCTCCTGAGGTTCCTGCCTCCACTTTTGGTCCTTTAAGTCCTGCACACTGCTGACTGTCCACATAAATAAAACCAAAACTCACAGGTTTTTTAAGGTTTTTATGAACTGTGAGTCATTTTTCCATCAAGAAGTTCTTATTTTAAATTCTGTATAGCCTTTACTAAACACAGGGCATCATTTACGTGTAAATTAACTCAGAGCTCAGATTTTCAGAGTGAGATGTTACAGTTACATCAACCAAACTTTGATGGCTTATTGGTTGGTTTTTACAAACAAACCCACTACACACAACCTGCTCAGCATCAAACAGACGCAGTTACAGTCAAGCTGGTGAACAAAGTGGACCATCTAGCAGCTAAAGAGACAGATATTCTGAGCCACAGCCGCCCTAATATCATGGGTTGTTTGTGTTTGGTTTTCCTTTATGTAGGATTATAGCAGGTTACTCTACTCTAATTAAATAAATATGTATATATATACACACAACATACATTAACACTGCTTCCTTTTCAAAACAAAATATCCTAATAAACACTATAAACCGACAAGTATTTAAAGAGATGTTTCTCAAATGCTCCATTGCACAAGTAAGGAACTGTTGCAATGTTTTAAGGAGTTATTTGTGGGTAATTAATCATTGTGTTATACATTAGTAAGAAGGGTACACAGTTAGTAGGGTTAGTAGTAGTATGACGGCAGGGAATTAAAACCAGTACACTGTTTCATCTTATTGAAAACAGTGTACTGGTTTATAATATAACATAGCAGAAGAGTTATGTGACGAGTATACTTGCTGTATGTACTGTTCCGGTTTGGATATATAAGTCACATGTATATGAGGTCTTCACATGGGTTTGTGTAGGTGTCGATGCAGATGGTGGCCCCATGAACGCCACTGACGGCGGGGCTACGTGCTACCCGAACATGCCCATCTGTCTCCCGTGCTGGCCGGGCTGTAAGAGCTGTCAGGACGGCACCCCCTGCTGGGTGCAGGAGGCCTGGCTTCTCAGGGCCGCCGTGCTGGCCGTCCAGGGGGTCTTCATGCTCCTCATCTTTGTCAGCATGCTGGTGGCCTACAGGCATCGCCGAAACCGGGTGAGTCAGGTTCTTTTTGGCTCAGCGGGGCCACCGTACAGATGGGATTGGCTGTTCCAGGCGTTGAGCCATGATGCATTGTGTGAAAAACTCTGCTGTGTTTATTTAGCAGAAATGTCTTGTGTTGTTAAAGCAAATGAGTTTGAGTCTGTTTAGTTTATTGACTGATTATCACAAGTTCATAAAGACAACTGTCAGTAAAAACACTGAATTGTTTTGCTGTTACAATAAAATGAAATAGACCACAGAGTTTAAAATAGACTCTTGTCTGTCGACTGTCTCTGAGCTCCTGCCAGTCACTAGAGGTTTAGTTGCAGATTGCAACTCACTCGTTTCACTCTCCCGTCCAAGCGCGAGGGAGAAACTACGGTGGCCGCGGACGGCCCTATTTAGAGCCAGTGTTTGGTTTGTCTGTTCTGGGCTACTGTAGAAACATGGTGGTTCAACATGGCGGCCTTCACTGAAGGCGATCCACGGCTCATTCTAGCGTAACGAAAACACATTTTTATTTTCAGGTGATTATACACCAATGAAAACACACCTGTGAATATTATATTACAGTGAGGTTACACACTGGAGCTGTGAGCACATTTTGCTGACAATGCTTACATTACATTACATACTTTTACTTAAATAAGGTTATAAATGTAGGACTTTACTTACTTTAGGTGGAGTATTTTCACAGTGAGACCATTTCAGATCGGCCTTTAATTGATAGTGACAGTTGAAGAGTGACAGGCAAAAGGGGGGAGAAAGAGAGGGGACGACTCGCAGCAAAGGGCCGACACAATAGTTTCTCCTTTGTGCTTGGAAGGGGAGGGTGAAGCGAGGGAGTTGAGATCTGCAACTACACCGCTAGATGTCACTAAATCCTGAACACTGGAGCTTTAATGGAACAGAACCTAACTATCTAAATCTATTATACATTAAAGATTATACTAAAGAAAGATAAATACACTGTTATGGCTCATCTTCTCATAACTTTCCACCTGTTCCTCCTCCTCCCGCAGAGGATCCGGGCGTCCGGCCTCCTGCTGCTGGAGACGATCTTGTTCGGCTCTCTGCTCCTCTACTTCCCGGTGAGTGTGCGACCGAGCCGCCCCGGCTGAGAGTGTCACAGATTAGAGCTCTTTACAGATCACTGCACCGCACAGCGCCACGGATTATATCATAATGGACCATTTGTGGGAGGGTGAATGGGTTGAGGGAGTGTGTGTGAGTGTGTGTGTGAGTGGAAATGGGGGCGGGTAGTCGACAAGTTTTCATAACTGCTCCTGGTGACAGATTATTAATCAATCTTAAGATTAATTCAACCAATTAAAGAGCCGTTAACACGAGTCAGCCGTGACTTTTTATCCATATATCTGGGAGTGTCAGTCGATGCGAGACGCTGACTCTGAGTGATTCAGTGTGTGTGTGTGTGGCAAGTCATAGATCATCGATTGAGGTTAACGCCTGGTGTGTGAACATGTTAATGGGCCGTTCTCATGGCAGCTCTGCGCCTCTTTACTGCACGCTGGTGCATAAAATGATCATCATATGCGGGACATATGAGATATTTTTCTTATCAAGTGACATCTCCATTTAAATAGTGACAGTCATAATATGTCAGCAGTGGTTCTCTGCATGAAATTACTTTTATAGTTTATTTAGAATAAATTAAAGCATTTGGGAGTTTATGTATAAGCAACAGGGACTGACTAGATTACAAATAAACAGGCTATAATAATAATAATAATAATAATCATAATAATAATAATTATTATTATTATTAATGAATGTAAATTTGTGTCACAGGGCAAACTATACAATAAAATGTGCACAACAACAATTGAATACAACAAGGGCAACACAAAGGTTTCACTGAGGACAAAGTGGTAGACATATAGGGTTTAAAAATAGTAACATTGTAAGGTAAGATAAGATATATAATGCAGGTATTCAAACTGTGAAACCATATACGACTCCTTGTCCAAGAGTTCTGTTGGATAAATTCAAAGGTTAATCGCAGCCCACATACCTGACTGTAGTTCTGAAAGTCCCAGACGAAAGGTCAGAGGTCGCTCTCTCATCTCAGCGAGGGGTCGCCGTGGTGCAGCGTCCATTAGATCTACAAACAGTTCACCTGCTGGAAGAGCGGTCATAGTGCGATAACAGGCAAACTGTAGCTAGATTAAGATTGATTGGTTTGATTAAAATCATTTTTATTTTAGTGTTTTTTTGGTTAATACACAGAACGTTTTAATACATCCAGTGGTAGAATGTAACTAAGTACATTTACTCAGCGAGTGTACAGATACCACAATGATACACAGGAATAAACTAGAAAACAAGTAAAATAAACAAACACGGTACATAAGTCATAATTGTTATGGCACATTGTTTGGTATTGTTAGTGTGGGATAATAATATATATATACATTTTATATAAGATAATATATAATAATTCACCATGTTGTATAACAATACTAATAACAATAATAATTATTATTATTGTAAGTACAAATTGATGTATTTTATTCTTACTTTGGTCTCTTTTTTCTTCTCATGCCGCTTTATACTCCACTACATATTAGATATAATATACATTTTATACTCCACTGCAGTTATGCAGCAGCTTTACTTAATAGTTGTTTTACAATTAGACTTGTTTCGGCTGCATTTTTCATTATTTTCTGATGCTTTACAAACCAAACAATCAATCGAATACTGAAAAAAATAATCAGCAGATTAATCTACGACAGTAAAATCCTACTTTTACATTAATGCCTTTATTAAGGTCAATAATCCAATGATATAATATATAATAGTTTAACAGTCACAGGGGGAATATAAGTACATTTTCCTGATTGTACTTTAATATTTTTACTTAATTTTCATTGCAGTAATTCTACAGTGTCGTATTAGTACTAATGGAGGATGTGAATACTCCCTCCACCACTGAATACATCTCTCATGTCTCTTAGGGAACAACATTTGTAGATAAAGTGCACTTAAGGTTAGGACATCATTGCAGGATACTGTTGCCAAGTCCTCTGTTGGTGCCCTTAATAAATAAAAGGAGGGGATATCGGCTGGTAAATATAAAGCATCATAACTTCCCCTGGAAGGTTTTTCTGTGATTTGTAAATATGTTGGCATCTCAACTCAACCAGGAGGATTAACAGACATTCATAGATTTTATAAAATCCATCATGTCGGCAGCCAGTGTGAGAATTTAAACCCACTCTTCTTCTGTATCGTCCATTAAAGGTTCGTTTGAGGTACGAACAGTCGACACAAACCTTCTTAAACCATTCAGATAATTAATGCAGCAGATTCAGCGGGTTAAAGGAAAACTTAACCCATCTGTTATATTAAATATTCCATTAAATATCAGTGCCCGTTGGCTTTAAAGGTGGCTCCTCCCCCTTTTGAGCCAGAATTATGACAAATAAAATAAAAACATCCATAAAAACTTCTTAATTTGTCCAGTTAAAACACTGGAAGTTTGTATGTGGCGTTGTTATCTCCCCCTTTGTCCTAAAAATAAACATTTAGTTTACTAACCACTGCTCTAGATTGAAACTATCATAATTAAACCATTCAAGGAGTTACTTGTAATCACAGTACTTAACTGAATGAATGAAGTCTTACCTGTGGTATTTTATTGTTAAGATAATAGAATCAGAATCAGAAATACTACAGTTACACTAACACTTATTCAAAGTTCTCACACAATGTTAAATAATATAAATAATAATTATTTTTTACAATATCTAACATAATATATAAAGAATAGAAATGTATATATAGGTATATACGTGTAAGTAAAAACAAATAAAAATAAATAAAAAGAGAAATATAACAAGAGCCTATGTACCTTACAGTAATAATAAAATATATACAATATATGCTAATATATACAAAGTATATAAACATAAAATTCAGCCTACCTGTAGTATTTTAATGCAGTCTAATAGACAATAATGAGAATACAAACAGAAGAACATGAGAAACTGTAAAAACAACACATCGGTCTCCCATTGTAATGACTGCTGACTGAACTGATAGAGCAAGTCTTCCATTAATCAGAAGGTTGAGGGTTCGATCCCCGGCTCCTCCCACTGCACGTCGAAGCGTCCTTGAGCAACATACTGAACAGATCTGTTGGTGATGAGCCTTTTTACGATGAACGTGTGACTGTGGCGTAAAGTGCTTTGAGTGGTCGGACGACTGGAAAGGTGCTATATAAAGTACAGTCCTTTTACCATTTGAACAGATAAAGCACCAGGACTCATTAATCCTGGCTCTTACTCTGGTCTGGAGCTGGCTAGAATAAATCTCCATGGTAACTCATCCGCCGCCGCTTTCACGAAACCGAGTCAAGGCTAAACTCAGCCAGGCTTTAATCCGCTATCTAGGTTTATGTGAAACTCTGGGAAACTGATGGTTAAACAACACCAGGCCTTTAAAAACCCACTGGAGTTAGTGGTGGGTTTTTAGTCTCCGTAGCTTTAAACGGACCAATCAGATTACTTCTTCCTCCAGTGCTTCTCTCCAACTATAACCGAGACAGCAATCTGCCTCTGAGTGACCCTTTCTGCTGATTAAAGCTGCCTTTTACTGCACGTTTACTGCTCCGATTCTATACGTGTTCACTCTGAGTAGTTTATCCTTTACGAGTGGTTTGAACACAATGATGTAAATTTGCATTCACGTTTTGGGCTTTAGGCCGAAGCTCTTATCCAGAGTGACGGAGACTGACTGTCACAGTACAATGAGCTTTAATTCCTGGATTACAGTCATCCACTCAGATACAACCTGTTGTTGAACGTTGTGACTGACTGAAGTATTCACACTGTAAAAAACAGGCAGATTCTGTCTATTAATCAAACATAAATCATATACTGATAATCAATAATATAAAGCTGAATGTGAATTATTAATAAATTCACCTGTTCACATGTTCTCTCTCTCTCTCTCTCTCTCTCTCACACACACACACACACACACACACACACACACACACACACACAGGTTTGGGTAAAATAATTACATATAGTTACATATAAGGCATTCAGAAAGTATGTGTAACTATTGTTTTATATATTGATAGACTTTATTGATCTCACACTGGGGAGATTTACTTGTTACAGCAGGTCCAGATAGAATATGTATAACAAAATAAGAAAAAAATAAATACACACTAAATAACAAAATAAAATAGATGAAAATATTTTTTTACATGAAAAATGACTTAAACAATTATCAAAATAGTATCAAAATAATAGTATCAAAATTATAAAAATAATTAATAATTCATTAAAACTGTTAATAGACAAATGGTTTCAGCTGTATTTGAATAAACTGTTGGGTTGTTTACATATTTTATTAAACTCTATATATGTTTTCAGTCAGATAAATGCTGTAAAAAGTATTTCTACTGGTTCCCTACCCTTTTCCTTAAGGGACCATTTTTCTATAATTTACTAAACTGACTATGTGACATATATTTTATGGATTTTTTATAATGTATTAAAAACTGTACAATGAACCCAAATAATGAACTCAGTAACTGTAGAAAGTTTGTGTGAATGTAAGTAAGAGTAATTTGGATGAATCCTGAGCAGATTATTTCCTGTTTAGGGGACTTTTTATACAATTTTCGGCCTGTATTATATAATTTTTTATGATTTTTACAGAATTAATAGGCTTCTTTTTAGACAAATTCTATTTGACAATTTACTTTACATTTCTTCACACAAGTAAACCAAATGCTGTCATATTAGGCCTATACTGTGTATATTCTTAAAGGTGGGACCCACTGGTTTAATACAATAATACTTAATAATTTATTAGTTTAATTTATTTTGTATTAATAATCTGAATCTGCAAACTAACTAGTAGTGGTCAAATAAATGAAGTGAAGCAAAAAGTACAACGTTGGCTTCCAAAATAAAGTGGAAGTACAGAACAGTATTAGAGTACATGTACTTAGTTACATTCCACATCTTATAGCTGAAGAAGTACTTTAATGTTACGTTTGTCTCTTGACTAGCACTTTTACAGCACTAATAGTATCAGAATAGAGGCACAGTATCAGCGTAGGTAGCATATTTCATACATAATCAGTTGAGAGACACACGAACAGAAGCAGTCGTTGGACTCACGGTGTCTCTCTGTCTCTGCAGGTCTTCATCATGTACTTCAAGCCGAGTACATTCAGGTGTATTCTGCTCCGCTGGGTCCGAATGCTCGGCTTCTCCATCGTCTACGGCACAGTCACACTGAAAATGTACAGGTAGGTTGGCACATTTTGGTTGCCTGTTGTTCTCTGCTGCACTTTTATTACCTTTGTTGCATTCAGGGCAACTTATACTGCACTGTAACTGTGTTTCTGGTCTGTTCATTTCCATTTTATCTCTATCTTCTATATTAACTGATTTTATTAGAGTTTATTGCTTATTGATTTTGAATGCCATTCTAATGCTTTTCTTTGCCTATGTTGTCTTGTGCTACAGGTACTCTATGTTTTAAGCATGTCTCAGATAAATATTTCATGATTTTACAACACTTGCAAAAGTGTACACACTTCATACTACACCAGAAAACATGTGGTACATCTCTTAATTGTGGAAAACCATGATCAAATTAGCCATTTTCCATTAATTATGTTCATCAAAAGTTAAATAATCTCACTTTAAGGTCAAAGACAAACATTGATTGGCTCTTGCCTCTGCACAGGGTGCTGAAGGTGTTCCTCTCACGCACGGCCCAGAGAGTGCCCTACATGTCCAGCCTCCACCTGCTGAGGATTCTGGGAGTGATGCTGATGACGGTCAGCTGGTTCCTGTGTGCGTGGACGGTGGGTGTCCTGCAGAACCGCGACAGGAACATCCCGGTGTTCATCACAACCACCACGTCGGACGGGCAGGGGTTCAACCTGTGCTACCTGGACCGCTGGGACTACATGATGGCTGTGGGTGAGTGGCTGCAGCCGGTGACGAGCCAACGGCGTCTGAGCTGATTCAGTCCAACAGTACAGTACACTTATAAATTAATTAGATTTTATATACTGAGAAGTTAGAATGGATAAAACCATTAATAAAAAAAAACTAAAATCAACTCAATTTGCTCATATTTTTACCTCAAATAATGGTTATTATTAAGACAGACAGTATTAACTTTAATGAGGTTAGTTTAGAGGTTAAACCAATAGTGAGCACACCTGAAAAGTCAGTAATAAAGCCTCATTGCACAGGAAAGCTACTGTAACTAGAAAAATAAATTCCTTGCAGATACCAACTGTAACTCAGATGACAGTTTGCACATTATTTAGCATTTCAGCTGTATCAGCTTGATAAAAACGTAAACAAATAGGAAACAACTGCACTATTTATACCTGAGCGATCACCATCTCCTCTGTCCTCTGTCCTCTGTCCTCTGCCACAGCTGAGCTTCTGTTCCTGTGTTGGGGCAGCTCCCTGTGGACCGCCGTCAGACCGGTCCCCTCAGCCTTCCACGAGCCTCGCTACATGGGCATTGCCATCCACAACGAGCTGCTTCTCTCCACCATGTTTCACCTTTTCCGGTAAACAGCGAGGGTTTCTCTAAACCCTCAACCGTCAGTAGTGTATTTTTATACTCTGAAGCAATGATGTGACATGATTTTGTGTTTCCCTCAGGTTCACCTTTCCCTCTCTCCATCCTGATTGGATGTTGCTGCTCTCCTTCACGCACACCCATGTGACCATCACCGTCACACTCGCCCTGCTCTTCCTTCCCAAGGTACTCAGCATTATTATGTAATAGTGCCAAAATTAATACAGTTTAGGGTAGAAAAGAGGGCAAATCTCAATCTCTTACTGGGTTATCTTTACTCTTCACAAATTACATTAATGCACACGTAAACTCACCAGAAGTGTGTATAATATGTAATTTATTACATATAATGGGACCCAAAAACATCATGTGTTTTTGACAGGAAAGTTCATGAAAGGGAAAACGAATCCACTCTGATTCAGGCAGTGATTTTGTGAATTAAAGTGCATTTTCTCAGTCTTTCAGGATTACAAGGAGTCCTGTGTCACTTATCATCACACACCAGGAACAGAATTTGCTGAGTGGATTAAAAACAACTTTATTTTTACTTTTGTTTTGTTTGTCCAGAGGTCCTGCATCAGAGAAAAGGCAGCATTGTTCAATAAATCAGAGTTTATCCTCTGTACAGTGACCGGGGACATCTCTGACTCAGCTTTACAGGCTCAGCAAAACATTGGCGAACTCTGTAATGCCAGCTAGCTTAATGCTACCATTAACGTAATGTCAGCATCCACCTCAGTTAGCATGTAACTCAGCATGTTATACTACAGAATGTAACTAATGTTTATTACCGTAAAACTTTATTAATTAAAAGCAGAGTCCCAATTAGACACAGGTTTCTTTTACTAGCCTGGTGTGGCTACACGTTTTTGGTCTCAATTAAAGGCCTGGTCTTGATTTTGTAAAAGTTCTTTGATTGTATAAAAACTCAAATGAATGACTCGTAATTGCTGTTATTTCGATTTTTTATAAGTAATATTGAAACTAAATACTATACTATACTTTCCCATCTTTGCTAAGCATGAGTTTTGTGCAAAAGGAATTGAAGGCCTGTCCCATATAGAAGCCTGCTCCAAATGAAGGCAGGTTGAGTTCATGAATTGATGCAAATAAAAGCCCAGGCTATTAATTGAAGCCTGTTGACATGAAAGTCTTTTCACAATTTTATGACAATCGGTTCAATTATCATACTGTAGGACCAACAGCCCATGTTTACATATGAACTGTATGCCTGTGTGTGTGCTCCACAGTTTCTTTATGTGTCTAAGCCTGGGAGAGAGGAGATTGCAGCAGAGGTATATGAAGATGAAGTGGACCTTCGGCGCTCCTGCTCGTACCTCAACAGCAGTTTCCACTCTGTTTGGAGTGAGCCCAGTGTGGACCCGGAGGATTTTCGGGTAAACTCTCTTGTCCCCTTAGAACGATGTTATCACTTTGCACTGGGACATAATTTACAAAAGGTGGAAGAAATTCCAAAGGTCACATTTAACTAAGGAAAATAAATGTCCCTTAATTTCAGTTAATACCACATGTACACTCAATTAAACAGATCTTAAATGTATTATAATTTAAATAATAAATTAACAGTAAATACAATTAACAACAGAATGAACACATTTTGTACTGTATAACCTTTCTCCCCCCCTTTATCCTTTTCTCCTCCTCAACTGTGTTCTTCTTAAATGAAAACGTGTTTTACCTTTCCTCTGACTTGTTACTCTCCATATCTTCTCCTCTCCTCAATCATTTCAACCATTTCCTCAATCCCTTCATCAATTCCCACCCTTCTTCATATGCACCAGGATGAACTGAAGAAGTTATATGCCCAGTTAGAAGTCCACAAGACCAAGAAGATGACCGCAAACAACCCTCATCTGTCAAAGAAGCGAAGTTCTCGATGTACATTGGGGAGATCCATTATTAGACGCATTGCTGAGATCCCAGAATCCATGAGCCGGCAGTGCAGCCGCGAGGAGAAAGATGGATCGTTCCACAGTAGAATTGTGAATCAGGATTCTTTCAGGAGGACCCCAGATACAATATCAGTCAGTATCAGTTACAGAAGTTCAATGACACCATCACCATCTATGCGCAAGTCCCAAAGTGATCATCACTATGTCAGGGAAAGAGACTCTTCTTTGCGTGACTCCATGTTAAAGGCCAACGCTGTGAAGAGGTCTTCCCGACGATCTGAGACTGACTCCTTGGATATTCCACCAGGGGTCTGTAAATCAGCCAGTGCCCAAAATCTGACAATTGATACCAATCTTCTGCATCCTGATCACACCAGACTTCATAAGTCCTGGAGTCTAACTTCAACTACTGCTCATTCTACAGAAAACATATCCAAGGTTAACAGAGCCAGTACAGTGCTGACAAGGTCCAGGCAGAGCATTTCCATTAGCGACCAGACCAGGAGTGCTCTCCAGTCAGAGTCTTTTGACAAGGCTGAGGTCTGTCCTTGGGAGGTGGAGCCAGAGCAATCAGGGGACAAGAACCAGAAGCATGTCACCTATGCAAACTCTGAGGATGGTGAGGAAACAAGACCACCATCTCCACAGTCGCTTATCTGTCCCTGGGATCATTTACCACCTGTAAAGCAACCTTCAGAGGATAGGGGAATGCAAGGTGAAACTCAGTCCCCTAAACCACAGGCTACTGTGTCTGCAAGTTTACCAGGCTCTCCAAGACCAAAGTTCACTAAAGATCAACGAGTCTTCTCCTTCCGCACCTCCACCACCACTGCTAAGTGGCTCTCTGTGAAATCAATTATGGGCTCCATGGATGCAGGAAGCAGGTCCAGTAGGGATGGAAGTTTTCATGAGGATTCTGTTTCACAAAAAAGTCAGGAAAGTGCTTCCACAACACCACGATCAAGAACATCTAGTAGACGTCCAAGCGTGGAAAAGAGATCACTGCAGAAAAGAAGCATGACAACAGATGGAAAACCATGCCTTGTGAAGCAGAATGCCATCAGACTGTCTTCTGTGGATTCTTCTGAGAGAAGCCCAAGAAGGCTTGTGATTGTAAAATCTGCCGTCTACCCTTGGGACACGGATGATATGCAAAAAGATGGCACTTATGAAAATGTGTTTTTATCAAGGCAGAACAGCAAACGTAGTAGTATAAGTTCTTGGGAAACTGCCAGCAGCTGTAGAACTCCTTCAACTCACAGAAGAGGAAGCAATCGAATTACACCAGTCCGTAATATTTCCCATGCAGATGTGTGTCCATGGGAGGGACCTGGTACTTTCCAGGAAGGAGAGGGGCCAAAGAAGCAACAGAGCATTAAAGGAGACGTCTGCCCTTGGGAAGTGTCTGGACCATCTAATGTATGTCCATGGGAATCTCAAGAGCAGGGAAATATGAAAAGACGAGGAAGTGCCATTAGTAACGTGTGTCCTTGGGACTCACAGGATATTCCCGTTATTTATCATACTAAGCTCTCTAGAGATTCACAGACACAACAGTCTTTGAAACATGCAGCAGACGTATGTCCCTGGGAGACTGCAGAAACTCCTCAACCTTTAATAAGGCAAGATAGTGAATATACTAATGTTTGTCCTTGGGAGGTTCAGGAGAAGGCTGAAGTTGTATATGAAAACGTAAATCCTTTGGAGACCAAGGGAACGCTGACAGTGCCCGTCCGACAAGAAGTTAGGAAAACTGCCCTCTACCCCAGTGGATCAAAAGATAGTAATGAACAACAACACCATGCAAAATCACCTGCCCTGAGTTTGAGTAGACAAGTGACTAAGACAACAGAAAGTTGTCCATGGGATTTCCCCGAACCCCCTAAAATCATGGAAAACATTTGTCCATGGGAAGAGGGGAACACAGAGCCAACAAATACAGACTCGAAAACGACCATTAAGGTAGATATTTGTCCCTGGGAGACGGGACATCAAGACAAACCAGAAGACTCACAAAAAGGTGTCTCACTTTTGAAAGCTGCTTCCATACAAGCTGAAGAGAAAGACAGCACAAAAGTAAACATATGTCCCTGGGAAACTGAGTCCCCTGAAAAACCTGCCGCTACCACGATGGTGTCACAAGGAGTGGAAAGATCGGCAGATGTTTGTCCATGGGATAGTAGTGAACCAGAATCAGGAAAGCCAGAAACCACCAAAATACCTTTGAGTCATATAAGGCAAGACACAGTTCATGCAAATATTTGTCCATGGGATACAGAGGAAGCAGGGGCAGTCAAAACTGAAGTATCAAACGTACCAGAGCAGTCCAAACAAGATGTTTGTCCATGGGAAACAGAAGCCCCAAAAGTTCTGAAAAAGCAAGACAGCACTATGGCAGATGTTTGTCCGTGGGACACAGAAGAGCCAAAAGTTCTTAAAAAGCAAGACAGCACTATGGCAGATGTTTGTCCGTGGGACACAGAAGAGCCAAAAGCTCTTAAAAAGCAAGACAGCACTCGGGCAGATGTTTGTCCGTGGGACACAGAAGAGCCAAAAGTTCTTAAAAAGCAAGACAGCACTATGGCAGATGTTTGTCCGTGGGACACAGAAGAGCCAAAAGCTCTTAAAAAGCAAGACAGCGCTCGGGCAGATGTTTGTCCGTGGGACACAGAAGAGCCAAAAGTTCTTAAAAAGCAAGACAGCACTATGGCAGATGTTTGTCCGTGGGACACAGAAGAGCCAAAAGTTCTTAAAAAGCAAGACAGCACTATGGCAGATGTTTGTCCGTGGGACACAGAAGAGCCAAACGCTCCTAAAAAGCAAGACAGCGCTCGGGCAGATGTTTGTCCGTGGGACACAGAAGAGCCAAAAGTTCTCACAAAGCAAGACAGCGCTCGGGCAGGTGTTTGTCCGTGGGAGACCGAAGAACCAGGAGCTGTCACAAAGCAAGACAGCATTGGAGCAGACATTTGTCCCTGGGAATCTAAAGGATCCACAAACCTCAACAGAAGGCAACATTGAAATTCCCACTGGTGACAAAGACGAAGTCACAGAGAACCAGGGGCCCCTCAATGTAGAGGAGACTCCAGAAGATATCAGCACAGAGCAGATAGATGAGTCCAAAGAAAACCTGCGGCGCAGTGATGCTTTGTGTCCCTGGGAGATGATAAGGAGCAGATCTGGTTCATTCACAGACAATGCCTCAGATGTTTTTACATGGGAGCCTGAGAATATTCCTGAAGAAGATGAAGAGGACGATGCAGAATTTGCTGCAGAGGCTCTTGTATTCCCACCTGATTTGTGACTTAAATCTAAACAGCATTTGTTTTCACTTTTGACCCCTTCCCACTAAATCAAGGGGAATCTGAACTCTATAAAAACCATTTTGGCGGTAAACTGTTGAAGGGAAACTTCACTGTTTTTAACTTCCCTAGCTCCACAGGGAAGTTGATGGTCATACTCTTGAGCAGCTACCCTGCAGCTGGCAGAGCTGAAAGCCATTTTGTGTTGGACAATTACTTGGGCTACTCAAAGACAGAATTTAGGGCTTCGTTGTTTCAAGTTGGACTATGCCAGGTTGGTTGCTGTCTGACTAAGAAGCTGACGAAGTAGTAGAGACTTGATGAGCTGGACAGAGAAAGTTGTGCAAACCTGACTGAAAATATGTTTTCTTTTAACTGGAGCACTATTGCACACTAATTATGTCCCTAATCAATCCAGCAATGAACTACAAACAGACATTTCTTGGCTGATCGAAGGGCATCTAAGGTATTTAGATGAAGACCCTTTTCTTCCTAATTTTACCCCCCATTTTAAATTAAAATGTTTTTTTGTGTCTTTGTATGTTTTTAGGTGACAATTCACATATTTGCCATTTACGTGCAGTATGTTAGACTCATGGCCCGGGGTGAATGTTACCTTACACCTTAGAAAGTCCAGAGTGCTCACAATCACAAATACAGCACAGGACCTAAGAGATGGACTTTAATGAAAGATGGAAGCCTAACCAGCACACACACACACCAGATAAATTCAGTCTAATTTTGTTCTTTTGTGGAAATTATATTTTCAAAGTAGAAGAAAATGTAACGTGTAAAGCAGTGTCGCCAGTACTACAATGGATGTCAAATTACATTTCTATCAAGTATTAATGGTTGATTAAACTATGCATACCTGTTTTCTTAAGTGACTAAAAGCCAATAATTTTCTCACCTTTGATTCAGTCACAATAATGGAAAAAATAACATTCCACCACTTCAAGAAATGCCCAAACAAATGCATAAATCGCCATAAACTGGAGTGAAAAGCTGCATTATCCTTTTATATCTGAACATTTAGAAAGTCATGTCAATGCCTTTTATGCAAATGCACTTGACACCAGTTTCATTAAGATGGGACAACGAGATTAAACATTAAAAACACTTAACAAATGAAATGTTTGGTAGATGCAGAGAACTTAAAATTGTACAGGACATTTATGTTGCAGCTAACCTGAGATTGACTTAATCTAAATACTATAATAAGTTATGGAGGTGAAATGTTGAATAATTGCTAGATAAGGTTTACTACAAATGTTTGTGTCAGGGTTCTTTATGCAGATATTATAATTAATCATTATAGTCATTTCTGGGAAAAAGTCACATGTTTGGCAACACTTAAATATTCTTTCAAGTCTTTGAAAGGAACTAGACTATCAGATTCCTTTAAATGACTCCACTGATATGCAGACGACTGGTAATACTACAGAAACAAAAAAATCAACTTATGGACTAGTCAAAGATGTCTTATGACAATTAGATATCTTTATTATTAGCTGTGGCCCTACATTTAATGTCTGACATTAATGAATACTTCTTTAAATAGTTCAAAATCATTACGTTTCACATACAGACAATTGCAACTTTTTAAAGGCAGTATTATGTTGGAAGAAGTTTTATGGTGAATGAAACTTACAATAGTAACAGTTTTCTGTATTGATGTAATTAAGTCACATGTCTATGCCAGCACTCTGTCAGTGAAATCAGGTGTCAGTTTTTCAGCACTTCTGCTACAGTGACTAGGTTTTTCATTCAGTGATCTCATTGTTAAACACTGCGCCAAGTTTTTTGTCAATGGAGTGAACTAGTTTTGTGAGCATTGTTGCATGTTAGTGTGTTTTTTGAATGAGCGTGCTGTAATTTGTTGTCACGTAAAAAGAAATTCTAAAATTGTTGTAACACATCCCTTGAGTTGCATAGAGAATCAGCCTATGTTCTGTTTTCAATTTTGTATGCAATATCTTCTATGAAAGATCACTCTGATAAAGAAAACTTGTGTTAAATCTATCGGTGTGAAGAGAAGCAGATGGGACATTTTATTTTTGTATTTCCTGAGGTCAACATGCAGCATATTCATCAGAGAAATAAACCATACAATTTGTGGAGATCTGTACATTTTATTTTTTTAATCACATGTACACATTAAGTTGGTCTTATGGAAACAAACATGAAAATGTGTGAGACTGAGTCATGGTGAAATTTGAAGTCATGTTAATATTTCAGACTGATTTGTGATAATTTGTTGCTGGGCAAGAAGCAGGTTTTTTTTGGCTGCAGTGACACAGTGGTTTATTCATCCTAAAACTCACCTGCTGCTTCCAATGCTTCAACAGCCAACAGCATTTAGAGATAAGAGGCTCCAAAGGAAGCCTGGTTTCCTGCCAAAGTGGACAAAATAACCAGCCACAGCCAAATTCTAAAGAGCATTTGGCCCATGACTGCAGATAATGTCTAACGGTGGTTTGATGAAAAGAGCAGCGCCACCCGGTGGCCTATTTGTTCCATTGGACTGGCTCCAGTTTGGGAACTGCATAGTTGAGGGCATCAAACTCTTGTCCCGGCCTCAACTTTGGACCAGGAATCATGACAGTCTGAAGGAGTAAGAAGAGCAGATGAGTGTAATTTGCAAGCAGTCAAATGTTAGTAAAATATATGGAAATTAACACACATCACATAACAAATATCTCAAGTGTCATCTATTCCATACTTCTGTTCCAAGGGGGATTAAACTTCAAGATAGGAAAACCAGTTGGGAAAGCTGCTGGAATACAACCTACTTCAATGACACCATCACTGGAAAAGATTCATCCTAGTGAGACTGAATTGTTCCCTTATTGTTTTATATCACAACAAATGGTTGCCCAGATTTATCTTAGAATTAAGAGGTAACCACTATTTACCTTTGCTGTTTTTAAACTAAATATTTGGCACAAAGTTTACTCAGGTTTACCACTGACTGCCCCCAAAACATGAGAGCAGCTGTAATTGTGTCAGAGCTGGTTCTCGTTTGTGTTTAATTTTGTGGACTGCAGCTGGTGTCCTGCTTTCATTTGTCAGCTCGCTTGACAGATTGTGATTGACAGGTGGCAGAGCCCAAAATAACCACAAAGAATTAGTCAAACCTCAGAGGTTCGCTGAAACTGATTTTAAGATATCTGTAGCATTATTATGCATGTAACGCATGTTTTTTTTTTAAGTATATTTTTTGGGGCTTTTATTGCCTTTATTATAGTGACAGCTGAAGATAGACAGGAAAGGGGGGGCAGAGAGAGGGGATGACACGCAGCAAAGGGCCGCAGGTCGGATTCGAACCCTGGGCCGCTGCAGCAAGGACCCAGCCTCGGTACATGGGTCGCCAGCTCTACCCACTGAGCTAACCGGGCGCCCCCAGAGGTTTTTTTATTTTTTTAAGAACATATTTGTTTGTTTTTAAAGTGAGGAACTATATAACCTAATTTCCCTTTATTTTTGAATAGTAAATGAAAGGACAATGAGAACAAAGACGGTGTCTCCAGCAGAGACTGTGTGGTGGCGTTTGTTGTTGTTTTTTTTGGACTTGTATCACAGAAGAGTAAGAAACACCTCCCAGGCAACATCACTGCTCCATCTGTCTGGTATATCTGAGACACGGCAGGGGCTGACTCACAGATTTAAGGTGATTATATTCTGCGTTTTGCAGTGATGCGTATAATGCAAGTCAACTTCTATTCCAGTCTTACGTTGTGAAGACCGGTGCAGACGCTGAACACAGATAATCATAATTGAACAGGGCTTTGTGCATCCTTTACTGTGTACCTTGTTATTGAGGAAACTAGAAGAAACTTTAGGTAGCAGATCACCAGCTCCTTTTAAATTCCTGCAGCTGTGATTCGTGTGACTGAGCCACAACACCAAATTAATGCATATCTGAAATATTTATATATGATGGATATGCGCTAGCTAATGAAACAGTTGCTGAGGAGAAATGCGATTTATTCCTGCGTTCACAGTGTGAACGACACAATCGGGTCAGCAGGAGTCCTCTCACTCAGTCCAGAGCTTAAAGCCATGAGGAAAACTCAGACTGATACTTGAATGCTCGAACCTTCTAACTGAGGTACATTAGCTCTGTATAGTTAAGGAGTCACCCAAACAACAACAATTGCTCACTTACCTCTAGTGGCATTTAATCTTAGAAATTGTTTAGGTTTAATTTGTCCTGGTTTTGAGATATCTGTGTCTGAGACTTCGGCCTCAACCCCACAAAAACAACAAAAGTTTTGTTTTCTGGAGCATCTTTCCAAAATCAATCAACACTGGCTTTACTCTGGATAGTCCACAGACCGTACTGTCAACACTTTTCACTGGAACTACTTTCTCCCATACAAACAGTCCATATGAAAGCTGTTGACAGTGTGTTCTGTGGATTATCCAGAGTAACTCGAACACTGTTTCTTGAAAGAGATGTTGCCGTTTTTAAAAGTAACCTATTCACCGATGAGAGCAGCAGGAATTAAATAATGAACAAATACACCATTTGCACACTGCAGGGCTCCAATGTCCACTTATTTAATGCACCAAAGAGCAAACAGTGGAGCCCTGCAGTGTGCGAGCTGTTTATTTCATTACTTGCTACGCCTGCTATTTGTATGCCGCATAATGAAATACCATTCAGCTTTATTAAATCAGGGTGATGGCAGAAATCTCAAAAAGGGAAATGTCTCCAGATCTGGGGGGGGTTCTGCATGCTCCCCTCACTTCTCCACTTATTTGATTTAGTCTGTATTCTTGTCAAAAAGTAACTCAACAATTATGATTGATGAACCTCAGCAAAAAGGTTTAGTCTCATATTTTGGTTTTTACCAACAATCTCAATTGAAGGTCCCTTAACAAGCGTCCAACCTCCAGCAGATGGAGTTGGCTCAGTTGTCATGGAGATGGATTTATTGACTCAGTAGCTGCTCTGATTTCATCCATAAAAAGTGTTATGTATGAAAGGCGAGTAAACGGACCTTGAGTTGGGATTGTTTTTACCAAATACTACTTGAATGAACTTTGATGCTTAAAACTATAAGGAGTTTTTAACTGGTTACGAAACAGTCTCAGTTTAATACTGCTGCCTCTATATGACCGACATTAACAAACAAATTCTGTTTCTATTGTGTGATATATATATATGAAGATGCTATTGAACTGAGGTGTCATGTTGTCTGTGGGGGTTGCACATACATTACAAACAACCATTATTTTAATGACAAATAATGCCTATTATTAATATTATTTACATTATGTTATTACTACTCTCTACTCTAGACTCTTTTCTTAATTTTAGATCAACACCGGTTAGTTTAAATTATAGAGTGTAACACACAAAATCTTTTATAATTTGATCACCGTGGTTTCCGTTTGGGCCAGTGAGTTAGATCCACCTAGCTAAGACTAATGCAGTCTAATACATCATCCTGCAATGAATCCTAACCTAATTGATCGATAAAAATATGGTGGACAAAAAACTGTGAACAAAAACTGGACAGCATAACCTTCATAAAGGTTAGTATTTATTACAGAGCTGTCGTAGGAGACTGCATTAGTGTTAACTACATGTGCCGACTAACTAGAGACTGAGTACATCCTCCTGGCACTTGTGGAGTTTTAACACCTCAGTATTAGACGATGAGGAGTCCAGACAGTTTATTAATGACAGCTGGCGCTGGAGCAACATTTGGACTGCAACCAAACCGCCTCTATTTTACAGGGAGAAGCAAAGGTTGTATTAAGAGGATGTATAAAAGCATATGTAACAGCATGGAAGGGGAAAATAACTGACTCAAAAAAATGATACTGGAAAGCTTGACACACTAAAAACCACCAACCTTATTCATGTGGTCATTAAAGTGAAGTATGAACTGGCCAGTTTATAAAGATTGCTTAATTTCCTCTTGACAGGAATTGTGACTTGGACCTCTGCCTTTTTCTTACTAAAGAGATATATATAAAAGCTGTTGTCAGCCGGTGCAGAGTAGAAGGTCACCTTTATAACTGGGTCTTTGGCAGGAGCCCAGGATGGGACTATTTTTCCGTGCAACCTCCATCGGCCGTACGGGTTGACGAGGTGTCGTTCTATGACAAGGTACTCCAAGACGTCCTTCGGCTGCTCCTCGCTGCCGAGCATCAGCCTCCCGAAGCGGTCGTAGATGGCCAGAGTCTGCAGCACAAACAGATGTGAAAGAAGGTTCATCCAGTCATCTGAATTGTAAATTGTAACCTTGGTTTTAATCCCGAGCACTAAACCCAGAACACTGATTACATTCAATATCAGTGGTTCCCAACCTTTGACCTCTTTTCTATCATTGAGTAAACTGACATTTATTTTATGGATATTTCATATTATATTCAAAACTTTGTTGTTAATACAGCACCAAGAAGAAGCTCTGCACACCGCTAGTTCATATAAACATATAGTCGTACCTGTTTGGAGTGCATGCGGACCGTCACCTGGCCGTACAGGTTGCCTTTGGAGACCATGTCGGGGCAGCGAGCGTGGACAACTTTGGGCGGCTCCAGGGACTCTACAAACCTCCAGCGGATCGTCTTGAACCGGTTCCCCCTCGTCATCTCCTGAAGACAGGGCAGAGGGGCGATGGGAGACGTAGAAACAATCAGTGGGGGATTTGATGAAACTGAAATAGTGATCAACAACATCTACAAGAAGAACTTACAGGATAACACCTTTCTGTCACCAGCGAGTGAAGTTTCTCCCTGTTGAACCTGCAAAAAAAAAAAAAAAAACCTCCCGGATGTCAGATGAGTTTCTCTCTACACATCACTTCTGTCTCACTTCTATAACAAATGTCTCACAGCAATATTCAGCATCCCACCCCGACTATGAGGCTGAGAAGAGCTGTGTCAGCTGGCTGAGTGAGGTGAGAGTTCATTTTCTTACTGTGAGAGGAAGTTGTGAGCCTCAATGAAGATTTCTTGAGCTCGCTCTGCAAAGTCCTTCGTTGTGAACTCAGAGTCGTGGTCCTTGATTTTGCGAATCCTGTTAGAAACATTAAAAAAACAACACAGCAGTTATATAAAAAGGTGTTAAGAAAGAGGTTCGCTCTTTCTCATCGGCACCAAACTCAATTCTGTCCTGCAAGATGTGTTTGACAAGAAGAACCTCAGAGCAGGAACAACACGAGGAGTCAGAGAAACAATCTTACGCTAGCTGCGAGGCGGCGCTCTGTCGTAACTGTTCAGTTCGTTGTTTCAGGCCTTCTTTAGACAGAGCGGAAAGACGAGCGTCGCCCTCTGGGGGGATGTAGGGGTCGAATATTCCCGCTGGTAAAGACAGCAGACAGGACTCAATCAATCAGTATGTGCCCTCCAACCAGGAGAGATATTAGAGAATAATAGTTTCAGTGTGTAACCGCCGTCTGACAGACGAGGTCTACCTCCACAGGTTTGGCGTTTATTATAAAGTCTCACTACTAATACAACACTTTCTTTATCCTAATGCACCAATTACCAAAACAATATGATTTCTGGAAGATCTTTTTCTATTAAACTCTTTTTTTTTTACCCATTTAACAAAAAAAAACATGAAGTTCTTGAATATTAAATCTTGTCTCGACGCAACAGGCCTTCTTCCAGACCACTGAATGATTTATATTTAGCAACAACTATACAAACTAAATGTGACAAAATGATTATTTAAATTAAAAAAACTTCAGATTAAAGAAAGAATACAAAAGGAATATCAACAACAACTTTACCAGAAGAGTCTCCACACCAGCAATCACTTCACGGCTGCCTGTCGAAAAAACCCCGACAACCCATACAACCCATTATTACCAGTGCAGGCGATGTTGATGGGCCTCTCGAGGTACTGCTGTCTGATGACAAGGCCTGCTGCCCGGGCCTGGGCGGCTGTGTCCTTCTCCTTCTGCCCCTTTGTCCCAACTGCTGGAGGGATCATGTACCGCTTCTTGGTCCGGACCGGCAGGAAGAGTGGGCCGGGATGTCTCACATCCAGAGAGGCTTCATTCTGAGAGGAGGAGGAGGAGGAGGAAGAGGAGGAGGCATAAGGGTTTTTATCATTAGATAATTATGATCATAAATAACAAACATTATCATTAGAGGTGTTTTTAATTGTTTTTTAACTGTAATTGATTTTCTTTTTAGTCATAAAGGTGATAATTCTACTTTATGTTTATTATCGAGGTCACAGTTTGTGTTATAATGTGTGTGTGTGTGTTTAAATATACACCACAAACATCTCCAGGATGAGCCAACAGGTAACTAATGAGACAGGTAACGTTACATTCAGTAACTTCATTACAATGTCGTCATATACCTGAGTAACCTACAGCTAACGTTAGCTCGGTTAGCTCCAGTAAGGACTCAAAGCAAGAACCAAACAAACGAGCTGCGTCTTCAAACCCATCAGCTGTCTGTTTATAATACAGTGTTATTAAATACCCCCCTCCAGTACCAGTACCAGTACCAGTACCAGTACCTTTAATCCGCTACATGTTGCTCGATGAAGAGCCACCAGCGTCCTCCTCATGGGCATCGCCATCTTGCCACCATTTGACAAGAATGGAGGAAGAAGACAAAAAAACAAAAAACAGCACTTCCGGTTTCCACTTTCAAAATAAAACCTTCACATTAAAATAAAAGAAGGCCTTCTCAGCATTGGGTTCACTTCTGTGAAGTTTAATGTAAAGTTAATTGTCTCAGTGTCAGGGAGAAAGAAAACTCATAAAGAAAGAGGTATTTTAATTGATTGTTAAATAAATATATACATAATACAGGAAATCACCTGATCATCAATCAATGGATTTGTATCATTAAAAAAAAGTTTCTTTAAAGAAAAACTGATTAAAATTGTAATCCTGCTAAATAATCCCCCCCCTTTTTTTTTAAATACAACAGTAATCTGATTACGTTTTTTTCTGTTTAGTTACCTTTTGTGTATCCTGATTACCTACCTCAGTTACATGTAATCCATTACTCCCCAAGCCTGGTTGCAATCTGAACGGTGTAATTGTTATGAAGCGCACACGTGACGAGCTAAGGTACTAACTACCTGTTAAAAAAAAAATATAGCGAGTAACGTAATCCAAAGTAACGCAATATTAAAGTAACGTAACGTGATTACCTTCCGTTACTTTTCGGATTACCTCAACCTGAATGAACATAAATGTCAATAAAAAAAGTTTTACTCTCACTAAATGTAATCTGATTACTTCTTTTATACATATAGAGATACATATTGTGTGTGTGTGTGTGTGTGTGTGTGTGAATGGAGCAGACCCACGTCGGGCACGTACGCCGCACTACGTGATGACGCGTTGCGTCTGTAGGTCGACGCCGCTTTAACCGGAGTTGTTTGGGCCGTGTACGGAGAGAGAGAGAGGACCGTAGCTGGCAGCGCTGAGCGGGTTTCAGTTGATGTTGGTGCTCCTGGGCCGCAGGGTTCCGCTGTCCTTCGTACACAGACTCACTACCCCGCTGTACATCCACACGGTCGAGGCCCGTCTTGGTCCGCACGGCGCCCGTTGAACCTCGGAGCGATCGCCAGAGTTACTCCCAGCACCGACTCCCGTCAGCGGACCGAACAGAGGAACCATGCCCGAGAGGAGGCCCTTCGTCCGGCTACCAACTGACGTGTACCCCGTCAACTACGGCTTGTGTCTGAAGCCCGACCTGATCGACTTCACCTTCGAGGGCAAGCTGGAGGCGCTGGTGGAGGTAACCGCCGCAGCGTGCCCCCCCGGCCCCCGGCCCCCGCCCCCCGGCGGAGGGATCTGTGTGTTGCATGGCGGAGGATCTTGTTATGTAATCTGACCAGCTAACAGTAGCTAGCTCGGTTTTTTTTGTGTTGCTGTGCTTCGCCTGGTAACGCCAACCGTTACCCCCCTCCCTCCCCCCCTCCCGTTACCGACTAACCGTTACCGACTAACCGTTACCGGTTCTCTGTGGCTAGCAGCGAGCTAACTGAAGCTAACTAGCCACAACAGACGGCGGCAGACTTGCACTCTCATGTTAGCTTAGCCTCATTAGCCTGCTGACGGCTCGGCTCGGTTCGACTCGGCTCGACTCGGTTCGGTGTGCTTCCGAGAGCAGCAGCGTTGACCTCTCGTTACAGCACATGCATCGACCATCAGTCACCTTCGGGGTTTGATCGGTTATCGATCACAGGAGGTGTTCACTGGCCAGCTAGCGGCTAGCTAACGCACTCTGGTGTTTGCTAAATCATGGCAGCATGATGTGTCCCCCCCCCCCCCCCCCTCACCCTCTGTCCCCCCTCCTCACCCTCTGTCCCCCTCACACACTCACAGATAATAACTTCACTTAAGTTGTTATAACATTTATATCTTCACTTATGTCCGGGGGGGGAACAGGTGTAAACATTGCTAAAGAAAGTGTAGAATATGTCCTGTTTACCTCCTCCTGGGATTATCTTTAACCCCGACTGGAGGTTTCAGGTTGTTGACATCTGCTTTAATGTGTGAAATGTTCCTTTTTTATAATCCTGAATGTTTCTCACTGTAGTGCAACCTCACCTGTTAAAACAGTGACCGTGTGTTTCTTCTTCCTCCCCTGTGCTTGTTGAAGATCCGTCTCTGCTTTCTATCTCTTGACAGAGAATAAATAATAATACGTTAAAGTTAAAGCTGTTGACTTAAATGTTAACAGGTTAGTGAATCAGTTTGGGTTCCTTACTATATAACCGACACATGGCAAAAACAAAAAACATGACCGCTCACTTAGTTTTAGTTTGAGAGATGGAGTTGTTGGTGCATGCGGTGTGCAGACGCCTGTCAGCTGAGTGTACCTGTGCCTGGTTGTAAACACTCACTCGCCCCTTTGTCAGAGCAATAAAGACAGACGGCATCAGTATGCATACATTTGCAAGTATTAATTCGTTGTTTTATGTAACAGCTTTTCACTAATGCGGTAAAACAGCGTTCACTATCGAGAACAGATTTAAAGAATATGTAGAAAATAATAAGATAACACAACCTCATAGCTCGTACAGCCCAAAATCTAAAGATATACAGTTTATATTAAATAAGGACAAGCAGTAAAAGATCATATTTCAAAAGCTGGTCTTGTTCCTTTTTTGTTTATTACTTAAAACAACAAAACAGAAAAACTTTTGATTACTTAAAATCTGTTATCTATGTGTTCCAGCCCTAAATCATTTAAAGTTGGCACCGGATGCGTTTCAGACATTAAGGCTTATTTATTTCTGATATATTGCTTCTCTTATCAGAACCACAACTCTTATCTATTGCCACCAGTGCTGAAACGCCCCCTTGTACAAGCAACATATATTGGATATGAAGAATTATTATGCTGAAAGAATCATTAAAGAAAGACACATTGAGCCATATTAGGACAAACTGTATTATATAGACATTTAAACCTGTTTTGAATATATTCAAACATTCTGCCCACGTGTTTGCAGACAGTAGTTGCAAAGTCTTTTTAAGTTGTTTGTTTTTAATGCTAGAAGAAGTTAAAATTTCCCCACAGTTTGGTTTAGTAGCATCCTGTTAACCTGTGGTCTGTACAAAGCCTTTTGGGTAAAATACAATAGAAAGGAAGCAACTTAAGCAACGTGGCACTTTGCCATTTGCCTGGCATGTTTCATAATTACTGCCTCTCTGCCGCTGCGTCAGCCCTTAAGTGTCTCAAACAACAGCGGCGTCCAACCAGCAGCGCCACAAACCGTGAATGTCACTATTTCTGCCCTCTTTGAAGACTTGCATGGCATCCACGTGTGCCACTGTGTTTCGCCCTCAATAAGTTAAGCAGTCACATCCACCGTCAGAGGCTTCACAGTCTGTCTTCCTTTTGCTGTTTGCATCACTTTTTCTTATACCACTGGTTATTCTCTCTGTGACCAGTTTTGCCCTCCAGCCTCTGTTTGGCTCAGTAAGTAGATTCATTCTTGTCTGAGCTTTCTGACCCAGGTTCAGGTTGGATTTAACACCAGACTTTTCATTTGCAAACAAAACTCTGGCTTCTTTACATACTCGTTGTCTGTTCCAGGTGATGGTTCCAGCTGGAGAGTATTTAAACTTTATATTTCCCAAACAAATCTGCATTTTTAAATTATGGCACAGCAGAGATTATCAGTATAAGTTATGCTGTTTTATGTCAATGTTTACAGGTTACACAAGCCACAAATCAGATTGTGATGAACTGTGCTGACATCGACATCATCACAGCGTCCTTTGTGCCAGAGGGAGGAGAAGGTGAGGGTCAGACTTTGTCAGCTTTTCCCCCCTCCATCTTCTTTTCCTTATTAATGACACTGTCATAAATAAACATCTAGTTTGTAGGTATCACAATGTTTGCATTACACCTATATAGGAAAAGGAAATGCTCTGGAATTCATCCCCTGTTTTATTCTCTTTAGAAATTAATGCTACAGGATTCAACTATCAAAATGAGGATGAGAAAGTCACCCTGTCATTTCCTAGCGCTCTACAGAAAGGTAAGAAGGGACTTGGCTCTGCTGTTGTTTGTCCCTGCTTCTTAAACATTATTCCATCATCACTGCTGTTGAAGAATAACAGATCCCCCCCCCCCCCTTTTGGTCGTGGCTGAATGAACAGTGCAACTCTCTTTGTACACTCCTCCCCAGGCTCCGGCGCGTTGAAGATAGACTTTGTCGGGGAGCTGAACGACAAAATGAAAGGATTCTACAGAAGTAAATATACAACTTCTGCCGGAGAGATCCGCTACGCTGCTGTCACACAGTTTGAGGTAAACTGATGGCCTCAAGGGAAACTGGGATGTTTTCTTTTGGGGAAAGTTGAGTCTGTTGCTTAACCAGCTATTTGCCTGTGTTGCGACACACAGGAGGGTGTGATGGTCATGTGACTCTTGTTGGTAATCCAGAATTATCCTAAAGATGAGGCAATATCTCTGATTTCATTCTGTTTTTATGTATGTTTGTTGTGTGTTGGTGTGTTTCTGGGACGGTCGGACACTGACTGGGGGGGGCTGAACCTCTGTTACTTGCAGGATATACACCTGCTGTGTACGTGCACAGGTTTCCTACCACAGTGTGACACTGGAAGATACATTTATTACAGAGAGGGTCTACCATCTGGGAGTTTTGGTTTAGTTTTTAGTATTGTTGTTAAAGCGTTATAGTTCAAGTGTCTACAGACATTTGCAGCCACGACAACTCCGTTTTCGGTTCACATTGTGTTTGTGGAGAAAGCAACATGTGGAAATGTCTGTTTTTGGCAGAATTAAACACCTGTCAAATCAAGTTGCAGCATCTCATTGATGCAAAAATCCTAAAATCCAGTGTTACCATTAAGCAGTGCTGCTGGTAGTGGCCTAAAGACAGATCTCTGCTTGAGACAAAACAGTAAGTAGGTAGTGTTGTCTGACCATGTCTAAAGGCAAAAGTCTTTATAGCTGCTTCAAATGACTACACTTGAAGGCAAGGCGAATTGCCTGCTGTCATAGAGACACGATAATTGTTCAGATGTGGATAATGGTAATCACAGTCTCTCCTCAAAGACATTCATAATGTTACTCTTGAATGTGCACAAAAAAATGACAGGAGTAGTAATGCAAAGAATGAAAAAGAGAGCATGAGAGAGAGAGAGAAGGTCAAGCCCAACCTACTTTTAATACTTTCATAATTACACGCCTGTCAGTTGCTGGGTGAATTTGGTTTTGGGGAAAGGAAAATGGTCTGAAAATTTCCCTCTGAGTAATTTTATTCAGAGTAACTTCCCCACAAGAAGTTCTGTTCGGTCTGCAGCTCACATTGTGCGTTTCAGCGCAGTTCAAGCATTGGTGCAGATTGTGTAAGCTCGGAAGAAGTAAAGTGAAGCTGTAAAGATTTGGTTGGCTAGGTTAGGCTGGTTAGTCGATAAAATCGTCGGCTCCGGGCAATTTATTTAAAGGAAATGCAGCAAATTCCACAGCTAAATTTGATGCTTTGAAAAACAGTTATCCTGGCACAGATGAAAATGCTCGACTGTAGCGCCGCCTGCTCCTGTAACAAAGGAAAGGAGTCTGGGGCTTCCTCACACAGCAAATTCTCAGTCTGTGTCACTTTGACTTCTGAATGGGAAAATAAAAGTGAAGATACTACAAGTCTTTGTTTCCATAAATCTGTTTGGGTTGCCAGCCAAATCATTTCTCCCCAAGAGTTTATAAACGAGGTGGTTACTGTTGTTTATCTGAGTCTCTCTCACTGAATTGTCATGTCTTTATCATTTTTGTTTTCACAGTTTCTTCCTATTTTTTTGTAGGGTTTTCTTTCTGTATAGTTGCATCCAGTATGCAACAGCCTCCTCTGTCAGTCTACTCACAGATAAAAATCAAATGTGCCTAGACAAGTGAAATACGATCGCCGGGGACATAGACTCGTTTAAGATGCATTTCAAGATAAGTCCACCTCAGTCTGGACTCATCTGGATTGAACACACAGGGTCTGAGTTTGTGTCCTTTCTCTCTTTCAGGCCACGGACGCTCGCAGAGCCTTCCCCTGTTGGGATGAGCCAGCTATCAAAGCCACCTTTGACATCGCTCTGATAGTTCCCAAGGACCGAGTAGCCTTGTCAAATATGGTACGTGTCATATGTTCCCTCCTCCTTCTGAAACCTCCAGACCCATAGACTGCCTGAGTCACTGTGTGTGTGTGTCTGTGTGTGTCTCCTCCTTTCTCTTCCCTCTCTTTTCTCTTTGTCGCTTACATAACAAAGGCCAGACAGTCACTGCCTATTCTACCTCTGGCTAATGTTATTAGATGTCACTACTGTACACGTACAACAAGATTTGTCATTGAAAGAAAAATACAATTGTCCCAAATTGAAGTTCTCTCCTGTTTCATTCTACATAATGAATATTTGTTTCAGTAACACGCATAAATTCATTGACTCACGCTGCTCTGCCACCTGATAGTTGTTCGCTGCAATTTGAATAAAGTTTTAGTTCTATGTTGGCCATAGTCAGTTTTCATTATTCTTTTAGTCATTCATCACTGCAAAATAATCACAAACCCACTGCAGGGACAACTCAAAAGAACTATTTACATATAATCTATAGGAAAACCTTTTAATCCAGAGACAGCGAGACAAGCTCATAACTTCCCCACACTACTGAAGAGGAGAGGGAGAGGCCCCTGGAGGTGGTTGTAGAAGAGCTGTGCAGCATGCATGAGAATAAATGACAAAATAATATATTTGATGCTCTGAACAAGTCTATATTTGTCGTTAGTCACTTTTAAGTCACTATAATAGACCCAATTTCAGGGTTATTGTCAACGGGGGATCCTTATTTTTGAGGTCTTGTGTTTCTTATACAGACAGATTTCCAGTGATTTTCAACTGAAGGCGTTTGCAGCTAAATTGCATCAGAAAACATCATCTGGCTTAGATTATTTCTAACAACACCCCTCCAGGCTAACACAGTTCATCTGGGTGGTGACGATGAAGCTAAATTTGGGTCTTTCCGATGACTAAATATGAATGACATGAATGCAGTCTGTCTGTCTTTAGTAGTGTGTGTTTTTATGTCCCATCCTGTTGCGTCAGCTGTTGACAAAATTTGATTACGATAGACAAATGACCAAATAATCTTATAAACAAATAGAATAAACCGTAGATAATAATATGAAATAGAATAGACAAATGAGGATAATTAGAGACAAATTGCAGACAATCATGGCTAAAGTAAAGAAGATTGGATTAGTTCAGTCAGCAGGAGTAAGCTCTGCACAGACTGATGCCAGTCCAGCTCTTGACCTTTTGTGTCCACATACCCACTGAAATTTATTTTCTCATCCAGTCCACTGTGACCTTTTTAAAGTCCAGTGCAACACAATACTGCATTTAGCTCGAACGTGTATGCGTACAGACTCAGTAGCTACTTTGTGGTAACATGAGGGGTTTACACACTAATGCAAAGTGGTGAAAAGTACCGACTAATACTAAGATAACTGTTGGTCAGACTGTCGGCGTTGAAAGTAAAGGATGAGTCTGATATTTTGGTCAACAGATCCCACCAAAACCAACTGAATGTGTCAACTAACAGGTATTGTGTATTAAAGCCTGACATATCTTCTTCCTTTGTGCCGTACAGCTCCATTGTTCAGTTCAGTGAGCCACACGGTTGCACTGGCTGACATGTTCCTTCACACACACACGTTGTAGTTTGTTTTACCGTCCTGCTGCCCCACATGTGGATTAATCCGCAGTTTGAAAATAGTCCCCAACAAAAGCACTATTTCCTCCTCTTCAAGTGTCTGTTTTAGGACATAATGGAGCCTTTTTAAAATAAGTAAACAAATTTTAACTTTTAAAGATTTACATTTTTAAATGGGAACCAATGTGCATCAAACAGGAAGTCAGTAATGAGAGACGGACTAACACATTGTTGGTGTTTTCATGGGATCCTTTAATTGATGATCCCAGATTCCTAATGAACCTGCTGATGTTTGTTCTAGCGTCAGCAAAGTGCCAAACAAACACTTATATTTACTGAGAAGATTCATGCTCTGCAGAGGAATCGTCGTCATATCGCCTTTTCTCTCTCATCACCCTCAAGACAAATTGACATTTTCAACCCCGCTGCCAGTAAAGCTCTTGAAATGGTAAACTCGTCTGTACATTGTTTGTTCTCCCAGACGCCGCACTGGTGGTGTGTAATAATAAATATCTCAGCCTTTACCAGCTGCTGGTGGGGCTTTACACTCTCTTTGTGTTACACAAAGTCACTGTTTGCCCCCCAAAGGAACCAAATATAAGGCTGTGGTATCAGAAGCTTTTACACTTGAGCAATTATCTGCTTGAGAAAGATATATTTTAGCAAAATGTCCCAAAATTGCTGAACTCACTGTTGCTGTCAGTGATCTGTTTCCATATGAAATCTTTTCCCTCTTCCAGAATGTCATTGATCGAAAGCCATATCCGGAGGATGAAAACCTTGTGGAAGTGAAGTTTGCCACCACACCCATCATGTCAACATACCTTGTAGCTTTTGTCATCGGTGAATACGACTATGTGGAGAGCCAATCGTCAGATGGTATAACGGTACGCGTCTACACACCTGTCGGGAAGGCAGAACAAGGGAAATTTGCACTGGAGGTGAGAATGAAACATTTCCAGACAGCAACGCAGCTCTTAAAGAATACTTCTGTCTGCCTGATCCTTTTGTGTCTCTTTCAGTCTTCCTGAACACTTTGTCCTGAACACTTTGACAAAATATAAAAAGGTTGTTACATATAATTTCTTTCTCTTTTGCAGGTTGCGACTAAGACCTTACCTTTCTACAAAGACTACTTCAGTGTTCCTTATCCTTTGCCTAAAATTGATCTCATAGCGATCGCTGATTTTGCTGCTGGTGAGTAGTTGTCAGTTTCACATTCAGTAGTTTGGAGACATTTCCAATGAAAATGTTGTAAAAGTGAAACGTGTTCTGCTTCCTTCCATTCAGGTGCCATGGAAAACTGGGGCCTTGTTACCTACAGGTAAGCTTTGGTTTGCTCTTGAACTTAAAAACATCATGGTATTTTTACTTAAAGGTCCAGTATGTAATATTTAGGAGGATGTATTGGCAGAAATGTAATATAATATTCATATACAGACACAGTGAGTCGCCTTCTGTGGAGGCCGGTGTGTTTCAGACAAACAAACCAAACACTGGCTGTAGATGGAGCCACCGTAGCTTCTCCCTTGTGAGTGGAAAGGAAGGAGATGCCACTAAATCCTAAATACTGGACATTTAAAGCCTCTAAAACTTTCCTTTTGTGGGCAAAAGTGGTGTTTCTACCTACTTGTTTCATTGATTTCAAAGGGAATCTGACCAAATCCTCTCTGGTTGCAGGCATTAAGATGGACTATATTGAAAAAACAATGAAAATAATTCACAGATTTAATGGATGAGGAAAAGAATAGTTTGTTGCAGCCCTAAACTAGTTGTGCATCTTCAAGGCTCATAGAGGGAAACCGCAGCTTTCTTCCTTTCTTTCTGGAAGGTTGTGTTATTTTGGTTGACAGCTCTGATGGCTTTTTAATTGCTTTGTGGTTAGTTAGACGTGCTGCCGCCTGTTAGGTGTTCAGATGGCATGTGATTAGCATACGGCAGCAGGCTCCATTCATCCACCGTCTACAGGTACCTGCATGCAGGCTTTCTTAATAAACAGCCCAGCAGCTGTTGTGGCCTCTGGATGGTTGATGAAGGAAAAACCTGCTGGTGTCGACCTTCAGCTCGTCTCTGTGTTAACCTCCAGTTTCTGTGGTTTTTCCAGGGAGACAGCACTGCTAATCGACCCCAAGAACTCCTGCTCGTCTTCCAGGCAGTGGGTGGCGCTGGTGGTCGGACACGAACTCGCCCACCAGTGGTTTGGAAACTTGGTCACCATGGTAACCAGCCATAACCGCTATTTCTTGCCTTTTTTTTTTTTTTTTTTTTTTTATAAATGGACAGTTTGTGAGGAGATTTGAAAATGATGATAATCATAACAATAATGTGTCAACGAGTTATAAAAGTAATGGAAAGTAAACTGTTAATGTCTGTACATTGTAATCTGAGCTAAAGGCAGCATTTAATATCTCCAAAGTACAGACAATGTAGTACACAAATGTGATAATGTAGTACACAAAAAAGGCCAATGAACTCCCAGAGAAGTCGAAAAGTCGAGGCACACTGTTTTGTTAAAATAGAAAAGTTTAAAAGCTTTTTTTTGGACATTGTTTTGCGTACCGGTACATCAGGATCATAAGTTTTGTGTCCCATTGTTGTCAGATTTTAGCAGTTAATCGTATCTTTCAGAAAACGACTGTCAGTCAGAGTCAGTGTTAATGTTGTATTTGTAGTTTTTGGAAGGGAACGACGCAACCATCTTAGTGCGTGTCTGTGTTTGTGTATGTACAGGAATGGTGGACCCATCTGTGGCTTAATGAAGGATTTGCATCCTGGATCGAGTATCTGTGTGTGGACCACTGCTTCCCAGAGTACGACATCTGGACCCAGTTTGTCTCAGCTGACTACACCCGTGCCCTGGACCTGGATGCACTGGACAGCAGCCATCCCATAGAGGTGAGCTGTGGAAGGATTCACGTTCTAAAACTAAAAGCAGCTGGCTCATGTAGGACAGATTATTTAGGATTTAATCTTTTTATTTATTTATTTAATGATTTATTGAGACGGGCTAGTATATAAGTTAAAACCATGAAAGTTGCCGTCTGACTCTTAACGTGTGACGTCCGGCTGTGCGTTCTGTGCTCCAGGTGAACGTCGGCCATCCATCAGAGGTAGATGAAATCTTTGACGCCATTTCCTACAGCAAAGGAGCATCTGTGATCCGCATGTTGCACAACTACATAGGAGACGAGGTTGGTTGTCTAACAGAGTTTCTCACAATGTAGCGCAGTTTCCATTTTAGTATTTTTTATCGTTAAGTTTAACCTCTTGCTCTTTCTTTGTAGGACTTTAGGAAAGGAATGAACGCCTATCTTTTGAAGTTCCAACATAAAAATGCTTCGACGGGTAAGAACATGCAGGAAATATTTCCCCCCGAGATGAAACCGCTGTGTAAAATTGATTTCATGGATTCCTAATTGTCTGACTCACGGCTGTCTTCCACAGAGGATCTATGGGACTGTCTGGAACAGGCCAGTGGAAAACCCATCGCAGCAGTGATGGGCTCGTGGACCAAGCAGATGGGCTTCCCAATAATAGTAGTGGACCAGGAACAGGTGAGCTTCACTGGTGCTTAATCAGATTTGATCAAGTGTTTATGCCCCAGATCGGAGTTGATTAATACGGAGTCAGGATCTGAAACTTCTATTTTCCTAGATAATACACTGCACCCTTAACGTAACGTTATTAAAGTCAATCTAAAGTATATGCTTGACAGTTAAAGTCCAGTGTTTGTTGTGTGCAGCCTTTCCCCAGAGTCACCTGAATGAACTGTGTGCTGTTGAATGTTTGTTATTGTCGTCTGTACATCTTTTGTGTGAACTGCATTAATAAATTACTCTTGTTAGCTTTTTGCTTGCGAGGCTTTTGTTGCACTCGCAGTCGTGTGGTGAATGTGGTTGTTTTTTTGGGCTCTCCACCGTTGTCTACCTCCCAGACACACCTGTGTCACAGTTAATATAGGAACATCACCAACATAAGTACCCTGCGTTGTTGCCTCTCTCACACACTGACCATGATGTTATTTATAGCAAGGTGACGACCGCATCCTCAAGCTGTGTCAGAAGAAGTTCTGTGCCAGTGGACCACATAATGGTGAGTGTTTATGTACATGTACTGTTTTCTATGTAAACCAACACCCAGCCACAGCTTCTCATTGGCTCCCTGACTTGTCTGTCGGACAGGTGAGGATTGCCCCAACTGGATGGTCCCCATTAGTATTTGTACCGGCGAGGACCCCAAATGCACCAAGCTCAAGGTTCTGCTGGACAGACCCGAGACGACCATCACCCTGAGCGGCGTCAGTCCTGACCAGTGGGTCAAGGTGAGTTTCAGTTTACCTTTTTACTTGATAATGTTTGTTTTACATCCTCAGCTGTAATCACCAGCCATCAGTGATATTTATTTATATTTTGTTGTTTAGTTTTAAAGGGACAAATATGTAGCATAGATAGTCCTTTTAAAATATGCAAAACTCAACAAAGCACACACTAAACAATAAGTATGTACGTTTAAATAACAGAACTCTGCCAGAAAAACAGACCGAACAGGACACAATAAATCTAAACCTATAAATCCCTATAAAACAGGTTGCAACAGATCATTTGTGACTGCATGACTGATCCCTCTTCAAAAACTGTTTCAGTTTGAGTTAAAATGATCCCAGTCAGGATCCAGAGTCCAATACCTAAACTCAGGGTCCTGATCCGATACCTGGCATACAGTGTGATAAATAAAGTAGTTTTACGTACCTAGGATCTTTGTGGCACTAAAACTTTAGTTTGTATCCCGCTGGGATGGAATAAATGTAACAGTGGAAACTGTATTTAATGTGGATTACTCACTGCTGGCGATACCCGTTCTTAGTAAGCATGAAATCCTCTGTTTAACTAGTGAAAACTGAGTTTGTACGTAGAAGTGTGTTTTGAATAATTTCTGCAGAGCTTGAAGAGCTTCTGCAGGGCAAGGAAAGTTCATTTGTATACCACATTTTCACAACAAGGCAATTCAAAGTGCTTTACATGAAACATAAAGGGCATCAAGATAAAATGTAAAAGCAAGATATTTACATGGAATATTCATGTTATCTTTTATTTCTTGCTTTTAATGATACAACATCTTTGCAGCCTGTGGCCATGTTAGTGACAAAGGTCGTACATGTACAAGTAAGACTTCAAGCTAAAATAGTCAAAAACTTCTTTCATTCAAATGCGAATGAACAGCATAGTTCAAAGTCTTCAGTCTTCAGCTGAAGTAATGAGTCAAGAAAAGATGCCTCAGACTGTCCTGTTATTAAAAGTTCAAACCAAGTTCACAGAACGAGGTTCCTGGTCGTCAGTTGGGAGGAAGAGCGGTGGAGGATGTGGTAATCACAGACTCACCCGCACTTCCTCTAACACCAGCCAGTTTGTACAGGTGTTCACCTGGTCTACTAATGACGGGACAGTTTAGTAAGTTACATTATGTCATCTTTTGTTCTGGTAATTTGGGAGTAGACAAGAATTTACTTGTTTGTCGTCTCATGGGTGTAACTTGTTAATTAGCGTAGCCGTTGATGATGTTTCTGTCTGAACAGTGTAAACAAAGGATTGAAAATGGATCGTGCTTCATACTGATCTATAAATAATGCCTCGGATCCCCACTTCTCCAATCCTGGAACGACTCGTTCACGTTCCTGGTACCAACAACATTATGAGGCAGACTTAATTTTAAATACTGAGGTTTCCTTCCCTCTAATGTTTGTTCAGATAAGTCAGAATTACCAGTGTTTTGGGGGAATTTTTCCACCACAACAAGCCCATTGTTGACTAAAACCTCAAGCATTAGCATTAGGATGATGCCGTTTCACTCTGCTTTAAGCCCTGCTGGATAAAAGCTCTCCGTCTGAGAGGAGGAAATGGCAAAACTAAATTTTTTCCCCCCCACAGTCTGACCCAGTTGTGTCCCTGCTGTTTACAGATCAACCCCGGCACTGTGGGCTTCTACCGCATCCAGTACAGCTCTTCCATGCTGGAGAGTCTGCTGCCGGGCGTCCGGGACCTCAGCCTGCAGCCTGTGGACCGACTCGGCCTGCAGAACGACCTCTTCTCACTGGTGAAACTCACACACACATACACATACAGCGCCCCACTGTAGGGAAATGAAACAATAACTATAATTCCTTCGAAAGGCTAATTGTTTGTCAGTATGCAAAGGAAACCCACTCCCTTCAAACATAAATAAATACATGGATTAAAGTAAACTTAAGTTGCTGATGTTAGAAAAAAGATGAACTTTAATGATTTGGCATTAACTAATCCAAACAAAGTCCACCAAAACAGAACTCCATTAAAATAAGCCTGTTATATACTGTTTATATTGGCCAATATTTTGGCCAATATAAAGTATCTTTAGGGTAACATTTCTTCCCACAGTTAAGTGCTTTAGGAAAGGTAAGACTTTACCTAGTGTGGCAACTCTATTCTGATGATAAATGTAAAAACTGATGAGACACAGTGACTGACTCTTTGTTCATCAGCTGCTATTGTGAGTCAGTACGGTGAAGAAGTTTTGTGTTTTATGTAACGCCTCCATCTATTCTGTTTCTTTTTATGCAATGTCTGTTTAAGATGAAAGGATCAAACTCCAGTTAACCAGAAATGGTCAGGGTAGAGGATCAGATAACATCTCATCATAAATCTTTCTTTGTTTAATTCCAGATGATCTGATGTTTTTAAATGAAAACCTCAGGGTTGATTTATGGTCACCACATTAAGCTGAAACTTTCTAGGTTTCGTTACAGTTTCTGTCCTCACGTGGATGTTTACTGAGCGGTTTGTCGTCATTTCATCAGTGTGTTAATACTCAGATATCAGGTGGGGAAAAAAAGCTTCATCGCCACAGAAAACGTCTTGTAACACTGACCTCGACCACGAAACAAACAATTACGACATTACATGATGTGTCAGACAGTTTGGAAATCCAGAACAAGTTTCAAATTGTCGGAAATCCGTCAGAATTGAAATGCCTCTGAGCTTTATCAGTTCCTTTTATCGATGTCTGACAGTTGCTCATTGCGACGTCAAACTTGTGTTTCTACACTGCTGCAAACGTAAAGCAAGAGTCACGGCGGGAAGGAAGCGTGACTTCATTTCACACCATCGAAATGCTGAAACCTCTTTAAATTCCACGTATTCGACGAGTGCCGCTGCTTTCCAACCGGTGTCATGATGACAGTTTGTTTTCTTTGTACAAATATGAGAGATGGAAATCCAGAACCGGTTCTGGTTGAGAACCGCTTCCAAAGTAAACAGCTTTTTTCTACTGCTTATAAACTGTGTTCAGACTCCGAGATAAAAAACAAACGCATTTACACTAAGAAACCTGTCAAATGATATAGACGGCGACATACAGTCACTTCACTCGTATCAAAATCCCCAAAAAGTCCCCAAATCTGATGAATAAATGATTAAACATTTTTCTTATTTTAGAACAAATCACATTGTGTGTTTAGTTGGTCACTGAATGTTTACAGCTGGTGTTCATCCAAAGGGCAGCTTTATGTTAGACTCAGAATGAGGAAACTTTTTGCTGACGCTAACTGTTTTGTGGCTTCAGTCTCGTGCCGGGATGATCAGCACGGTGGAGGTGCTGAAGCTGATGGAGGCGTTTGTCAACGAGCCCAACTACACAGTGTGGAGCGACCTCAGCTGCAACCTGGGAGTGTTGTCCTCGCTGCTGTCCCACACCGACTTCCACGAGGAGATCCAGGAGTTCATCCGGGACCTGTTCACCCCCATCGGCCTGGAGCTCGCCTGGGACAGCAAACCGGGGGAAGGTGAGGAGGAGGAGGAGGAGCTCACGTATTTGTGACTATAGACTTATGCTGCTGACGGTGTCTACACACACACACACACACACACACACACCTGCTGTAGATGCCGGCTGCAATCGAGAGAGACCTCTTGTGGACATTTGGAGTACTGCTTATACTGTTACTATCATTGTGGTTATTTCTTTGATTATTCAGAACAGTTTGAACCAATTATATATTTTATTACACTTATGTTCCTTCAGATAACCTTTACTGTCTATTAATCTCTTAGACACGCCTGATACATGCCTTTACTGCTGTGTAAAGGCATATCTACATTTCACAAAATGTATCATCCACTATATCATCATACATTACTATACAGTAGCACTTAGTGAAAGATGTCTGAGCGAGGTGTCCGACTCCTGAGAGACCTGAATGTCCTCCTTGAAGATCACAGCGCTGTGGCGAAGGAAAGCCGGTAACTTGAGCGTGATGGTTTTGTGGTGCAGGTCACCTGGACGCCCTGTTGAGAGGACTGGTACTGGGGAAACTGGGTAAGGCGGGACACAAACCCACACTGGAGGAGGCCCGGCGGAGATTCAGGGACCACGTGGATGGAAAGCAGGTCCTGCCTGCAGACCTCCGGAGCCCGGTGAGCAAAATAAAACCGCCCGTGAAGTGTTTTGTCACTAACTGCACTGAGGCATCGTGTTTTAACTGTGTACGTGTTGTTTTCAGGTGTATTTAACAGTGCTGAAGCATGGAGACAGTGCCACATTGGACACGATGCTGAAGGTAAGACTGACGCTACCCTGAAGATCATTACACTAACAAATGATTGACCATTATCATCCTAAAACAAGTAAATATGTCACGTGTTTTCTTTCACCCATACTCTGATGATCTCTTTCCTTCTGTCTTCCTAATATATCTGTTTGTCACTCGGCCCTTTAGCTCCACAAACTAGCAGACATGCAGGAGGAGAAGAACCGCATCGAGCGAGTTCTGGGCGCCATCTCTGCCCCCGACCTCATCCAGAAAGTCCTCAACTTCGCCCTCTCGGTACACACGTCCACGTTTTTAATGCACGTTGCCAAAATGCTGGTTTTGTTTCTCCTGGTGTCAGGAGGAACTGAAAGAAGTGTCATTTGCTGTAGCGTTCTATTTTTAACAAGCATGCTTATGATCATGTGTTTGTGGAGGAAAATCAGACCCAGTTTCTGTTTCCCAGTTGATTTTATTTTGTGCCTAATGATTAAAAGTAGGAAGGTTTAACTGCAAAAGAACAGAAAGTCTTGAAATAGTCAGGAAGGAGTTTCAGAGCTTTCAGAGGGATTTCCCACCAGCCAGTGAGATGCCGATCTATCTGCTACGAGCTGCACCTGAACAAACCTCGCAGCTAACCTGTCTCTGGTTCTTCTCTCCGACAGGAAGAGGTTCGTCCCCAGGACACAGTTTCAGTAATCGGGGGCGTGGCAGGAAGCAGTAAACAAGGCCGGAAAGCTGCCTGGAAGTTTGTCAAGGACAACTGGGAGGAGCTTTACAACCGCTACCAGGGCGGCTTCCTCATATCACGGCTTATCAAGGTAAAACAACGCTCAGTGTAAAGCACCGGGGTTGTCTAGTAGCTGACGAGTAAAATATAATATGTAACAGAATGTACTTACACATAAAAAGATTATAAGGAAAGATACTAAAATATCCTTATACAGTTTCTGCTACAAGGTTACATCCACATTTAAAGATCAGCTCCACTCAATAATGTTTGTTTTTCTTATGTTTATGTCCCCTAAAATGTGAGACCTTTACTGACCTGTATCTGTGCAAAGTTTATCAGTAGAGAGGTGTTTTCACATTCCTCTCCTGAAGGGGGAGATCAAACACTAAAATCTGTGATTCAAACGTACCCCGGGCAAACTAGATTTGGTACATAAGAAATCTCTGTACGGCGAGTGAGAGTTGGCACTAACATAGTGAAAGTTTTGACCACAATCATGTTGCAGTGTGTTTTTTGGATGTAAATCAGCCCCTGGAGCTTCCTTCTACTATTTACTACATAATAATGTGACAACGTGAACATCAGATATTACATGTTTCACTAATGTCTAACGTCTTGATGCGCACTGCAGTGGTCAAGGATTTTATTTACTTAAACTTTTTATGTGTTAAACTAAATATTAAATTATAGAAGAGTATTTTTAAATACTTTAAAACATGTCTGGAGCTGAAATGTGTGCAGAAATTATATGGAAATGAGCTGCAACACTGGAATATCCCACAAGGTGGAGCTCCAACACAAGGAATATACACTATAGTCTCAGTAGTTTCACAGAAATAGATCTATCTATCTATCGTCTCGCTGCTTCAGAGGTAGAAACAGACTAACCTCACCTGGAATAGTGTCACATGATGAAGCTTGGGCTGCTGGGAAAAGGAGTTCTTAAACGATAACAGGGAGTCAGATTCATTTATTTCCCACCACCTCCGAAGCAGATAGCCACACATTTACTCTGCTTGGTGTATAAACAGGAACGTTAATCATTTGTTTGTCTTTGCTTTTGTTTGCTCACAGTTGTTTCTTGTCTTTGCAGCTAACAGTTGATGGATTTGCTATTGACAAAATGGCTGCTGAAGTGAAGGTGAGAGCTTCACAGAGCTTCTCGTTTGTATTCCTGCAGTTTAATTTGTTTTGTTTTTTTGAAGTGAGGAAGTTGTTTCTTAATTTTGGTTAATTGAATAGTTTGCTAATTCACAAATATAAATTATTCCATCTTGTTTTTCCTTGAAATGGTTCAATTCAAGATGTAATTCAGCTCAATCTGGTTGGTAAAGAACAAGAACTGTCACGAATATTTTCACCACTAGGGGGCAGAATGACCTCAGGACGAACCCTCAGTAATACAGTCTGTTACAGTCCTGATACACTGTCTGCATATAAAATATAAAGTTATTTATCCAGGAAATAGACCAACAATCACACTTCCTCCTCAGAGGCAGGTTTCAGATATTCTCTCTACTTTTTAGCTCCTTTTTGTTTTGAGTTTGCACAAATGTTTCAGAGCAACTTATCGTGGGTATGAGGACAAAGTGGCGAGTGATCGACACCCATTGTTAAACTGGTCCGTCTGTGTGTTTCTGTCCCTGCAGAGTTTCTTTGAGAGTCACCCGGCGCCGGCGGCTGAGCGTACGGTGCAGCAGTGCTGTGAGAACATCCTCCTCAACGCCGCCTGGCTGAAGCGCGACGCAGACGACATCCACCAGTATCTACTGCAGCGCAAAGCGCCCCCCGTCTGAGCCGCCGCCCCCTCCCCCCTGCCGCCGCCTCCCCCCCCATCCCTCCAGCGCGGACCTCCCAGCATCATAGCTGCCTCGCCCCCCCCCACCCACCTCCTCAATACAGACCAGAGCGGGAGACCAGAGCGTACTTACAGCAGGCTTCATTTCTCTAAAGAGACTGTATAAAACAAGAAGGCAAAGCCAAGAATTTAACAAAGTGTTGGAAACACAGAGACTCTTTCTACGTTAACAAAGCAAATCCATTTTAGTCAGACCAGGAATGTAGTTTTACCCCCATTCTGTCCACGAGCAGACGACACGACGGTAGAAAACCCCCCCGGTGCTCGGCGAAGTCACAGAAACACCACGTCCCTCCAAACGATCGCTAACCCTGCTAACGCACTCTGCATCACCTGCCCCGTATGCACACCCTCATCCATCTCTGCGTCGTAGCTGAGAAAACTGTGAATCCCCCCCCCACCCCACCCCTCCTCCTCCCTCCCTCTCCTTCCTCCTCCCTTTTTTTTCCCCTCCTCCCGCTGCCTCCCATTTTGAATGCATGAAGTGTGATTTTCTGCATTTGCTGCTTTGTTTACTTCTGTTTGTTTTCTGTACAAACAAATTATTTGTTGTTTTGACTCACTCCCCCCTCCGAACCCTCTCTCAGTTAAAAGTTCACCTCCACCTCCTCCTCCTCCTCCTTCTCTTTCGGGCGTTGTGATTGGGTGAAAGCAGAAGGCACCTGGGCAGAATGGGGTTAATAACGGTAGTGTGTGTTGTAGTTTCCAACAGCACTGATTCTCCATTGCTAATAAACGGTTAGGACGAGGCGAGCAGCGCTAGCATGGTACTACATTGTAAACTGTATAATGCAAGCATTTCTTTTTTGTTTTTGTTTTTTTTTTTTTTGCGGACGATGTTCCTTTTTTAAAAGAATTAAATGGAAAAGTTCACGGTTACCTGTTTCCTCCCCTCTTCTCCCCCAAAAACCCCCTCGAGCTCTGTCCAGTCAGAGTTTGTATAGTTTGAATCATCAACAACCATATTTAAACTCCCCCTTCCTCCTCCTCCTCCTCCCAACCCTCCTCCCCCTCCTCCCCCCCGGTTCTTTCTCTGCTGCCCTTAATGAAATGAAGATATTGGCGTTGTTTTATAAGACATCAGATGCAGTGATTTATTTAAATGTTGAGATAATCTTATATTCTGAGGAGAGAGAGACAAGAGGGGAAAAAAAAAAAAAAAAAGATCACAACACTACTTTTTTCGGGGCCTTTTCTTTCTGATCAGGAAACGCCTGTCGATAGGGTTGAGAGTCCGGCGAGGCCCCGAGTCCCCCCCCGGACGGCGTGGACGCGACCGATCGACTTCGACTCCGCTGTCAAACTTGGAAAGCCTTAAACTGGTCGACTGGTTTGCAGTAAAATATTTAACACTGAAGTGGTGATTTTAATAGGTTGACTTCCACATAACGTCAAATGTATCTAATGTGACAGAATATGCAGACTTGTTGAACGAGTATATCTATATAGAATTTACAATTTGATGTGGTTTTTGAAAACATACCGATCAAGTCATCCAACCTGTTGTCGAGACTCTTCCCTCCTCCCCTGACCTCCGACCCCCCCGGAACATTTGTTGTTGTTTTGGTTTTTTTTTTTTTTTTTTTTTCCAGTTTGTTTCTTTTGTTTCTTTTTTTTTTTTTTTTTTTTGTTTGTTTAAAACTACAGTTGGTGTTCATTAAAGTGAAAAAGGAATATAAAAACAAACAAACAAATGATGTGAAATTAGTACAAGTTGATTTTAATGAGTGAGGTGTGAGTGTGCATGCCTGGAAACAGATTTGTAATTTATTTTGTATTATCTCACCAAGAGCAGGCGGAGGAGGAGATGATCTTATTGGATTACAAAACGGTTAAAGCGGCACTGAAACTGATGAATAATGTGTGTGTGTGTGTGTATATAACAGCTGAATTACACCTAATGAGAATAAAATTGGTTACAGATTGATATAGACGATCACACAGAGAAAAATTCCAATGTCTTCACGTTTTGGTTTCATAAAGTGTCTGTAGAAAACTTTCAGGCAGCGTTCGGCTTAGAGTTTGTTGTTCAGAGACGTTTGATGTTTTCTTGTCATTTTTGTTTTCTTTATTTTTTTCTAATGAATCTGAATTTAGTTCAACATGTGGGATGTCTTTGTGCTTCTGACTCTTTGAGAAGAGGAAAATCTCTCGTGGCAGGAGAGCTTCAGCGATGCCAAGGCAAACGTAAATATGCAGTCCAATAAAGTAACACTTGATGATACGTTTTCTGTCGCTACACGACGTTTCTCAGGTTACTGATCTTAATCGCCTAAAACTAGTCTCTTGATAAGCTCCGAGGCTTACGATTCTGATTGATCGGACAGCCAGTTCTCGAGTCCCATCCTTACTGAAGCGTCCCGAAGGCCGCAGGCTGTCTCTGTAACAATTACTGTGTGGTAATTCAAAAGAAAGTAAAACGCGCTCATGGTGGCAGCTGCTTTTTAAAATGTTTCTGGGAGGCACGGACAGTAGAGAGACTCTCGAAGTCCCCCTCCACTCAAAAATACAATGTTCTTGTTCCTACAGTGTGATGTTTGTGCAGAGTGTGACACCAGACGGCTCATCGTAATCAGTCATTCGGGGCTTTAACGTCACACTACCACATCTGGACCACATTGTGTACGTTTCAAAAGTCACAAATAAGGCTGCTAATGATCATTTTCATTATCACGACTATCGAAAGTGCTTCCTCTGAGCAGCACTAAGTCTGTAGTGTGTCAGTGCTTTGTTGGATGTACTGGTTTTCTCCCACAAGGAGTAATTGTCACCAAGGATCCAAATAACAGTAAAGATTAAGATCATGAAACATTTTTGTGGCTGAATAATTAGTTTCTTCCCTAATTGTGTAGTTGTTTGATTATAGTTCTGAGAATTGGGTGATTAACTGAATTGTCAAAGAGATTAAGATCCGTTTCCACCTTTTTTTTAAATGTAAACATGTCTCAGTGTAGATAAAAACAGATTATACTAATATAACAAAACATGATCAAACTCTATTTCTACCAATAGATCCTCCTAAAATCTCACACACTGGACTGGAAAAAAAAACCCTGTAAAAACATCTGCATAATAATCACCAGTTTAAAACTATTACCGCATCATGAGGTGTAATTACACCCTGGTGGCTGCAGTGAGCAGGTCCCGCCGGTGGGTGGCGCCAGTGAGCGACTCCCGCTCGGCGAGTGCAAGGGGAAAGAAAAAAAAAAAAAAGAAGCGAAGAAGTGAACTTAGTTGCTGTGAGGAAGATGCTGGTTATAAAATAACATCTGTAAGTAAACCGGGCTGTAAAGTGTTAAAACGGCGTGTTAATACACCACTAATATCTAATTCGCTACGTTAATAGTTAAAGTTTGACTTACTGTCGGCTTCCGTTGTCTGGATTGATCGGATTTAGCTCAGCAGCGACGTTAGCTTCGTGTTAGCCACACGGAAGCTAACCCAGTTTGATAAAGCTAACAGGTAAAGCACCGCCACATATTCTTCATTTATTCAACTACAGCGGTGTTTGTTTGTGTATGTGTGTTTATTTCATTATCATTGCGTCTTCTGGGGGAACATTGAAGCGGGTTAAGGTCCGTTAAACCGGTAAATGTCGGTTGGTTTGAAAGGTTGAGGTTATTTTTATCTCTGGTTTCAGACTCAGCTTTCACTCTGAGGATTAATGTCTGCCCGGTGAACACTTTTAATTACTGTTTGCACTTTATTTATGTTCTCTTTAAGAGCTGTTAGGGAAGGTGTTGGGTTGATGTGCAGTCACACGTGTGTTTGAGCCGCTTTAAAGTCCCAGTTTTCTTTATTTATATGTTTATTTATATGTTTATTTATATGTGTAAGAGCAGCTAGGAAACATTAAATATAAACACAGTGGGTCTATTTCTCAACCTTTAGTTCTTTATGTGCAGAAAATGGTTAAATAAAAGGTCTAATAGAGTGATAGTTAACCTCCAGGGGCAAGAAAACACTTAATTGGTCTAAAAAGAAGAATGAATGAATTTAATTTAAAAAAAAATAAAAAATCAAATGTCACTAAAGTCCGTTTATTAAATGACAGAAGAGGAGTTAAAGTTAAAGCACAACTAATACATCTTATCAGCAGCCACGTGTATGTTATCCAACAGGTGCTGATATGAAAACTGTTTATATAATGCAGAAAGAAATGCCCATCTGTTGTCACTGCAGAGTTTATGGGATGTACAATACGCTGACAGGCAGCAGCTCAACAGGGAGGCCACAACAGAAAACAGGTTACTGGAGCAGAGACTAAATAATGTTTAAGTATCACACTACTGTAGTTTGTCTGGACCACATTGTGTCACAAGTAAGGCTGCCAATGATCATTTATATATATATTATCACTCAGACCGCGTGTGAGAGAGAGTGAGAGAGACTGTGTGTCACATTTCAGTGCTTTGTTGGATGGACCAGTTTTCAGCCTGTTTGTTGGGTGTGAAACCCCCCAAACAGGCTCCCACAAGTCACCAAAAGATCCAAATAACAGTAAAGATTAAGATCATCAAACGTTTTTGTGGCTGAGTAATTCATTTCTTACAAAAATGTGTAACCACAAAAATATCTCGACCCAATATTTGAGAATAATCAAGAGATTACTGGTTGACTGACGAGTAATTTAACGAGCAAAATGCTAAAAATCCTCCTTTTTTAAATGTGAAAATGTTTATATTGTAAATTAATAGAATATCTCTTTGACTCTAAGATATTGTGATCTGTTGTCAGATGTTTTATATGCTACAAAGTCCAATCAGTTAATTTAAACCATTAAAATAACCATTAGTTTAATGTTTTAAAGTACCACAGTGTCTTTATCTTTGTCTGGATGCTTCATCGTGCCTCTCGTCCTGGTGTCAGGCTGTCTGGTGTCGTCCAGGCGGTGACTGACTGACAGATGCCTTCATCATGATGCTGAGCTGCAGCGCTCTGGTCGTCGCCCTCCTGCTGTCCCAGGTCCGAGGCTTCCTGGGCCCCTCGGAGGACGACGACAACAACGTCCCCGAAGAGTGGGTGCTGCTTCACGTGGTCCAGGGCCACATCGGGGCCGGGAACTACAGCTACCTGCGCCTCAACCACGATGGCCGAATCATCCTGCACATGCAAAGCCTCAAGGGAGACGCAGACCTCTACGTGTCGGATAAAACTCTGCGGCCGAGCTTCGACACGTACAAGCTGCAGTCGGTCACCTGCGGCCAGGATGTGGTGGTGGTGCCGGGGGACTTCGCGAGGCCCGTGGGCATCGGGATCTACGGGCACCCGTCTTACAAGGAGAGCGAGTTTGAAATGCGGGTGTTTTACGATCAGACGGCTCCCCAGGACCCGTTCGAAAAGGGCTCATACACTTCAGAAGACGGATATAAGCAGAAGAGATTCCCTCAGGCAGCGGAGGAGGACTTTCAGGAAGAGGAGTCGATCTTTTGGACAATTCTGATCGGACTCTTGAAGATTATACTTGAGATTTTGTTTTGAAAATGGCTGCTGTGACTGTGGCTCAGTCAGATATATTAACGCACCAAATCCCAGTGAGAATTCTGGCATTTTAACAATTTCTTTTCCTTGTCATCAAACATACATACTTGATTTAAAAAAAACAAAAAAAAAAAAACAAATCAGACTCAGAAGTCGTTGATAAATGCTGAATTTAATTTAAGCCAGAAAATGTTTCACAAAGTTTGTATGTCTGGTGATAAGCAAATCAACATGAGTCAGATTTAGCAGGTTTGGTGTCCCCTCATAGAAAAGGCAGAATGAAGTGTGTGAAGGTGAAGTACAGACACACGAACTGCAGTTCAACCAAAGGGGCAAGAGGGTAATATAAGTTTTTCTATCTTAATGCAACACTCACATGCTGCGTGTAAGTTGAAAGAGTTAAAGACTGGACTCCTTCCCGAGGTGATGGCAAACAAAATCTTTGGTCAGTGCGAAGAAAATGCTTTCTAAATTTTAACCGAGGCCGATATTCGGCTTTAACAATCGGAGTTAAGGACTCCCTCTCAAGGTTGTTGATACTTTGGGGTAAAAAGCCCCCCGTCGTAGCTTCCTCCCGCTGATCTCTCTTTAACCCACCGACGCGAGCCTAGCGCTACTTCTGGGCAGGTGCTAGTGCCGGTTCAGAGTTGGTTCAACCTTCTAAGAACCGGTTTGCTTTTCCCACGAGCCACCGAAGAGCCACGTCTTTACGCCGTTGTTGTGAGTTATCTTTCATTACCCAGGCGAAGCTTGCTACTAATTTTTATCACGTTACAAACCTCGAACGTAACAAAAGAAAAAAAAAACATGAAATAAGTTGCTCGCTAAACAGCTGATTAAAACCCAGCTGGCTGCCCTGAAGGCGCCTCCAGCCCCTGATCTAAGTGGTTCTGGTTTGTAGACCAGCAGAGTGTTGGTGCTGCTCTGGAACCCGTTTTTCTGGGCCACGAGCCAAACAAACAACGGGTTTGAGATTAGGCACCGACGCTGAACCGGCCCTCAAACTGCCTCAGTTGAACAGATTAACTTTGAAACACGTGTGCGGACAGCAGGTACGATCACAACAAGCATGTGAATAATGTGTCAAGATGCACATGAACGTATCCTTTAAGTCAAATCCTACATACTTACACTCTAAATCTAGCATCGAACAGAGGTAACCGTCGTGGCTGACTCTCACCTCGGCCTGTGAATGAATGAATGAAGCCGCTTGTCTTAACTCTGCATATCAACACCACACAGGTCGTGTGTGTGTGTGTGTGTGTGTGTGTGTGTGTGGGTTCAAATATCACCAAAACTTAGCAATACAGTCATTGTCAGCCATTCTGAGACATAAAAGAAGGCCTGAACTCGTACTTTATGCTGCACAAGCAGATCATTTAGGGAAAACGTTGAAGGTAAAGACGCTGCTAAACATGCTGTCATCGTTATTCTGTCTTCATTTGCTGTTTACGGCATAACTTCAACTCCAAATGGGGACATCTGGTTTAACGAACACACTGCTGCAGACCTGTTAACATTAGTAGCAACATCTCACTTTTTGTTTGTTTTCTTTTGCCTGTTGGACAAGCTCCTGATTTAAAAACATCACCTCCTGCGTTGGAGTTCAGTTCTGAGTAAACTTGCGAACCACTGAGCAGAAATGTTCAACAGTGCCTTCAGATATCAGTCGTCTGCAGGGTGAACAAGCCGAGCAGTTTTCCTGTTTTTCCAGCAGACGATTCAGTCAGGTTAATAAATAAAGCAGTTGTTGTTTTGCAGACTGTTTAAAAAAAAAATCTTTTGTCTCGTGGATCTTTTTTGTTTTTGTTTTGTTTCAGGTTTGATGAAGCGCAACCTGCAGCTTCGATGATGGATCCGTTTACCAGAAGGTTGATAGTTTGAGTCCGAGCAGAAGACGTGAAAATGCTCTTCTATCCATCGATACCGTAGATTGATGAGTGTGCAACCTATTAACGGTCTGAGCAGGAACGAGCCCTAAAACCTAGAGTTAGCACCCGACCACCTACAGTTCCTTCTCCTCGAAGTCAAATCGTTTTTTTAAGAGCCTGAAATAAGGTCTGTGGTTAACACACAGAGAGTCTTTCACATTTTGTTCGAAATGAGACTACAGAGGTTGTCGATGATGATGGAACAGTTTATAATCTTGCAAACTTGTAGAATTTAATTAATAGCTGGAAGTTTAGTGGCGGTGGATTGGGACCAAAGAAAGGTCTCAGCACAGCCATATTTCTTTTGTAGTCATTTTTAGGTAATTATTTAACAACTTCATTGAATATCCCTCTGAAAATACCGAGGTCCAGACCTTGGAGACCTCAGTGCTCACCTGAGGTTTGGGTACTCGTGTGGACAATAATCAGAAGTACCGGTGAGTACGGGCTCATTTCAACCCTAACCCAGTCAAATGTTCATTTGTGAAGATCATCCTGCTGAACTAAACGTGTGAGTATCATAAACAGTTGTTCGCCTTGGGCTAATTTTTAGCCGGTGAAACAATAATGAGATTAAAATAATCCCTATTGACCCTCTGCAACCTCCTCAAGGAGATAAAATAATCACGATCTGATGCTTTTACGTCCCGTTGCAGCTTTTCACACAACTATTGTTCTTACAGTTCTTAAGATATTCCTTTATTTGTCCCACAATGGGGAAATTCCAGTGTTGCAGCAGCAAAGTGGACAGAGAATAAACAGTAAGAGTAGGAAAATAAATAATAATAAAGCTGAAACCAGTGAATGTTGAGTATTTTTACCTAATAAAATCAACTGACGTCTCAACATGTCGATCACGTGTCTGACGTGTTTTCCTCCCCCCAAAAAAAACTAGAATTTCCACATTAAAATGCTTTAAAAGGCTCCTGAATCTATGAACATCTCAATGTTGTTTATTTCTAAATGGATTGAAGATGTTTAAGTTTCAAACTGTGGACGAGATCAGGCGGCAGCAGCAGGAGGTCGAGACCAAAGACCTGCAGTCGGTGTTTACTTCTGTTAGTTTATCTGTCGGCTGCATATAAATCAACTTTATTATTATTATTATCAACCATGTTAAATCTGTTTGTCAACAGGTTAAAACTTCATTAAAATCTCGGTTGTTCCTCGTCTCTCTAAACAATTATATATTTATATATATTTACTATTATTCAGGTGTAATATTGATCTGTTTTATAATCCAAATTATATTTTATAATATATATGATTATTATATTATTGGCCCATGTGGAAGGTAGAGAGCAGAGACAGTATTTAAGCTTTAACTTCATATAAATCTGGTTTTTAATCAGTGTTAGGAAGTAACTCATTACTTTACTCAGTAACTAGTAGTGTAACTAATTATTAATACAGTACCCCCTTAATAAAAAATTATTACATTAGTTTTATTTATTGGATTAATTCCTGTTACTGTGGAGAAAACTAGATTTTAATCACTTTAAACCAGAGTTACCAGTTTTATAGGTAATAGGAAAGTAATATAACTAGTAGAGTAACTAATTACTGTTGGCAGAGAGTAATAAGTAAAGTAATATTAGAGTAAACAGCCCAACACTGTTAATCCAGCTCTAGAGAGGTATTGCACAAAACCAGGATATGGGATGAAGCCAGGATATGTTGGTTATCCTGGTTGAATTTAGCCTCAAGTCGGTTGCATGAAAGCTGTGGTTGATTGCACAAAAGCAGAATAAAGAAATCCAGGATAACTGAGCAAGCGCGGCTTGACCTAGCCTGCTCGGCGCATCCTGGCTTAATCGGTTGCACGTTTGCCGAGCCAGGATTAAGAGGTGCGTCTATGTTAAACCAGGTGTAGATAGTCGGGATAAGTGCGGGTTCACGGCATACTGAAATACACCGATGGGAACATGGATAAGAGTCGCTGAACAACAGCTGCTGATGGAGTTCTATGAAGAGGTGGAAGATATAAGAAAAAAAGGCAATACCAATGCCATAATTAAAGAAAGAACCTAGTAGTATCTTTTTCATCAAAGTGATAGCCTTCTGAATTAGCTGGTTTTACAAAATGGCATCAGTTGAAATATTACAATACTTTCTTAAACTGGAAAACCTTTTTGCTTTTTCTGTCAGGATTTAGCCTGAGGCCTGTTGTAGTCGGCCTGCCACCATTAAAAAGGGAGTGAACTTCTTTGTCAGGAGAACGGTATTGGGCACGGGTACTATCGGGAGGATCTTGGCCCGTACAAGCACTTACCAATGAGTTAATATGTCCTCATTACTCAGTATTGCTGCCACAAGGTTCCTGACTGACTCTTCTCACTTCTACAAGATGACAGCAGTGCCTTGATGACCAGTCAAGATTCATTCCATATATTCAAGTTTCTTTTTATATTCAAGATTATTTCCTAAACGGTATGCCATAATATATATACTTATTGCCCGGCCAGTTACTATGGTGTTTATTTCTGCGTTAGCCTGCTCCAGACCAGACTAACAGCCAGGCTAACATTAATCCAGGTGATTCCCTGTATTTGTCAATCCTGTGAGGAATTAATGTGTTTTAAGCATGTCAGGTTTTCTAGTATGTTGCATCATTTTAATTATCCTGCATTAAAATATTACATATATATTATTTTTATTTTTTAAATCTGTTGGCTGTTTGTAATTGCACAGTCTTTTATATTGATTCAGTGGAGTATTATTACTCAGGACAAGTGTTATATTGCCATGCTAATGAGACTGCTCGTCAAACTGCATAAATATGTGTTTATTGCAGTATTGAGATTACAAACACAGCTGATGAGTTGCAGCTGTTTTCATGAAATCTGTGACAAGGGCAATATAGTATATATATTATGGCATACCGTTTGGAATTAATCTTTGAATATATAAAATGAATCTTTGAATATATAAAATGAATCTTTGAATATAAAAATGAATCTTTGAATATATAGAATGAAACTTGACTGGTCATAGGCACTGCTGTCATCTTGTAGAGTGGATGGTCGTCGGAACCTTGTGGCGCATACTGGTTGAGGACATTATTACTCATTGGCGTGCTTGTTGGGCCAAATCCTCCCGTGTCCCGTGCCCAACCGTTCTCCTGCAGTTCCTCCTTTTAATGGTGGCGGCCGCAGGCCTGGCTAACCTGACGAGGCCGTTTAGTTTGTATATTTTGATTTCTCGTTTCTCATTTTATGTATATGATCATTCCTATTCAAGTTAAGCTGCCTATATATATATATATATATATATATATATTATTCACACCTGTTCCCTCTTCATAATGGCTTGCCCTTTTTTGGAGGATGTACTGAATGAGGAAGCCCTAATCCTCAGACGAGCGTTTAGTCATGAAAGAGTCTTCTGGGACAGGTCAGACCCATTGGCCGTTGGAGATGACAATCTCATTGAGAGATACAGATTCTCAGGTGATGGACTAAGATATTTATGTAGGCTGCTGGGTCCAAAAATACAGCACCAGACGGCAGGAAGCCATGTTCTCACTGTACCACAGATGGTCTGTGTTACATTGAGATGTTTATGTCTTCCTTTATTCTGTTGGGGATGCAGAGAACCTCAATAAAGGAACCATTTGCAGCACATATCCTGGCTTGGTGGGCCCCCCTGTGCCAGTTCTATGGGCTTTTTTTTAACTGCTACAATCATACAGACATTCAACATGTCAGCAGACACCTAATCTATTCACCTCATTTGTTCACTGTTATCTACTTTATAGTCACTTTCCAGCCTGCAAAATGTTCTTGTATTTAAACTTTAACTTGCTGCCAGGTCCTTTTATGGCCAGACAAGTTTGTTCTTTATGAAGGATAGAAAGATAAAATAGATAAAAATAGATAAAATGACACACATCTGTGGATAATTGTTTGCACTTAATCATACTCTACATTTTCTGAGTAACATGAACCTCTACTTGCCACATTTAAAGCAAAGTGTACAACAGTTGATTAGTGGACTTAAAGTAACTCCTTTAGTCCTTTAATTGGAGCCTAATGATGACAGTTCCAGTGGAGCACTGTTTATTAATTGTACAGTTTTGGACTACTGAAGCATTAAGCCGGTCCGCTATTGTCTGCCAGGCTTTCTCTCTTTCTTTAATTATGGCATTGGTATTGCCTTTTTTTTTATATCTTCCACCTCTTCATAGAACTCCATCAGCAGCTGTTGTTCAGCGACTCTTATCCATGTTCCCATCGGTCTATTTCAGTATGCTGTGAACACGCACTTATCCCGACTATCTACACCTGGTTTAACATAGACGCACCTTTTAATCCTGGCTCGGCAAACGTGCAACCGATTAAACCAGGATGTACCGAGCAGGCTAAGTCAAACCGCGCTTGCTCAGTTATCCTGGATTTCTTTATTCTGCTTTTGTGCAATCAACCACAGGAGTGTCTCTCTCCAAAAACAAATAAAGATTTATAAAGTCTACTTTATTTGAGACACTTTATCTTCATTAAAGACAAATTTAGGTCTTAAATTTAAACACTTTTATATAATAATTAATATTCTTTAAACACTTTTATATAATAATTAATATTCTTTAAACACTTTTATATAATAATTAATATTCTTTAAACACTTTTATATATTAATTAATATTCTTTAAACACTTTTATATAATAATTAATATTCTTTAAACACTTTTATATATTAATTAATATTCTTTAAACACTTTTATATAATAATTAATATTCTTTAAACACTTTTATATAATAATTAATATTCTTTAAACACTTTTATATGATAATTAATATTCTTTAAACACTTTTATATAATAATTAATATTCTTTAAACACTTTTATATAATAATTAATATTCTTTAAACACTTTTATATAATAATTAATATTCTGCAGGATTTAAACACAACTGGAGGGAAACAGAATAATTATAAATAAAGTCATCTGCAAAAGATTAAAGTTTTATTTACAGTCAACAAACAAATACAAGTGTTTGTTTACGTATTTATAAACAGTCTTCCTCCTCCTCCTCTTCCTCCTGAGCTCAGTGTGTGTGACCCCCAGTCTTCCTCCTCCTCTCCTCCTCCTCCTCCTCATGAGCTCAGTGTGTGTGACCCCCAGTCTTCCTCCTCCTCCTCCTCTTCCTCCTCTTCCTCATGGGTCAGTGTGTGCCCCCAGTCTTCCTCCTCCTCTTCCTCCTCTTCCTCATGAGCTCAGTGTGTGTGACCCCCAGTCTTCCTCCTCCTCCTCCTCCTCTTCCTCATGAGCTCAGTGTGTGTGACCCCCAGTCTTCCTCCTCCTCCTCCTCCTCTTCCTCATGAGCTCAGTGTGTGTGACCCCCAGTCTTCCTCCTCCCCCCTCTCTTCCTCATGAGGTCAGTGTGTGTGACCCCCAGTCTTCCTCCTCCTCCTCCTCCTCCTCCTCTTCCTCATGAGCTCAGTGTGTGTGACCCCCAGTCTTCCTCCTCCTCTTCCTCCTCTTCCTCATGAGCTCAGTGTGGGGGCCAGCTGGATGCTGTTGACCCTCAGCACCGTCTGAGGTTGGATGATGATCTTCTTGCGCTGGTACCGGTGCCTCTTCCAGAACCTCATGTGCACTTTGGGCCAGGACTCGGTCCTCTCGATGACGGTGGCCTCGACCCGGACCAGGTCCCTCCCCAGCAGCGGCCTCCCGATCAGGGTGAAGTCCTCCGCGCCGACCAGCAGAACCTTCTCCATCCGGATCCGCTCCCCGCAGCCCGCCGCGATGTGGTTCTCCAGCAGAACCAGGTCCTCGGCGGTGACCTTCCACTGGCGGCCGGCGAAGTGCACGACGGCGAACAGCCGGCCGAAGTCCCGCTGCTCGATCCGCCGGTTCACGGTACCGACGACCGCAGCGTGGCGGCTCCGCTCCTCCTCCTCACTGAACGGAACCGGGTCCGGCCACGGCGGCCTGGACAGGGAGGTCCGCGGCACCACGTCCCCGCTCACAGAGCTCTGGGTTCGGACAGCACCGGGGAACAACATGCTGCATGTCCTCCACAGGCCCGCTCCTCTGCACAGCGCCATCTTGACAGGAAATACTGGGGCTGGCACCGCGCATGCGTGATATTACTAGCTGGTATCTATGTGCGCATGCGTAACCTTCAATCACCGGACTTTCACATTTTTATTATTTACTCCTCTTTTTATTTATTTATTATTTATTTATTGTTAACAGACCGAGGAGGTTGCTGTGTCTGTCTTTTCTTATTTTATTTATTGTGTAATTTAATTTATTTTTTCTGATATTAATTCAATTATATTCGTTTACAGTGTAAAAAAGTTTTATAGTAAAATAGCTGAATGTATTTAATTAGAAATTGTGTTTGAGTAAAAGTATTAAAAGTGAAATAAACTTTCTGGAAACATTCTGGAAAGAAAAACTGGAAAGTTTTGTGAAACTGTATTAAACGAGACTCTGTGTTTATTTATTCTTTGTTTGTTGTTCTGCTGCTCTCTAAACATTACACTGTAATACATCTGTTTGTTTATTGCAACAACAACAACAACAACAACAACAACCTACGTGTTTAATGGTTCAGGTGGGGCTGGCTACTTCAAGGACTGTTGGACAACTGTACGCTCACAATAGATAGTTTACTGTACACACAAGAAATGAGGTGGAGGAGAAACACCTCAGATAAATAATTTAAACCTTTCCTCTGGTTTCTGTCTATCCTGGAAAGAGTTTTTACTATTTGTACAATGTGTAATATGTTTGAGAACTAAATCTGCACGTCACAACTTGAGTTTATTAAAAGATATTTGTTATATTAATCCTTAAATAGTTCACAACACACACATAAAGTTGAGTACGTCTTTATCACTTCATGATAGGTTACTTTATTATTACACAGTGCATTTAAGATTTTAATCTAACTACTGCACAGAAGTGTTTTCAACTAAATGTATATAAAGTAAAGTAAGCAGTAGTCCTAATTATCTATCTATATATATATAATATAATAATCTACCCATGTTGTATTCTGTGTATGTACATCGAGAGCAACGTAAAAACCCGATCAGATTCCTGGTATGTGTGCAGATACCTGACAAATAAAGGTGATTCTGGTTCTGATGTACAGTTCTACGTAGATACCGAATGTCTTATTGTCTATATGTCGTTATAAACTGTCATATAAGATAAGATATTCCTTTATTTATCCCCCTTAGGAGAAAGAAAAGAAAAGAATATCACAATAAAGATATTACTAATATTATTAATATTAGAAGATATAAAACTATAAATTAAACTATGGATTGTTCAAGTGCAAAATATTAGCAGAAAATTAAACTTGACTAAAACTAAAACTACTAAAGTGGAAATTAAATAAAAATAGTGCAAAAGGCTTGTGCTTGTATTATTTCTAACATTTATTAAGTCTTAAGAGTAACTATAAATACCGTCTGATGGTGGAGTCTGCAGTTTACGGCGGCACTTTAACGCACCACAGCTCTGCCTCCATTTTGTGTCGTTCGGCCCGTTTCCGGGTTTCTGAGCCGTTACCGATAAAAACTCACGGTGTCAACGGGGAGTATGGCTCTGCTCGCAGCTCGGGAGTGCGGGTAAAGTTCTCCGTAGCTGCCTGAAACCGTTAAAAGTGAGTCTTGAACGCTTTTCACACGTTAATTTTTTTTTACACCCTCCGTTACTGGAGGGAGGGAGGGGGGAGTAAGCTCCTCTTGTTGCCCGGGATTGAGCAGCCAAAGCCGGGGAGCCGCGCTGACACTGACAGCTGGAGGTAAACAGCTAACGTGCTAACGGACGCTAGCCGGCTAACCTGCGGAAGGTTTTTTTTTTTTTTTTTTTTTTAAGTTAGTTACATCACTTTACCAGCAAACCCTCCCCATCCTACAAAAAAAAACTCTGTGTTCACCAACGGAAAGGATTGCCACAACGGCACTTCTTCCATTCATGTTGTTTAGGAGGACGAGGCCATTAAAACTCACCTTCTTCGAGCCAGGGTGAGTAGGCTAACTTTTACTCCGCCCCAGGTTAACGCCAGTCAGCCAGGTGTGTTTGTTACCTGGGAGCGGCTGCAGCTACCTGACACAGGCCTCATCGATCCGCTCTCTGCTCACGTTTGCATGTTTTTGTTTTTTAACTCCTGAATTTGTGCAACAACATTGATTTGTGGTGAGTTGGTGCGTTAGTTAGTGCGTGCTGGCTTCTGTTAAACAGGGATGTTTTTATGGCACAAATCTGCCCTGTTGGGGTATTTTTGGGGCTTTTAGTGCCCTTAAAAAAAGCCCAGAAACCCCCCCCCCACACAGAGCCAGAGGCCTTAAACAAGACTAGGGACTATTTCTTCATATTTCCCAGATTTAAAATAATTAGTTTCAACCCTAATTGGGGGTTTAAAATGAGCTTTTACAACCAGTAATGTTTAATTTTAATTTGTCCCACATACATTTCTCCTCCTTTTAAAAAGCCTTTTTAAAAGATGATTTTTCTAAAGTTGTGCAACATTAAATGATTTGTGGTTTTAATTACTGAATAAGTAAAATGCGTGCCTGCTACTGGTTAAAGAAAGTTAGGAAGAGGATGTTTTTTATGGCAGAAATCTGTCCTGTTATGGCCATTTTGGGCTCCACACACACACACACACACACACACACACACACACACACAGAGCCACAGGCCTTTTAGCTCAGTGTATTTCCTTCACCACAAAAGCATCTGACTTCCTCGTACAGCCCTCCCCTCCCCTGGCTGTATCTCCCTGTGTTGATGTGGGGAAACTTCTTTCCATTTGCTGGCTGTCAACCAACATGTTTTAAGCTTTTTTTTTTTTTTATATGGAGACCGAACCTCGGCGATCACAGCCTACTTCACTTTGATCTTTGAATGGGAAAGGATCAGTCAGATTATAGGGGTCAAAGGTCAGGACCTGTTGGTTTTCTTGTCGGTGTGTAGCTGTCAGTTTGTGTAAATATGTTTTCTGAGGAGGTAACAAACCGTCAGAGGGCTAAAAATATGTTTTTAATCTTCTTTTCTGAAAGATTAAGCAGAGACTAATGTGGGATTTTGGTTTCTTTTACGACAGAATTTAAATGTCCAGTATCTCACAGGTCTTCCTAGTGTGTATATAAAGCTATATATTGTCATTTTATTATTCATTTTATGTTGAGTTTTTACATTATAAGAGCGACATGTTTCACACCTGTAGTGCTACACTGTTAAACAGTGGTGGGTGTCATTTAGGGCTACATACTGCGATTAGTTTGACAGATGATCATCATTTTTGCATCATAATTTCCATTTTTCCTCTAAAAAAAACCCCACTAAAATAATGATGATGTGTCATCTGTTGGCGTCTAAAGTACCAAAGAAACATGTTTCCTTACATCTGGGGAACAGCATTTGTAGCCCAGAGCATCTGTTCAGAGCGGCTGTGCTTAATTATAAAGCTGCTGCCACAAATATGACCTTTTATCAAATAATAATAATAATAATAATCTCAGGTCTAACATTTGAAACCCCATTAATCAATAAGTCTTTTGATAGAAAATGAACCGGGAACTATTTTAATTGTTATGTATAATCATTCAAGTGAAACAAAGAAAATGTATGTTTTTCTATTATTTTTAACACGGGGAACTATTCATATTTCCTAGATTGATCAATTAACTTAATAAATATCAGCAGATAGATTAATATTGAAAATAATCTTAAAGTTTCAGCTCTAACTGGCTGTTACAACCAGTGAGTTTTATGTTTCTGAAAGCTTTTTAATTATCTGTAACAAACAAGTTTGGGGGTATTTTAACTTACTAAATGAATTGATTTTCTAAAATGTCTTTGATTAAATTTCTGCTGATGGATTAATCACTTAATCAACGAATCTTTGCGGCTCTAATTTATAAGCAGAGTGATTAAACTCTGTGATAAATACCTGAAAGTCCTGTTTTTATTGTTTTAAAGTGTGACACGGTTTCATCCATTGATTGATTATAGTTTATAAAACACAGCTTCAGACAGAATGGCGTTGCTCAGTGATAAATATTCTGATTATTAATAGAATAATAGCAGCATTAATGCATTGAAACTCTTTGGTCTTTGTGCACTCAGCAGATCTTTTAAAACATTTCTTTTTCCACCCGTGGAGGAGATAAACCCCCCCAACTCTCAGTCTCTGCTGCTGTAGTCTTTCCGTTTACACCACGTCACCGACTGACTGGCGAGCCCGCTCGGTGAGATTCCTTTGGTCTCCCTCAGTGAAAACCTGCCCCGACACTCGACCAGGCAGCCTGAGGAATGGAGCGGCGACGGAGGCGGCGGCGGAGGAGGGTTGAGGGTTTGGTGAGGAGCCAAACGCTGCCTGCATGAGCCAACAATGGGCCCAGACAGCTAACTGGTTTGGGGAGATCCAGTGACCTCAGTCATTGTGTGCAGAGCGAGTATACTGTGTATCGTACAGGCTTAAGTTGTTTGAGTGAATATAAACTCAACAACAGGTTGTTTTTATCTTGAGTTTAAGTGGATTAACTCCTATTTGATCAATAAGAGAAGCAACAGGAGTGAAATTGAGAACTTTACCTGTGAAATACGCATCACATGTACAGCAGGTGTAACCTTTTTTTGTTTTGATTATTAATCATGAAAATAGTTAACTTGTAAACATTATGGACATCAGATGAAACGCCCACAAATCCTGGTAAATTTGGGGTTTGGCTGGAGAACAAATTTGGGTCAGCGAACAGATTTCCAGTAGAGAATTAGGAATCGCAGCGTAGGTCCAGGTGTTTGTGTTTCTATGTGAGACTATAGTGTGTCAACTGTACCTATTGTGAGGCCACCGACTCAGATCAAAGCAGCGTAACGGCTCTCTGGTGCTTTCTACACACCAAAAATAATCAACAGTCGCTTTATTAGTTTTCTAAAACTAGTATGAAGCTTCAGAAGTTTGACTTGTGCCGCCATGAACTCGCCGTGGCTCAGGAGGGAAACACTGGAAGCAGAAAGGTTGAAGACGTCCTCACGATTCAACCAACTCCAACCCTCTTTTCTGTCGGCTAAACTCGGGCGGATCTCCTCATGGCCAGTATGGACAGGAGGAGCAATTACAACACCTACAGGGAACATCTGAGCACATCAGTGTCGTTTTAATTGTGTCTGTTGGCACTCACAATGTGTGATCATACAGCGGTTTAGAGGTCGTACCTGCAGTAAAATGTGAGGCGGGCATTTTCCAGATTCATTCCAATCACAGGGATCAATAACAAGGCAAGAAAAATGCCACAAATCAGCGCTGGTAGATCTAGAAACTCACTGAACACATGGTGTGAGCTGCACATGCTCGTATAGTAGTCTCGCTGACACTGTAAACGTCCAGGGAAGCTGCTTCAGCAACTGTTTCCTCCTCCCAGGAATGTCTTCGTCTTTGAGAGCACATTTCTGGAAACAGCCGTTTGTTTTCCACTGTGAAGATCCAGCTCGTCGTCTTGTTTTGTCTTTAACGTAGCGCTCGTGTAAGCCAGGGGGGGGGGGGAGAAAGTCTTGCAACTGATCTTAGGTGATCTCATGTTTTTACATGTTCAGTAAAGGTGGAGTGAGTTTCTGCACCTTTTTAAGCCTCACAAAACCCTGATGACATTTAAAGTAATGATGTTATTATGACACATCATTTAGGATTTTAGATGAGCTTGTCCACTATTGTGACATCTTTCTGTCAGTTTTACTGTAATCCAAGGTTATTATAGTTAATTAAAACTAAAACTAGGTGTGAAAAATCATTTTTTAGTTAACTGAAATAAAAACTTGACTTAATGTCCTTTTTATAATACTTAAAAATATATCGGAAATCTCTTTGGTTTTAGCTTTAGTCAAATTTATCAGCACCAGCACGAGGAGGCACGAGTGTGTTTGTATTGTAATAACTATTCCTAACTTCTTTAATGCTGACAAACTGACAACTGTATTAATACTGAAAACAATAAAAACTAAAACTTAAAATAAAATATCTTTGCTCTCATCTTGTTTCATATCAGTCCGTTCACAGTTAGAGACTGAGCGACGTAGTTTCTTACCAAAGGAGCCAGAATAAAAAGCACTTTAATATTGTGCTCTTACACAGTAAAGCACTTTGATTCTAGCCACTATAATACAGCGGCTTACATCTCTCAGTCCTCGTCACTGGAGGCAGTAAATGAATGATGAGCTCTCCTCTGGCCCACAAAAACTAACCCAAAAATAATAAAAGGTTGGTTAAATTCAAAGGCCTTCTAACACTGATCAGAAAACTAAAATGCTTCACTTTAGCTTTACTTTCTGTGTTTCTGTGTTTTAGATTTTAGTCCGGCACAGATCAGGTTTCCATCCAAACGTAAAGAGCAAATTTTAACCAACTTTTAGCGAAACTGGCAGAAGAAAATGGAAGATATATGCTTTATTAAGGTCCCTCCTCTCGCACTATCCGCAGGTAATCAGTAGGTGTGTTTGACCTTTCTCTCGCTCTCTCTCTCTCTCGCTCCGTGTTCCTAATATGTAAATAGTTTGTTTGAGCTTGTAAATATTTAGTTTGTTTCATCCTCTCCCTCCGTTATGTAGATTTATAAAAAAACTACCTTAAATACACTCGATGTTACCGCAGTGAGTTTACGCGTGTGTGTGTAAGTTTCCATCGTCGTTTACCGATCAGGAACGGGTTCGCCTGGAAATCGGGATGGTTGCCGGGACACTGAGGAAATATTGGATATAATATTTATAGGTGTGTTTTCATTAGTGTGTAATCGTTGTGTTTTTGTTACCTTTTGTGTTTTACTTTTCCACTCAGATTTTTATGCACAAATTGAACATAAAAACAGGTGGACTAGCAGTGACCTACTGTCAGGGTTGTGGGTTCGATACCCCGCGTTGCTCGATGGGTCAGACAGCTTGAGTGAGAATGTAACCGGGCCTTGAGGCTTTTACAACGTAAGCTACATACTTGTTGCCTAAATGACCTCCTGTTTGCACTGTGAGCCAATGAGGCACGGCCACAGTGACTGGTTTCTTCTACTGTCTTACAGATACAGATATTTCTATACCGTGTCCTTCATTTCATACTGTGGTACTGGTACTGATACTGATTATATATTAACAAGCGTATACTACTAAGCCTGTAGGATTGCTATAATTGTTATGTCGAGACGAACTCACCATCGTTATCGTTAATAAACTACATGATATCTGAGGAGTTATCTGTATTGGTATTTACAAACACATTTGCAGAGAAACTAGATGTTTATTTAATTGTTAACTCAGGTCTTCTAGTAGCATTTTAACTACTTAGAAGAAGTCCCTGCAGTGTTTAGTTCTCCTCTGAACCTTACATGTACTCTTTATTGAGTATGACAGATCTTGGTAGTGTTTTATGTGCAGATGTTTCCCTGTGAGAAACGACCAAAATGCCTCTTAAAAATAAGATCAAGCAGACAAGAAGACATCGTTTTGAGTTTTCATTTTATCCTAGAAAGCAGCTGTTTATGTCTGCTGGCCTTTATTCACCTGCTCCATCAGTAACAGGAGTTTTTTTGTACACCTGCTGAACTGTTACAGATGTTTCGGTATGTTAATTATCTTTTTGTTGTTGTATTGTTTTTACAGGACTCTGTGTGTGTCGTCCCAGCTGAGACGGTGAAGTCTCACCGGTCCTTACCCCCCACACAGAGAGGTGCCAACAGAGGGACAGGATGCCTATTCCACCCCCTCCCCCTCCTCCCCCAGGACCCCCGCCTCCCCCGACCTTCAATGAGGTCAGTGAACGCACACACACACTGCAAAGGTTACATCACATAGATTAAACAGTTCAGTGGAGACAAATTTGTCTGCAAGACAGTAAAGAAGTCTTATATTTGCAGGAATTCATTGATTCATTGATTCATATACACTGACTTCCACCTGTTTAGTACGACACAATCCACCAAATCCTGCACAAATGACACTTAAAACTTTAAATCCCCTGCAGTGGAGTTCATACTTTAGAAAATTACAGGTGAGCAGCTGCAAAGGCTGGATTATAATAACTATAGTAAGTGTTGTTTGATCTAGATTAGTCTAGATAAAAGGGGAAGCGTGGTGCACAGCCAGAGGAATATAGAGTCAAACCCTTCCTCTACTGTTGTGTAGTTACTGATTTCAACATGAAGGTTAATTAAAGTGAAATAAGAAGTTTCAGGGATTGAAATCAATAACCTGCTGTCCAGTAAACCAGCTGCTGAGTTATGGGACTTTTTATTTACAAGTTCTCTGTTTAAGTGTGAACCCAAATAAACCAAAGTCCTCAAACGTTCCACTGTGGTTCTGACCAGAGGAAGTGTAGAGGTGTGATTTGTTAACTTCCTCCCGCAGGCGAACACGACCGCTCCCAGACTGAAACCGAACGAGGCTAAAGGCAGAGGAGCGCTGCTGTCGGACATCTGCAAAGGCACCAGGCTAAAGAAGGTCGGTGTGGTCAATGACCGGAGCAGCCCCATTATAGAGAGTGAGTCACTGCGAGTTCAACACACACACACACACACACACACACACACACACACACACACACACACACACACACACACACACACACACACCCCTGAAAAAGACAGTATGAGGAACTTTGTTGAATTATTTTGGCAAAAAATTCAACGTTTCCTTTTATTAAACAGGACAATAGTGGAGATATAACTCCCTAATAAATCCGTAAATGTATGAAAGTGTAATTTATGTTCATGTTACGATCGACAACTTAGTGATGTGTAACGATACTTTGCAAGGTAATTTATCCATTTAACCACAACCTGAACTCTTTATTTTGACTCTAAATGATAATTTTCTTTCTATTTCTTATACATTAAAAACATTTTGTAAAGGCCGGTGCAGATTTAAAGGTATTTACTAAAAGGCTCGTCAGTCTAAACTAGTCTAAAAAGTTATTAAATATGTCACAAGGCTTAAAATATATATATATAAAATGAGTGTTTTTAGCAAAATTGCCTTCAGCAGTGTCGACCTGAGAACGAGCTGTTGGTCTAAAGAGTGTATCTGTGTGCCGGTGCAGTTTTTATACTCACAGGAAAGAGGAAATGTATTTGCATGGATAGGAGGAACTGTTTTCTAGCAATGTTTCAACATGTTTCCTAGTTGCTGAAGATTAAACTCCGATTAGAAAGGCGCTCCTCCTTTCTTTCTTTGAACACTCATCCAGGTGCATCTACCGTGATGATGAATAACTCCTATTCTCTCCAAATATTTGAATATTAAAATGTGTTTCTGGTTCCTTTTTCCTATCTGCCTATATTTACACGGGTCTTATCTTTTCTTTAGAATCAGGAGGAAGTGGCGGAGGCGGTGGCGGCGGCGGCGGTGGTGGAGGAGGAGGAGGCGGTGGAGGGTTTGGAGGCGGAGGGCCAATGGGAATGGGAGGTCTTTTCCAAGGAGGTGTGCCAAAATTACGCCCAGTTGGAGGTAAATATATTTATATTTATAATGTGATTATTTGAAAGTGTTTGGCTACAGATTTGCATGTAAAGGCTGCATCATTTTATGTTCTTGATCATTTGTGTAAATACATAAACCGCAGAGGGAACCTGCAGTCGAAGTCCACCTCTGAAGGGAAGTGAGCCAGTCTGTCTGATATTATCAGACATTGATAATCTGTCGGTTTATTCAGAAGTGAATCTATCAGCACATAAAGTATATAAACTGAGATAGGAGACGTTTCTCCCGAGCTTTCGCTTTTATTTCGGTTCCTCCATCGTCGTCATTTTGTTGTTTTATATTTATAGCAGTAAAAAAAAAAAAGACCATAAATTCACAGAAACCTTATTTACGATGTTTGAATCAGCAGAGACGTTGTGGATATAATGATGGTCGGCCGGACCTCAACCAGCAGTGAGGAACGAGGGATGTGAATTATAAATGAAAGGCTTTTTTTTATAGATGTATCAAATATTAATAGAATCTGTGACTCCTGACCTCCTTACTGTGAGTTGGCAGCTAAATGCTGAAGATATAAAACAGACAATTATCATCTTTTGTAATAATTATTGTGGGTGAAAAGAATAAAAGTTGATGGTGAGATTTTGTCTCGAGACAGTTGCCAGTTTATTATTATTATTATCTGAACTCTATTATGGTTATACAGAGTTTTTATATGATTGTTTTCAGTAATAAATACATTCAGGACATACTTTAAAACAATTAATTAGCACTTTTCAAACATAAATGCCCCAAAAGTCTCCAAAAAAGGAAACTCTTTTTGGTTTTGGGTTGTTGGTTGAACATCACTGTCGTCTTTAGGAAGTCAGATTAATTGTTACTGCAGTTAAAAGTGTCCTTAACACCTCCCCTCTGTCCTCCACGCAGATGGTTCAGCCGGTGGTTCGGTTGGCAGATCTGCCCTGCGGCCCCCGGGGTCCCGGCCCGCTGCCCCTCGCCCCCCCGCTGTCCGCTCCAGCTCTCCCTCCCCTCCCAACAAGCCCTCTCCACCGGAGCACCAGCGCTCCCACCGCCCGTCGCTCCCTGACATCTCCCGCCCCTCCAGCAGCAGCAGCAGCTCCTCCATCGGCAGCGGGATGAAGCACAGCACCTCCGCCCCGCCTCCTCCTCCACCCTTCAACAGAGGCGGCCGTGGCAACGCTCCTCCCACCCCCAGTCAGAAAGCACTTTCCTCCTCCTCCTCCTCCTCCCACAGCCACAATAGGGAGAAGCCCCTCCCACCGACGCCCAGCAGAGGCCACACCCCTCCCAGCTCCGTGAAGCCGCCTCCGTCTTCCAGCAGACCGCCTACAGGTGGCTCTTCAGCTCCTCCACCTCCCCCGCCGTACCGACCACACACGTCAGGTGGCGTCTCCAACGGGCCGTCGCACGTGGACGGGGGCGGAGCTCCGGAGCTGCCACAGAGGCACAACTCCCTGCACAAAAAACACACATCTGGAGGCGGCAGCCAAGGACGCAGCCACGCTCCACCCCCGCCTCCTTCACTGTCCCCGTCCTCCCAGCAGGGCGGCAGACCACCACCCCCCGCCAGAGAGCCACCTGGACGCAGAGCAGGTACAACCCTCTTACTCTGTCAGTGTTCATGGCTTCTAAGGGTCAGAGGTCATTACTGCAGCTTTGATATCAAGATTTTAAACCATTCAAGATCAGTTCAGACGGTCTGGAGAGAGATTAAAAAGTTCATTTATCTTTAGCAGTTTTCTACTTAAAGGAAAAGTCCATTAACCGGATGTTTCTGGGTCCCTGTTGTGTGTTTGTCTCCGTCCAGATGACTAATATTACCAAGTTTTAATACTCGAGTGGATTCAAACAGCTTTTGATCACACAGTGTCAATATTTTGTTGAATTGTTGTTGTTGTTGCTGCGTCATTGTGCACAGAGCAACAACACGGCAGTCTGTAAACTCCATAGACAAAATCTAACTGTTTCTAAAAAACTAACTGTGATAGAAGCAAAGAGAAGAGCGATAGTTAACGGAGTGCAGCGGCTGCTCCAAATGTAAAAATATGAATCTCTCCAATAACTGACTACTTGAGGAAACACAATATGGTTAAAAACATCACATTGTAATTGACAGATATTACGATATGATTCTTGATTAGTGCAGGAATAATCCTCTTTAAATTTCACTTTAAAAAACGATTAAAATGATGATGATGAGGTGAAATGTCTGAAAGTAGGGCAAAGGGCAGGGACACGGTTTGTTCGTATAAATCTTCTCTTCTGAGCCAGGTGACAGTTAACAGACTGTGGTTTTAATATTTCCTGAGAGATCTCCAGCTGCTTCTGTGTTTGGAGACTTTACTTTTTCCCCATTTTCCCTCATTGGATCTACAGTCGGTGGGGAAATTACAGTATTTCTGTGCACGGAGCAGATAAGCTTTAGATGCTATGTGGATGATAAAGACAACCTCATCGAATGTGTGTTATGTATCTGTGTGTTGATGTAGTAAAGAAACTCTGTACTTTTACAGAATGAATCCATCACATCTTACAGAGATTAAACTTCCAGATGATTTTGTTTCCCTCCCTGGAGCAGATTTATGGCTCAGTGGAAACATATTCATAATTTGAATTCAGAGTGAACATACAAAACAGGAAGGCACTTGTTAGCCGGAGCTCTGTGTTGTGATTGGACGAAGGAGTGACTCGCCACGAGGCCTTCCTGGTTTCTCTGCATTCCTGAAGCCCTGTGGAATATTCCTGCATTCCTTCTCTCTCTCTCTCTCTCTCTCTCTCTCTCTCTCTCTCTCTCTCTCTCTCTCTCTCTCTCTCTCTCTCTCTCTCTCTCTCTCTCTCTCTCTCTCTCTCTCTCTCTCTCTCACTCTCGCTTTTTACAGGACGTCTCCTGTTTCTGTCATTGTTTCCCGTCGGCTGCTCCTCGTTGTTTTTAAAAGTTAATAAGAGAGCAGAACTACATCTTTATTAGTGCCGGACAGCAGCTGCTCTGCCTGGTTAAAAGTCAGATAATGAGACACTCAAAACAGTTAGAAATCAATATTCAGCACCACTTAAAGGTCCGAAACCGGTGGTTCTGTATGAGTTAAGTGCTGAAACAATTAGTCGATTGAATACAATATGTATTATTAGATTACTTTGATCATAAGTCATTTATAAAGCCAAAAACAATCTTAATAGTTTCAGCTTCCAGCTTCTTAAATGTGAGAATATGCAGCTTTTCTCTGTGTTTATATCATTTAAGTTGAATATCTTTTGGTTTTGGATGGAAAAAACATTTTACAGACCAAACAAACCATTAAATTATGGGAATAATAATATGGGAATAATAGTAAATTGCAGCACTACATGTGTTAGCACATATTTTAATACTAATAATAGTGCTTTTTAGACAGATTTCCGACCCTGGCAGTATAATATTATAATTAATAAAGAGTCTTGAAACATCACAGTAGATAATAAGTAGAAATATTTATTGTCAGTAGCAGAGACAATATTCAAAAAGTCCTTTTGTGGTACATTCAGGAACACTCCAACACCCAGGAATCGAGAGTTGTTTGTAGAGAATCAAACTCAGATGAAAACAAATTTCAGTGATTTAACAATAAGGTTGTTGTTTCTCAGAATGCACCAGCAGTGTGAGACATTAACACCAAAATGAGCTCAGAAATCATGAAGATGGATTATTGTCCTTCTCGATTAATACTGAATGTTATTTAACAGTTTAATCGACAGTGAAAATAATCCTTATTTAAGATTTCTGGTGTATAAAATGTTAGAAAATAGTGGAAAATATTCTTCCTACGACCTAAAATTACAGAAACAAGAAAATATTCACACTTAAGAAGCTGGAATCTGAGAATTTTTTTATGGATGCTGTAATAAGTGTGTGTGTGTGTGTGTGTCAGCTCCCCAGGTGCCCCCCCTCAGCTCTCGTAACGGCGGTCGGGACGCACCTCCTCCTCCGCCGCCGTACCGCATCAACAGCTCTGCGACCTCCGAGTCCCACAGCCGAGTGGGCAAACCACCTCCGCCACCCTCCTCTTCCTCCATCTCATCCTCCTCCTCCCGAACCCCCGCTGGACCCCCTCCACCGCCCCCGCCCATCCGGAACGGCCACTCCTCCATCTCCTCCTCCAAATCCATCATAGGTGAGTCGGGACCGACCGCTTCGCCATGTTCCTCCTCCCCGTTCATGATGTCACCGCTTACCTTTGACCAGGACCTCTGGGAGGTTGATTGCACGGGGTTTACTGCCGCAGTTTCCAGGGGTTTACAGCCAAATTAAAGTGTTTATTGTCACAGTGACCAATAAACTACCAGCTGACATCATGTGCCGGATCTGAGATCACATGAAAACTAGTTTACAGGCGAGAAGAGAAGAGAAATAGTTCGTTAAAATTACAGAAATAAGAAATAAACAAGTTAAATAAGGTCCAGTTATACATCAAACTGCCACTAGAAGCACTGGATTAGTAAACTGGATTTATATGTCTTCATCCATGGTGGGGAGGGTATGACAGTGGTTCTCAACCTGAGGGTCGGGACCCCCACTAGGGGTCGCCAAAGCTTCATAAGGGGTGCTAGAAAACATAAAGAAAACACACAGGAGGCCTTTATCTCAGCATTTTGTTCATTTCTGTGAAGAAAAGTAAACTGTCTAATAGAAGAACAGTGTCAGGGAGAAGAAAACACTTAATTTGTCCCCAAAAAAAGCTTAATAATTTAAAAAATACATAATACAGACCGATAATTGTACAAAAAGTTCCCTAAACAGGAAATAATCTGCTCAGAATTCATCATCGAGTTCACTGTTTGGGTTCATTGTACAGTTTTATGGGTCAAAATTCTCTAAGATTTAAAAAAAGATTGGTCGATGATTTTTTAGTCTCCAGTCTGGGTAAAGCGTCAAAAACACAGGATCCTACATCTCCCACGATGCAACTCTCTCTTCTTTTAAACCCCACACCTTCAGTTTGTGATGCAGAGTTTATGTTTAATACATTAGAAAGCAGAAATACAGTGACCCCTTTTTTAATATCCCAGAATATCGTAGATACTGTGTTTACTCTCGTGCAGCCAGACCTCTTTTCCACTCGACTAAAACCTGACAGAACTTGTAGAGAAAATAGACCCTGAATTCCCCCGTACTTCTTTAAAATGAAGGCTTAGGATGCTGTGGATTCCTGACGTGAAGTTTTCTTTTTAAATGTACCATTTATTCTGCTGTTGAACTGTAACGGGTGTAGAGTTATTCCCTCCTGTTAACAATGTTTAGTTTCTGATCTTTGTCGGGTGATGGTGATGAACGACCCGTCGATAGTCAAATATTCCTCTGCAGCCATGCAAAATAGTTTCCTGTTGTACTGGAACAAATCAGGAAGACGGGGAGCCGGTTCCTTGATTACTGTCTGAAAAACACACACACACACACACACACACACACACACACACACACACACACACTCTTACTTGAACCTCAGTCGCTGTTGTGTTTTAAATCCAAGAGACTGAAATGTTGGATGAGTTGGATGCTTTTTTTTTTTTTTTTTATTAGTTTTTCTTTATTTTTTGTTTATAAAACTGTTTTAAACTTTGACCAAGTAAAGCCACCGGTGCTTATAACACAATTATCTATTATATTCTAAAGGAATATCAGGCCTATGTTTAAAGCAGGATGCATGAGAGTTATAGAACAGGGCTGGAAACCAACTTTTCCACCACCTTTAATGCAAAATATCGTCTGTCAGCAATCAATGACAGATATTTAATGACTGATACACCACCACTAAGAAAACTAACAGCCTGTATTTGAGTCAAAATGTCAACAAGAACATTTTAATCTTCTGAAGGGGATTTATTTGTGCCTGATGAAACACATTTATTTATCTTTTTTTGTATTTTTCTTCTCAGATGATTTTGAATCCAAGTTCAACTTCCACCCGATTGAGGATCTTCCACCTCCAGAGGAGTACCGGCATTTCAGCAAGGTCTACCCCAGCAAAAACAACAAGGGTACGAGCTGTTTGCACTCACGGGGGTTTATGATGACGTAATGTCCAACTGCTCCAGGGCATCAGACTTTGTTCTGTACTGATTGGGATTTAATTGGCTGTTAACGGTCGTTATGAGTTCATGATTTAGGTTTTTATTACACAACTTTTAGCCCCGTTTGCTGCGTTGTATCGGTGCGGCTTTAGCTCAGGCTGGGGAGCAGCGAGTCGGACGTTAATTGTAGGATAAAGCCGGGATTTTCCAGATATCTTGGATGTGACTCGGTTTCACGAGAGCAGCCGCGCATACGTTACCATGGAGATTTATTCTGTGCAGATAAGCTGCTCTCCAGATCAGACTGATAACCAGGATTCATTAATGTCAGCAGTCCTTCTCACAACAGTGTGTGTGTTTTTTGTAATCAGATTTCTCCTCCGCCACCAGTCTTATTTTGAAGGCGCTGCTGACTCGTTTTCCCTGCATTGACTCTTTTATGGGTCTTTGAATGCATCAGCAAGAAGTCTCGTTGTTCAAAACACAGAATAAATAACTTCCTCGCTACAAAACTACAAGCTCCTCTTCCTCCGTGTCATTCCTCTCCTGCCTGAGCCCGCCGTGTCTTCCCCAGACTCGGAGTCCTGGTCGCTCCCAGCCGGGTCCACCCCGCTCCTACGCTAGTAGTGTTTAAACTGAGCTAATGGGACTGCTAACAAGCTAGTAGAGTTAGCATATACAACAGTGCACCACGAAGTCAGGTCGACTGAGACTCGTCGACGACTAGAGGGCAGTTCTGTTAGAGTTAATCATTTCTACCGCTGTGTGTTTTTAAGTGGGAGAACTGACCTGTAGCTGACCTGTAGTGACCTGTAGTGACCTGTAGTGACCTGTAACTGACCTGTAACTGACCTGTAACTGACCTGTAATGACCTCTAACTGACCTCTAGTGACCTGTAGTGACCTGTAGCTGACCTGTAGTGACCTGTTGTGACCTGTAGTGACCTGTAGCTGACCTGTTGTGACCTGTAGTGACCTGTAGCTGACCTGTAGCTGACCTGTTGTGACCTGTAGCTGACCTGTAGCTGACCTGTAGCGGACCTGTAGCTGACCTGTAGCTGACCTGTAGCGGACCTGTAGCTGACCTGTAGCTGACCTGTAGTGACCTCTAATGACCTGTAGCTGACCTGTAGTGACCTGTAGTGACCTGTAGTGACCTGTAGTGACCTGTAGTGACCTGTAGTGACCTGTTAGTGACCTTGACCTGTAGTGACCTGTAGTGACCTGTAGTGACCTGTAGTGACCTGTAATCGACCTGTAGCGACCTGTAACTGACCTGTAACTGACCTGTAACTGACCTGTAGTGACCTGTTAGTGACCTGTTAGTGACCTTGACCTGTAGTGACCTGTATCGACCTGTAGCGACCTCTAACGACCTCTAACTGACCTGTAACTGACCTGTAACTGACCTGTAGTGACCTGTAGTGACCTGTAGTGACCTGTAGTGACCTCTAACGACCTGTAGTGACCTGTAACTGACCTGTAACTGACCTGTAGTGACCTGTAGCGACCTGTAATCGACCTGTAGCGACCTGTAACCGACCTGTAGTGACCTGTAGTGACCTGTAAGCTGACCTCTCTGTCTCTCTTTCTGTCTCTCAGGTTTGATGAGAGGAGCTCCTCCAGCGCCGCCGGTGGGGAGGTGAACAGACGTCAGCTCAGGACTTGAACTCTCAGTCGGCGGGGGGGGAGAGGGGTGAAGAAGCACTCAAATCACAAACACACTACAACACACACACACACACTACAACACACACACACTAACACTAAAGCACAGTGGCGAGAGTAAAACACTACGACACTACTCGTCGGGTCACCTTCTGTCTTTTGCACAAGAGAACAAAAAAAAAGAAAGAAAACCACTCGGAGGCGAGAAACGGATTTTGTGACTGCGACCGCCTCGACTTCTCCTCTGCTGCCCGCACGCAGAAGCTTCAGTTTGACATATCAGGACCAAACTCCAAACAAATCTCTGCATTCCATCTTTTTTCTTTATTATAATAATAATAATGGTGATTTATTTTTCTGAATAACATCTTTTTTTTATTTTTGTTTTGATTTTTATTATTCCGGTGTAAATTTGTGGGGGTGAAAATTTGACGCTACGAATGGAAACTTGAGTTCATGTTTCCCACAGCAACAGCTGATAATGCCATGAATGTTTTGGGGGGCTTAGTGACGGTTTATTACTTTTATTTTGGTTAGTTTTTTTTTGTCTTAAGTAGCCATTCCAGCAGTGCCAGGTTGAGGGTGCGTTTGAATCTGAATCTCTGTGTGTCAGCGTGCCAAAAGCGGGTGGAGTCTAACGAACTGCACAGAGCGAAGACGGGACGCGTTCTTCGTACAATCGACATGTTTTTAAATTCTCTTTTGATTTGAAATTCATTCGTGGAGAGCTCGCCAAGATACGACAGAAACCTTTCCTGGTTGTTTGTGTTTTTGTTTTCTACACTTGGAGACTTCCTGCTTCTCTTGCACCCCCCCCCTTTACTTTCCTCTATGTTGTGTGTGGGGGGGGGGGGTGTTTTATATTTCCATCTTCAGGCGACGTTGCACGACAGCTTAACTGCTACAACCGAGACACTGTGCATGACGCTTTATCTCAATCCTGCACCAACGGAAGAGATCAGGATCAAGTTGATGTGACATATAAATATAAATATATAGAATTATTTCCCTGAACGTGTCTGCAAGCATCTTTTCTCCAAACACACAGCGGAGGCCCAACACTACATTGTTTACTGGAACCAAGTGTGTATGATTTTCCAGAGAAAAGGTGATCTATTGTTTAATTGCTATGCAAGAAGCAGTTTGTACAGATTGTAGTTTGGTAGCAGCTAACCAAAAAAAAATAAAATAAAACAAAAATAAATAAATAAAAAGAGGAACACTTAAGTGCCAGAGAACTGTTTGAGCAAATGGACGTTTTCTTTACTTTTTCTTTTAAGCTTGACTTTTAAAAAAACACTAATTACGTCATAGTCAAACTAAGATGCCAAGCAGGAAAAAAATTAACAAAAAAAAAAGGTTAAAACTGTTCAGGTCAGAGTCTCCATTCTCAGTGATACAGCGCCTCCTGCTGGTCGTTGCCTTACACAAACCTGTTGTCACTCTTTATCGGTACCAGTGCTATTATTATTATTATTATTTGTATTTTTTAAGGGGGGAAGATGATGACAACAAAGTAAATAAGAAACAAGTTTATTTGAAAATGCAATAAATATTGTATATTTACATTAAGGAATAATGGTAATCATAGTTATTGATCTATTTTTTATGTTTGTAAAAAGCTTGTAATATAGGAAAGAGAAATGATTATAACAAATGTTCCAGTCGGTGAGCTGTTGGCGGACTCTGTAGCACTTCTCTGGATGTTTGACCAATGAGGGGTTGAATGAGCTGAATGGATGCGTGTGAGGTTTTACCAACGAGCCAACATTTTTGGGGATCCTGTTTTTCTAAAGATCGGGTACTGTAGTGATCGGGGGGGTCTGACGGTGGCGGCGGCGGCGGCGACACACAACAAATAAACTCCACTTCCTGTCCTGGATGTACCTTGTCGCACAGGTGAACCGACACGTCTGTCTCCTCCCTGTTTTCTCACCTTGTCCACTTTTTAAGAGCAAAATCCCTGTGGTCATTTCATGTTAATCAACCATGTTTTTATCATTTGAAATAATTTCAAATAAATATGGGGGAAAAAGGGCACCTGATGCACGGCGTGTTTGTTTTCCTCTGTTGTCTGTGTGTTGATTTTATTATACCTGTGAACTTGAATCTGAATGGTTATTACAGATTGGTGCGTTAATACATATAAAGAAGTTTTACTGTTAAGTTTTAACTTTATCTGAGCACCACAGTTGGAGTTTAAAGTGTTTTTTGTGTAAATATCTGAGCAGATTAATGTATCACAGTGAATTTCCATCTTCATAATAATGAATATCCTCACATGGCTACCAGTATATGTGAAGTGTTGTGAAGGATTTAGGGGCATCTAGTGGTGAAGTTGTAGATTGTAAACAAAGTGAATGACGCTCAGCTTCCAAAGGAAGTAGGAGAGGACTTAAAAACTCAGAAGTTGGTGTTTGGTTTAACTGCAAATTTAATTTTTGTTGCTTTTGCAGTGAAAAATGTGACCTATTAACTAATTTAAATGCAACTAAACGTTTGGGTCAATGACCGACTGTATTATTTTCATTTTAAAATAATTGAATATATTCTTGGCAACCGTTAGTACGAGTGAACACGCTGAGAAAAATATAAAAAATCATATTTAAATGGTGATAAATTCAAAGTAAAATACATGTTTGAAACCTTTTAGATAAACCAAATGTCACAAGTACCAAAGATTTTAAAGCTGTTGAGATAACTGAAAGACTTTTATCCTCCAATTTGTTTGTTATTAAATGTCAGGGTGGCACAACCGTACCATCAGACTTTTATTTTGAAGTGAACAGGATATTGCAAGTGACCTTTATGACCTTTACCTGTTTGAAAAGTTTGTAGATTTCTTTTAAATATTGACAAAAATAGCTGTTTTTCAACTCTTTCAAAATGTTATTTTACCATAAAATTCAGTATTTTATTTAAAATGTATGAACTAACACAAGTAGAAACTGTTTGATGTGAAATTAGTTGCAAAAGTCAGGAAATGTCACTATATGAGATAAATAATGTTATTTTAAACTATCACATAAAGAAAAGCACAACACGGGAAGTTAATTAAAGATGAATTCATTATTATTATAATTGTTATTAATTAATTAAATGATCCAGGTGCAAGAGAAGCATATCTTACTAAAAGGAAAGAAAGGAAACTTAAAATCAATTGCAAGAAAAATATATTTACAAATATTTGGGTGTGCTTCGTGACACTTTTAGGGCCATTAAAGTTAAATAAATAAAATAAAATAAATTAATTTAAACTCTTTAAAAACTAATTCAATAAGTGAATCTTGGTCAAACACTCAAAAATAAACCTTAAATCCATTTAAAAGAGACTTTTTTTGCAGCCTTTTGTTGACCCACATATGACAGGATGTGGAGACACTGTCGCTTTAAGGTTTCCGGCCACTCAGATCAGCGCGGGAAACTGTGGGCGGGGTTTGACCCACTCCCGCCAATAACCCGCCACCGTGCAACATGAGGACTGTACTCAGAGAGACACCGCAGGTAAATAAAGGATTTTATTAAAACTCTCAAAGTGTTTTTAACTAAAGTTCAACTGCAGGTAAAATATCAGAGGATGATTGATTAAATATCGATTGTTTTAATGTGATTGATTAATGTAGGAATTATTATTACTTGTATTATAGAATTTGAGTTTAAATATTTTGGCTCCTGCAACTTCAGTATACTGTTATAAATATAAATTGATCACTTGTTTTATTGATTCCTGCTAGTTTAATTTAAAGTGTCACAGTCTGAACTCCTGTTAACCAGTTAAATGTAATTTAATTGTTAATTTAATGTGAGTCAAAAACTAAAAACATAACCTTATAAACTATATAGGTATATACATTGCATATAACGCTATATAAAAGTTATATATTATATATTTAAGTCATATAAAGGGACGAAACACACAAAACAAAGATATAACAAGTGGTAAACGTTGCTGTAACACTGTAGGATTGTGGGTAATGTAGTACTTTTTTTCTTAAAACAAGGTTAATATAAAGACTTGTGGCTTCTTGTAGGAAAATATAACATCGTTTAACAATCTCACAGCTCGCAGTGAGTCTAAATTTGGGCGGTTCCGAGGTTGGTGCCGATAATCTGTTCAGAATCTGAACGGGATGTTTACTTCCGGACTACAAGCCAAACGCGTTGTATTGTATTTAATTAGTGTCTTATTGCTATGTAATGAACAGAAACTAATATATTAAATGATAGATTAATTCACCTTCTTATGACGTTCTCATAATGTGGGAAACGAACCGTATTCTAGGGTCAAACTTCAATATTCGCCCGAATTACTGAAGATTTCATTCAAGTCACAAGTTAACACGGTCACCCTTTAAACCGCCACACCGGCAGAGCAGTTCTGCCCTTTGCTCGAGAAAGTCGGGACAAACTTTAACTTTAAACTTTAAATCAGGCCTCGTGGATCTTATATGAGTTATATTCAGCAACGTCATTACTTTATTTATCGTCTAAAACTTGTTTTAGAAGCAGATTTCGGTTGACTGCTACGGTGAAATATGTTTACTCAGCTTACTGCATACCGGAACTCCGCTCCTCGTGCGCGCTCCCATTGGCTCACAGAGGATTTTTGGTCACCACGTGGGAATGCCGTCAGAGCCAGAGCAGCTCTGTTTACTGTGCGTCGAGCCCCGCCCCCTTTATTCAGAGACCATTTAAAACCATAAAATAAGAATATAGTTGAGCTTTTTAGGACCTATTATGGACCTTTTTACTACGAGTCGAAAACATGTCGGTTTTATTTCCACTTCCTACTTTGTAAAGTTCATTATTAGAAGATAGATCAGCTCAGTGTATGTGAGATATTAAGGTTAAAATACCCTCTGCTCCACACTCTCAAACCAAACTCCATTCAGAAAGTGGCTGTTTTATGAAAGGATCATATTTTTTCACAGTATAAACTTTATTTACACCGTCACTGAGACTTTTTACTGATTCTCTTCAACCTTCAGACACAATCGGCTCACATGTAATTAACTAACATCATTAACTAACCTGTGATAAACACATACAGACACACATTGACTGTCAGGTAGTGGATCAACTAAACCCACATATATTTTATTTTACTATCATTAGTTCGTTGTATGTAAAGAAGATAGTTTTTTAAATATATATTGTTGTTGTTGCACATGAAAACATTTAATTACCGGATCGATACCTCTTCGATAACCACAATGATTCTTCTGATGTTACTGGTTGTTCTATCTGTCGATGCCGGTGAGTTTATATTTCTACTACAGTAAATACAGCCAGTCGCCATGTTCCATATTATTATTATGTTTTTGTGAGTGAGACTCAACTGTAGCTTCTAACTAATACTACTACTAATAATAATAAGAATAAGAATAAGAAAGAAACTCAAAGACACTTCACATAAGTTAAAAAGGAAAAGAAAAAGTTAATAAAAACAACACGTTAAGAAAGGAGAGCTATATAAACACTCATCAATGAATTAATCATTAAAACCATTAAAATCTGTTCTGAAGAGGTCGGTTTTGATCAGTTTCGCTTTAATTTAGAGTGTTTATAATGTTTGCTGTGTATGATCATCAGGTGTTTATGTGCAATGTATAATAAATCCAGTAATAACACCATAAAGTGATAATAACACTCACTGATAGGTATTAAGAGTTATCACTTATTCTTAAAGGTGAAACTTTTATTAAAAAGTATTTACTGAAACTTTCACTATAAACTGACTTCACATGAGACACATAATGGCATATATATAAATACTATAATAGTGCTTTATATATCTATTTAATGTCTCTGTGCAGGTTTACACTGTAGTGTACACAGCACTACAGTTAACTATAATATAACACACTATAAATTACAATTAATGTCCTATAAAGCTTCTCCACGGGGTATCAGCGCAACATAAAAACACTCTTTGTTTGTAGTATTGACTAAGTATTAATACAACATAATAATAATAATAAACTATTAGTTAATTCCACATTGCAGTGAGAGCTGGTGTGTTTAAAGTTACAGGTTAATGAAGCTCCTGCTGTCTGCTCAGCCACACGGTTAAATTACACACATTAATTCACTGAACAGTTTATTAATCCGATGTTTACAAGGAGGCACAAATAAAAGTGTTGGTATTTGACAACCTGGGACCATTCGACCCTTTTTACAAAAGGTTTATTGACGATTAGTCGACTGAGACGCCGGTTCTTGTTTGTCTTCTGTGGTCATAAACATCAGAACAGTTTCAGTTTATTGGGAGGAAGAGGGCCGACGTGCAGCACGTTTACATTGTAGGAATTACTGATGTCTGTCCTTCAGAGGTGTTCAAGCTGTGTGAATGTTAATGTCTGTTTCTGCAGGAGAGCATCAGGCAGTTTGTCCGACTCCAACAATGGAGGCAAAACGAGGCGATGACGTCGTTCTACGTTGTTTTCTGGAGCCAGAGTTCAACTTGTCTGCTAAGACGTTGGATTGGAGCAGAGTCGACCTCAAGGAGCCCAATGAAGTCCACGTATATCGAAGTAAAGGGGACGATCTTAAAACACAGATAGGTCAATACAAAAACAGGACGACTCTCAACCATGAAGAGCTGAGCAGAGGAATCGGGACCCTGCTGATCTCCTCAGTACAACCGTCTGACAGCGGGCTGTACCAATGCTACATCCCAAAGCTGAAGGTTGGTTGTACCATCAACCTCACTGTCGGTAAGAGTTTAATACTTTAATTCCACAGTTATTGAATGAAACTGCAGATGATGAAGAACTTTGATGTTTCTGTCATTTGAAAATGTGCCTCAAGAGTTTGTGTATCTCATTTGAAACAGTAGAAGAAGACCAACAGAGCACAACTGGACCTCCAGAGGAAGACGTGACTGAGCCAAACAATGCCAGTAAATACATTCACTTTATTCTCTCTGAGATCTTCTGACTGTGTGAAAATGTTCCTCAACAGTTGTTACACTTTATCCTCAATATCTGTCATATATTTATATTTATGTGACATTTTAGAAAGTCACTGCGTCGCTCTTCTTCTCTACTCTCAGATTTTCCTTCAGATGCTGCAAAGATGGAGCCTCAGAGGAAAATTCCTGTTGCTGCCATCGTTGTTGTTGTTGTTTTTGTTGTTGTTGTTGTTGTTTTCCTGGTGAAACGTGGGAAGATCAACCTGTCAGCCTCCCAACAACCTGGTTGTACAATGTCAGCACTATGAATCACTTTCCCTAAAGCTGTATATGAATCAATATATATTAAATATATCTTTATATAAACATAAAGTCTGTGTTCTGTGCTTTCTTTTTGTCCCTCCTGGGCCACCATAACTCACTGTAACAGCAGATTAAACCTCCAGTTTGATAAAACTGAACAGTTAGAAATAGTTGGGATTAGTTTTAGTTGTAAAGGTTCTTTTATAGTAGAAATAATCTGAATATTTGGCGTCTGTAACAGGTTTTAAATGATGGTTTTTATCTCCACTGCAGATTCTGTTATGAGTTTATTATTAAAATAAAAGTCTAAATAAAATATTAATATAAAACATAATCAGAATTTAACAAGAGTGGCTGAGTGGCTGTCCGGAGGAGTGCCGTTTCCAGGCGTCGTGTTTAATGCACATGTTAGTTTAGTGTTTAAATGTCTGTGTTCTTCACTGTGACTGGATGTGATCAGTGCTGGATGTTTGATGTCTGTGTTTCAAAATCCAAAGTAAAACCACGATTCCCACATTAGCATTGGCTAGGTTTAAGAAACGGACTCGTCTTTTAACAAACGTTTGGTTTTCTCTTAGAGAATTGTATGAAGAGGCTCAGAGGGAGGACGGAGCAACATCTGGAGATGGTTTCTGACGGATCTGAAAGGAGAATAATGTCAGTGGGATGTTTTTACCGGATGGTGCAGCTCTAGTTTTTGGTTCACTGAACTAACTTTTGCCCTTTTTATATCAACGAGGGTTTGACTCAACAACAAAAAACATCTTCTCTGTATAACACCAGTTCCTACATATGCAACATATGCTTTTCCTATGTTATCGCTGATACCTGCAGTCATCTGTTGTGATCCTATCTTCCACAATACTAATCTGTCTGCAGTTTGAATATGCACTTCGCTGTGGCAGCCACTGACTCTCGGTCAGAACCACAGTGGAAGAACTGTGGTTCTACAGGGAGGGACACCCAAACCACCATGGTTTCAGACGTAGCTCGAGGTCTCGTCCTCACACTCATACACTCCCACACACACACATACTCAGAGCTTGTGTGGAGAGAGGAGGGGGAGGAGGCCTTTACAGGAAACAGAAGGAGCTTTCTCTGTTTGCCATATATGGTAAATGACGTCATCGGGAGGGAATCCCTCAGAGCACAAAGTTAAAAGCCTCAAATGAAGCAGAGAAATGAGAAGATGCATGTTTTATACTTTTTATTGGAGCAGGATCAGAAATATTGATCTGAATGGTTTTCAATGTGCACATGTTTGTGTGTAGAGACATTAACAGGTTTATTTCAGCACACGTTGTTTACAATAGGCTACAAAATAAAACACTCATACGACCTTAAATAAATCAACAATGTGCAGGAAACAAGGATCAAATATGAAATTAATAGAAACTAAAAGGCAAAAACACACGATGTGGGTCAAAGGAGACGCTGTTAAAGCTGTTCTGACTGATCTCAAGTCAGTACGAGCACAACAGGAACTAAATACAGTAAAAATAAAACCTAAAAAAAAATAATAAACCTTTACAATGTGGTTGTAATGTGTATTGTTGTAAATATGGGGTTGATGAGCGCTGTTAGATCAGCTCAGTGTATGTAGAATATTAAGGTTAAAATACCCTCTGCTCCACACTCTCAAACCAAACTCCATTCAAAAAGTGGCTGTTTTATGAAAGGATCATATTATTTCACAGTAAAAACTTTATTTACACCATTGAACAGCTGAACACCTCCTCCACCTCTTCAGAGGGAGGAAATCACATCTCCAACTCGTGTCCATCGAGGGGGCGATGTGGAGGTGGTCAGGACCTATCAATATCTTTTGCTGCAGCTGGACGATGAGCTGGACTGGACAGCAAACATGGACACTCTCCACAGGAAACGGCAGAGCCGTCTGTACTTCCTGACCACCCT